GGGTCACAATGTCAGCCTGCAGGTTGATGTCCAGCAAACATCAACGAGTATGGCTAATCAAGCCAGACAAAAAAATGGCACGGGGAAAGAAAGTTCCAAGGATGCTAAGCAGGGGCATCAACCAAAAATGAAGGAAACGAATTTAAGGAATGGAAAGCAAGGGAAAAGCCCTGAGATGAACAACAAATTGTCACCAGAAAATGTGAAGCATCCTCCCCGCAGAATCAGCTTTGAATCCAAGCAGGAAGAGGAAGCACAGAAATCTGAAAATGCTATCCAGGATTCCAAAGCTCATGGCAGTGGAGAAATGGAGGGGTCGGCTATGGCCGTTGACCCCGTCTAAGTTTCAACCTTGTGTTGAGGATAGGGAAGTACTCACTAATCAGTATTATGATTAAAGTCTTCTCTTGGAACTGCAGAGGTGCGAAGCACCTCAAATTTCGTCCTACTTTCGAGTTTTATAAGTCTACTCATAAACCAAACATTGTCTGCATTGTTGAACCGAGAGTTAGTGGGAAAGATGCTGTGGACATCATCACTAAACTTGGTTTTGACTCCTGGGAGATCTCTGATGCCTCTGGATTTAGTGGAGGCATATGGTTGCTGTGGAATAAGAACGAAGTGCAGATGTCTGACTTTGTGATCCACAAGCAATTCATTCACATGAAATGTTCTTGGTCAAATGGAGATAGCTGTGCTCTCACTGCTATCTACGCCAACCCGAATGAGCATACCAGAAGAGAACTATGGGATGCTCTTCGTGGGATTAGCAGCAGAATCAGTGGCCCTTGGATGCTGTTTGGAGATCTCAATTCCATCACAAGACCGTCTGAAAAACAGGGAGGAGCTAGTTTTAGTTTTGCTAAAGTGAAACCCCTGGTCAGCTTCATTGAAGACTGTGGACTCATGGACCTTGGATTCACAGGTCCTAGGTTTACATGGTTCAAAGGTGGATATGGAGTCAGGGAAAGGCTTGATAGAGGTCTCTGCAACCTGGAGTGGACACAGAAGTACCCCCAAACTAATGTCTTCCATCTGATCAAAATGAAATCGGATCACAGACCGATCCTGCTCTGCAACAAAAGCACCCCTTCCTCTACCAATCTGGTGAGACGTTTCCATTTCCTTGCTCCCTGGCTTGCTCATGATGAATTCTTCCCCTTTGTTACTTCTGAATGGAAAAATGGTCATCCCCTTCCCTGTGCTTTGCAGGACCTGGCCAGCAAACTCAAGGAGTGGAATAAAGATACCTTTGGGAACATTTTCAGAAAGAAAAGAAGACTGGCCAATGACCTCAAGTCCCTCGAATCCCTGAATGCTAGGAACCCCTCTGCTTCTTCCTTTGCCAAGGAGCAGAGCACCAGAGAAGAACTGGAAGATGTTCTCTGGCAGGAAGAGATCCTCTGGATCCAAAAGTCTAGAGCTAACTGGAACATCTATGGGGACCAGAATACCAGGTTCTTCCACACCAGTACGCTATGCAGGAGGAAGAGAAACAAAATTGTCAGCCTGAAGAACGAAGATGGGGATTGGATCACTGATCCTGACAGACTTCAAGCTTTGGCAAGAGAGCATTTTGTTCTGTTGTTCACCAAAGCCACCAGATGCTCCCATCACTCCATTCCTGCCCTGTTCCCAGTCCTGGACAATCGTATTTGGGAGCAACTGACTAACCCCCCCTCTCCTGATGATATTTACAATATTGTTAAGGATATGGATGGCCTGAAGGCCCCTGGGAAAGACGGTTTCCATGCTCTTTTCTTTAAAAGATGCAGGAAACTTGTGGGTCAAGATTTCTGTTGTTTCATTAGGAATTGCTTCTGGAATCCAGACAGTATTAGGCTCATTAATGAGACTTTACTGGCTTTGATACCAAAAGTTGATTCCCCTTGTTCTATGAGCCAGTTTAGGCCTATTAGCCTTTGTAACGTTGGTTACAAAGTGCTGGCTAAATGCTTAGCCAACAAGCTCAAAAGCATCATGCCTATCCTTGTGAAACCTAACCAGTCTAGTTTTGTGCCTAATCGTCACATTACTGACAATATCCTCATTTTGCAGGAGACTGTTCATTCAATGGCAAAGAAGATGGGAAGAATGGGAATGATGCTCCTCAAGCTGGATCTGGCAAAAGCGTATGACCGGTTGGACTGGGATTTCCTTGCTGAAACCCTGGAGCTGGCAGGAATCCCCCAATGCCTTATCAATATCATCATGAAGTGTGTCACAACTGTTGAGATGCAGGTGCTGTGGGAAGGAGGAGAAACTGAGAGCTTCAAACCAAGCAGAGGCCTTCGTCAGGGATGTCCTCTCTCCCCCTATCTCTTTACGCTTTGTGTAGAAAGATTAGGCCACTGTATTTCTGAGGCAGTTGATGGTAAAAGATGGAAACCGATTAGACTTTCCCCTGGAGGACCCCCCTTGTCTCACCTTTTCTTTGCGGACGATCTTGTCCTCTTTGCTGAAGCCTCTTTGAAGCAAGCAGAAATTATTAACCAATGTGTTGAAAGTTTCTGTGAGGCCTCAGGAGAGTTGGTGAGTAGGGAAAAGTCTAGAATCTTATTTTCCAAGAATACTAAAGATAGAGATAGGAAAGATATTTGTGAGAAACTTGGCATCCAATCCACCCTTGACTTAGGAAAGTACCTAGGGGTCCCTGTGATCCATGGTAGGATTAATAGGAACACTTATCGCTATATCATTGATAAAATTGATCAGAAATTGTCTTCATGGAAAGCCAGAACCCTTTCCCTTGCTGGTAGGGTTACCCTTGCTCTTTCTGTGTTGAATGCCATCCCTGTGTATGTTATGCAGACCACCATGATGCCTGTTTCTGTGTGTGAGTTGATTGACAAGAAAATCAGGGGTTTTGTCTGGGGATCGAATGAGGAAAAAAAGAAAGTTCACCTTGTTTCTTGGGATACTGTTTGTAAACCTAAGAACCAAGGGGGGCTGGGTTTAAGGTCTGCTAGAAGTCTTAATCTTGCTTTCATGATTAAGCTTGCTTGGCAGATTCTTAACAATAGCTCTGATCTGTGGGTGCAGGTTATGCAGGGAAAATACTTTAAGCACAAGGATGGCCAAATTGTGGGAATGAAAAAAAGTAACCACTCCAGCCTGTGGAGGGCAATCATGAAGGCCATGCCTCTTATGAAGAGTGCCACAAACTGGAGCATCAGGAATGGAAGAACTACGAGCTTCTGGCATCATCCATGGCTGGATCAAGGCATTCTGCTTAAGGATTTCATCACTCAGAATGGTACTATCCCACAGGAGGACTCTTCAGTTGCAGACTGGATAGACAACAATGGAAACTGGGACTGGCAAAAGCTTCAGACTCTCCTCCCTCCTAACATTCTGGCCCTGATTGCTGGAATGGAACCCCCAAAGAGCAATATGGGAGAAGACAAATGTATTTGGGGCTTGGAGAGGGACGAGAGGTTTAGGCTCAAATCTGCTTACAAACTTGCTGCTGATCAGTTGGAGACAACAGAGGAGGGTTTTTGGAAAAAGCTCTGGAGTTGGAAGGGGCCAAGTCGCACAAAACACTTTCTTTGGTTGGTGATGCATGATAAAATTCTCACTAACAAGGAACGTATGAAAAGGAAGCTCACCCTGAATGGCAATTGCAACTACTGCAAGGACACTGAAGAAACCACAGAACACATCATCAGACTTTGCAGGAAGACTGAAGGGATCTGGGAAAAATTCAGAACCAGGGTTACTTGCAAGGAGAGAAACCTCCCCTTCAAGGAATGGATGTCCAAGAACCTTGAGGATGCAAACCAAGGTACTGAATTTGGCTTGATTGTGTGGCATCTTTGGAAACAGAGGAACGAGGAATGTATGGAAGGCACTGTGTATGTGGAGAAGTCTCTTTCTTGTAGGATTGAGGCTTGGTTCAACATTTATAAGAAGGCCCTGCAAAATGTGGCTAGGAGCTTCATGCCCGAAAGAACGAGAAGTGAAGTACAGATTGGATGGATCCCTCCATTTGAGGGATGGGTACAGGTCCAGACTGATGGTTCTGTCCTCTCTCCCTCAGGTCTTGCTGCTGCAGGTGGCCTTGTTCGTGACTGTTTGGGACGCTGTTATGCAGCTTTTGCTTGTAATTTGGGAAACTGCTCAATCACTGCAGCAGAACTCAAAGGAGCAGCTGTCGGGCTCGAGATCGCTTGGGAGAAGGGCTTCCGTCAAGTTGAACTCAAGCTGGACTCTTCTACTGCTATATCCATTATGAGAAAACGTTCAGATGATGATCACAGGCATGGACTGCTGGCACAACACATCAGCAACCTTCTGAACCGTGACTGGATTGTGTGTATTTCTCATGTGTATAGAGAAGGAAATCAGGCTGCTGATTTTCTTGCTAATTTTGGTCACAAACTTACTTTTGGAACACATCATGTTGATGTGGACAGCCATGAGCTCTGTAAATGGCTTGACTACGATGTAATGGGTATTTCACAACCCAGGTTAATTAATATATGAGTCCTAGACGCTTTTGCGTCTGCCTTTCTACCAAAAAAAAAAAAAATTCGTCTTCCACACATCATCATCAATTAGTTAACTTCGTCTTCACCACAAATGAGCTGGTCCACCAAAAACGCTCCTCTCTCCCTTTTCATCAACCATTTTGTTTCCTGCGGATAAAGCGAAAGTGGATGGAGCGGAGTATGGTCCACCAAAAATGAGCTGGGTTTCAACATCTGCTTTAAGACACATCACACATCATCATCATCATAATGCAAAATCATTATACTCTTTTCTTCCCCTTGTAACGCATATTTCCTAATATGAATCATTTTCGTTCCCATGATTTCATGTTCATGTCTGATTATGATGTTTGTGTTACATATGGGCCAAATGCTACTAAACGAAACCTAAAATTTGAATGGGCCGGGTGGGTTTCCAGGTAGCCGGGATGGGCTTTATCCATCGGACTATCCGATAAACTAACTAACGCAGTCGTTCGGCCCGCTCACTCTGCCTCTCCTTTCTTCTTCACTCATTGATTTGATTGGGTCTTCTCTTCTTCGCATCCCTTTGTCCTCTCCATCGGGACTCCAACAATCGTCCACGTCTTCTTTCGTCGGCTCTCTCCCACACTGCCTGGCATTTCCCTTCTGATCTCCACTCGAACTCTTTCCCACCGCCATGGAAATCGATCCTCCCCTCCCCAACGGCAACTCTCCAGCCGCCGCACCCCTCCCCGTCCATCCTGCTTCTACCGTCACCACCCCCGCGCCGCCGTCGAACCTGGCGCAACTGACAGAATCCTTGAAGCTTGAGCACCAGTTTGCCCGCGTCCCCTTCGAGCACTACAAGAAGACGATCCGCGCTAATCACCGCGCTGTCGAGAAGGAAATCTCTTCCGTCGTCTCCGGCGTTAATGAAGCCGCCGGTTCCGATTTGACCAAGGACGACGCCGTCGAGCACCTCACCTCCCTCGTCTCCAGATTGCAGGGACTCAAGAGAAAGGTGAAAGGCATAAAATTGGGATTCTTCCGTTTACCTTGTTTCCGATTAAAGCTCTGGTTTTCTTGAAGATGTGAAACATACGAATTAATTTAGTAATTGGTAATTATGTTTTCTTAGTTAGTGCATACCTATCTATCTCAACGGATAAGAATTTTTTTGCACATGGTGATTGTGGTTGTTGGCGTTGTGTGTGTTTAATTTGGTTCAGCTGGAAGAAGGTAGTCGTACCGAGAACCTGCAAGCACAAAGGTGTCGAGCTCGTCTTGACCATTTAGAATCAGCAGATGCTGAGAATTTGACCGAATGGAGCAACACGCGTCTGAAGCGAATTCTTGTAGACTATATGTTGCGAATGTCTTACTATGACACTGCAACGAAGCTAGCTGAAAGCAGCAACATTCAGGTAGTTGAGATTGATCCCACTGGTTGAGGCTCTTCATGTGGTATTCGGTGTATGATGCGCTTGTTAATGAATTTGTCTTTCTTTCATATCTCTATCTAATCCTTTTGAGTCATTGTGATCTCAGGATCTGGTTGATATTGATGTATTCCAAGAAGCGAAAAGGGTTATTGATGCTCTCCAGAATAAAGAAGTGGCTCCTGCTTTAGCTTGGTGCGCTGAAAACAAGTCACGGTTGAAGAAGTCCAAGGTGAGCAGCTACTATGTATTGCTCATTTCTTTATGGACGATGCTATGGTGCTACCTGGGTTGGAGAATTACTCTTGCCCAGTTGAGACACAATCAAGTTTTTGGTTTTCACTTTCTCTATTTGTCTATGCTTTCTTATTAGAATTATTTTGTTATTATTAACTGTCAAGTATTTTGATTCTTCCCGTTTGGGATTTAATTGCTTGAGCATAGGCTTTTTCTTTTCATCAAAAGAAGCTAATGATAGCATAATTTGGAGTTAATTTTGAGTTTCGGGTCTATAATGATAAAATTTGGAGATGAATCTCTGGTATTGGGAGGATTCCGACCGCTGACCTGGAGCGGAGAAAGGATTGCACCAATTTTGCTGCCTGTTATCAAGTTTTCCAATGGGGCGTAATCTGAAAATCTGCCATTTTTGGTTCCCTGTGTTTCTGGTATCGTGGAATCATCAGATCTTGGTGACATACGGCTTTCAATTCATTGAAGTTCTTGATTACTCACCTCATCCCTTTTGTGCTTATAAAGAGAATTTGGAACTTAAAACTCAGACTAGCAATTTTGGGGCTTTAAGGGTTAGTGGTCCACGGTTCTAGGATTTGGGACTGGCAATTAGGCCCTTCTAAGGGTTCTCAATTTTTCAATTGGTAAGACGGAACATGATGAAGAGAACAACGAAAGACGTACATGCTTGGCTGGATGCCAATGGGTGCAGATGGAGTTCTTCTCCAACCAGGGAGGAGCGTAGCATTGTGCTTTGTTCATTGTGAAATAGATTATAGAGTGTTTTCTTTATACAATTAGAGCAAACTTAAACTGTATTTTATATTGTGAATCATGATTGCAATGCTGTCACTTTTCCCATCTCAGGATGTAACAACCTTTATATAGCACAACAGTAACTTAAATTTAGTTTTCATTGTGAACCATTTAAGTTGCTGACTGTACTATAGGAATATGTGCAAACTATAATTTGATAGGAGAACCCCCAATTGCAGCCATGGGAGCTTATTTACGATCTTGTAATTTCTTTGGTATGCTAATTTGTTCGGAGTGATGCCAGAGCAAATTCGAGTTCCTGTTGAGACTTCAAGAGTTCATAGAATTTGTGAGATCCGATAATCACATGCGTGCCATTGCATATGCTCGGAAATATCTTTCTCCATGGGGAGCTACCCACATGAAAGAGTTGCAGAGGGTCATGGCCACTCTGGCTTTCAAGAGTGGTACTGTATGTGCTGCATATAAGGTAATCATATATCCCCTCTATGAAAAAGTTCTCTTTGACTACTGCCCAGTCAACGTGATTATCTCTGTGATTGATTGATGATATCTTGAACTGGTGATTATGGATTCTGAGATCTTATAGTTACCTGGGTTTCTGATACAGATTTATGTGGACGTTCACTTTCTTTCACATGTTTATTATGTGTTATTATTGCATATTGCCATACTTTGGGAGTGCAGAATCATGCTATGGCCTTCTCTTCAGACGTTTATTTCAACTGTGCTTTCTCCTTGGAGTACTCTGCCTACATGCTCAAACATATGGTGATTCTGATCGTCTCTCTATGGTACTTTGCTCTTTACAGGTTCTTTTCGAGCCGAAGCAATGGGACTATCTGGTGGACCAATTTAAACAGGAATTCAGCAAATTATATGGGATGACTGTTGAACCACTGCTGAATATTTACCTACAGGCAGGGCTATCTGCCCTGAAGACCCCGTATCCACTTACTGCCAGTCATTTAACTGCTTACTGTTTTCAAAATATATCGTTTTTCCATTACCTGTCATTATTGTTACCGGATTTCCGAACCTTTTTTTGCACAAAGCAGATTTCCACACAGAACGGCTGGAGGTATGCTTTGAAAAATACTATTTTCCAAGTAGGTGTTTCAGCTTGACTGTGCATTTAGATATTGCTATGATGATGACTGCCCGAAAGAGGATCCACTATCGCAAGAGACCTTCCGCAAGTTAGCATTGCCATTACCCTACTCTAAGCAGCACCACTCAAAGCTCGTCTGCTACATAACTAAAGAGCTCATGGACACTGAGAACCCACCACAAGTCTTGCCCAATGGCTATGTCTACAGCACTAAGGTAGCGGCACTATGCTCTCACAAGTCATAAAAATAGATTACCAGCTCGTGTAATTGGTCCTCTTGGCATATCCCTATATGTTGCAGGCACTTGAAGAGATGGCCAAGAAGAACTACGGTAAGGTGACCTGTCCAAGAACAGGACTGGTTTGCAATTACTCAGATGTGGTGAAAGCATACATTTCATAAATCATGGAGATCTACAGAATCCCTTGATCTTGTAAGAGTGCTTAACGACTTCCCAGTGAGATTATGTGAATATTAGTGCTGGGCCATAAAACTTGCTGGACAACCTACTTCCCTGGGTAACTCCTCTTGTTCCTTTGCCTTACGATTGGCGATTGTCTCTGGATACATTACATTGTAAATATTGCATGTATTGCTCAAAAGAAACCGAGTTTATCTTCGATCAGAATAACCAAAATCCAGAATGGGATTGAGGAGTAGTTATCCCCCTTTTTCTGTTTCCTCTTCCTGAACATTGTAGATATTGTTGTCCAGCCAGGTGATGGAATGTACTTCAACTTAATATATCATTTTGTTCTCTACATCGGATGCACTAGATGCAACGATGCGAGTCTGCGGTTTTGCAGTACAGCTTAGGAACTAAGCCAAAATAATGTACTAGCGGCAATGAACTGAATTTCTTCGAAATTCGACGATTATGTGTTTACTAGGTACAACGATATCCTGATTTCCAACCCGAGAACATGATTGTTAGGAAATTTGTGAAATCTGCAAATCACTTTTCGTCAGGTACTAAGGTTAATCAGGGAGTCGCACAAACTACATTGGATCTATAATTACTACTAACAATATTGGCATCCACCCCCCAAGATTCTTTGCATTCTCCTGTAACTAGATTTCCCGTTGTGATCTCCCAGCCCCTAGGGCGCAGGCCGATACTGAGCCGCCGTCCTAAGGATGCAGGCAGATTGTTATCCACCATGTGAACTACATGTTTTAGAAATGTATCCGGAGAATTTGTTTGTGGCAAGTGCTAGTTTCAACTTTCAAGTGTTGTAAGTAGGACGATCCACCATCTTCGCTACACCTTTGGACAACTTTTCACAATAATTCTCAAGCCACGCTGAAGCAGATTTGAGAACGCGGAGCTCACCAGTGTGGAGGTCCATTGCCATTTGCCTTCGAAATGAGTGTCTTCCAGATGCAGAGACGACAAAACTCCGAGGTAGTAAAGACTGCAGAATTAGGCAAAAGACAGGCTTTTGGTTAAGACCCCTTTCAAAATGTTTCCACTAAACACCCGAAATCGTGCAATCCATACCAGGCAGGTAGTGAGGTAATGTTAGCTCTTTAAGGCTACTATTTTAGCACTCTAGACACGTCATAAGTACTAAGTAGCGAGGTACAGTTAGAAATTGACCTTAATAGATGCATGGCATTGGTCAATCAGTCGATTAATGTGTGACAACAGGATCGTATGAGCTCGGATCTCTCTGCTGTTATCCTTGAAAGGGCGACGTGCCAAACGACCGTCGTTTTGTGCAGCTTCCACAGCCAGATCACTTAAATCTGACACGTTTCATTGCAAATTTGATATTCCTATATTAGGGACTTGCGCAGCCAAAATAAATAGCACGGAAGTGCAAATAGGTTCCTCCTTTACTGAAATAGAAGACTGTTTCACATTTAAGAATGTGGTTATAGGGCCATACCTTCAGGACGAGTACAACTCAGAACACGAGCAAAAGCACGGATTGATTGTGGAATGCCCTTCCCTTTCCCTTTTGCCGACTTCACTTCCCTGTTTGTGATGTTACAGATAGAGAAGTAAGCATGGAAATTCATACCTTTTTGCTGTCATTTTAAAACATAAAAGCCAGAAAGGAAACAAGTATGGATTCCTCGAGCTCAAAGGGAAACCTTCACCAAGGTTTCACAACTAATATACCTAGTTCAATGTTCTTGACCAAGTTACGACTGAACAAACAAAAGAGCACTCCTCAAATTCTCAAGTCCAAACAGATACTTCATCACCCTACAGGCTACAGCTTGGGAACTGTCTCCGTATATTCTATTTGTGGCCTTTGAGATTAATATTATAACATGCATCAGTTCTCACCTGATTGTGAAACAATTCCAAGATGATGACTTCACATCATTAGCATCACAGATTGTTGGTAACTCATGTCTTTGAAAAATCTCCATCTTCATTTGATGCAAAATATCCCCATCTGGAACACTCATCTGGATCTCCACCTGAGAACCGACTCCTGAGTTACTTAACTTAGAGCAGAAAATAATACACATGGAAGAACAATACAAAGGAGATTTAAGAAAGACAGGTATATTATAATAACGAATTCTACCATATGAAAGATATAGTAGGTCAGATTTCAGAATGCTACAGATCAAATACATTACACCCATCAAGTACAAGAAGCTGGTTTCGGTACCAGCTCAACTAACTCAGTTCCAGATTAGCCACGACCCACGTCTATTGGGTCTATGAAAGAACTATTGTTCAGAAGCCAAATGAACCTGATCATGGATATTATGTTGAATCGTAAATCCAAAGTCCAACATCAGTGTAGCATTTGCCAACTTTCCATAACTGATTCGTACCTGTCAAGTTTCTCCATACCTGGTCAGTACAGGGGATATAAGCAGCCTAGTTGACATACAAATGAGGAATTCTAGGACATTACAAATAATAACAAATGTCGCCAATATTTACATTTTAACTGGTTAACAGCATCCTGAATAGTGTGTCAAGAAAACTACAAGCTGCTTTTAGGATTTTTCAAAGGTAGTCATAAGTCCATAACAGATCAACAAATTATTGGCAGCAATATTTTCATTCTTCACATATTCCCTCCATTTGACCCCTTGCATAGACTGAAATTTGTAGTCACACTAGCTTAGTCTTATTCCAACGGTTCGTAAAATGAAATTTATTATGCTTAACAAGCCTCTAGTTCTTTTTAAAACAAGCCTCTGAACTCCATGTTTTCATAAAATATTTTCTCTATGAAAGCACAAGTGTATATATGTACTCTATGCTGACCTCTCCTTCAGGGGCATAGTTGCAGTCAGCAGTCACCTGCATATTATTAATGAATTAAGCCCATCATTATAAATAGGGTCACCACTGAGTGAATGCATGAGAGGAAAGGATTAGCCAGTTGCAAATGGCAAAATGATTTTCCTCGTATAGATTCTATTTCTGAGGTTCATGTTCTTAGACAAGAGAATGAGCTTATGAAGAATTTTGGTAGGTGATTCGAAGATACTCCAAATAGTTCGGCTGCTAGTTAGCTTAAACAAGAGAAAGAACAGCAGAAATATACCTCAGACTCTTGTTTCTCCTCATCATTCACCACAATTGCTTCAGAAAAGCCATCATGGTTCAAGAAATCTGCAAATGGAATCTATAGAATAATGAATAATTTCCAAGACCTTAACCTCAGCAAAGAATGACTGAAGAAGCAAAAGCTTAATCATTAGAAGCGTACCAGAGAAACCCCCTTTGGGCATTCCCAAGCTCTAGATTTCACTGTCACATTGGTAAGAGATCAGTTTTACAACTTTAGCACTGTGCTAAAAACAGGGAATTATTACCAATATCTGTAAGTAAAAGGTAATGAAAGATTAAGCATCACAAATATTTTCGTGCTTTGAGAGCAACGGTCAGTAGCTTTGAAGGAATTAACAACTGCCTTAAATTCACACACTTAGCGCTAAATGCCTTCCAACAGCTCAGCCTGACAAACAATGTAGTCCTTAAGATTTTTTAACCTCACCCATCTTTAAGAAGTGATAGTTACCATCAAGAGCATATAATGTAGCCAATGGCTTCAAAGAAGTTGCTAACCTAAAGCATACGCATGCATGAAATCCTCATACAAGATACTTCCAAAGACCTCGGGAAAGGTTTCAAGAACCTGTGAGAAAAGAAGAAAGCAAACAAAGAATAAGATAGAACAGTATTAAAAAAGACCAACCACGCAAAGCTGATACCAAGTTATTAATGCCATTTGAGTTTTGTAATGTTGGACCAGAGTACTAATTGACAGAGACCTCTGGAGTAGTAATACTTATACGCCCCATCCCAAATTGGTACAGACTGGAAATAGAACTGACATCCTATCCCAAAAAGAAAGGAAACAGAAACTAAGGTAAAGATTTCATTGTTCATAGCCAGTCAGCCACACAAAAAGGTTACATTAATAATCACACTATCAGAGCCATTAACAACAACAAAAACACTCACTCTCACACACGAGAGTGAACCACAGAAAGCAAACTGAACTTACTGGTCTGATCTTTGAGAATGCATCTCGAATAATAAATTTTTGCTTAATGGTTTCCTCATATACTGTGCTTCCATAAATCATGTTTAACTCATCTTCACTCCAGAACACCTGCAGGAATTCCCCATGAATATGACATCCACAAACACATATAGAACAAACTGTTGATTAGATCTAGTAGCTGAAATAGTCATGCACACGAAGGAACAATACATAGTCATTAAACTCGAGCACACTCCAGCAGCTAATTGAGGCAGGCAGTCACAACTGACAAGACTCAACTGCTTTTACATGCCAACTGAACCATAGCATCGTGAAAAAATATTTCTAAAACTTCACAAAGTTAGTTAAGGAGAGAACAAACTGTGCTGTTCATTTCTTCAAGGCGAGGAAAACAGCTGATATAGGGAGCCCACCTGGAGTCCTGGTATAAGGAAAATCCATAAACAACAAACAAAGGGTTCTTGCATGAGAGGCAGTGACATGTTTACCTTTCTAGGACTCCTATTTGCAAACTAAAATTGCCACTACAAAGCATAAGCATGGATAGAATTCAGCACAAAATATATCGAATTCACCTTGCCATGTTTCGTTTCCGCCAAAATGGCAACAGCAACCATTGAGACATGATCAACTTCATCAACCAATATAACCTTGACGTCCCGAGGTAGGTTATCAGGTGCTATTTGCTGACGATAGAGTAGCAAGACTACTTAGTGCCGTTTATACTTGTCTCACTCAAGCTAAACCCATTCCACAAATAGATGACACGCTAAGAGTAGCCTACCGCTTTGAATGGAACCTTTAATATGCAGTCTCCCCTCTGTATGTGTTGAGAAGCAAACAAGGATCTGCACATGAAAATCTCAAATTCAATGGAAGGAGGAGTTTTCCACTTAGAGCCACAGTAGTAACTATCCCTAAGTTGTGCTGCTGCACAGTACTGTTCCATAAAGGGCTCCACATCAACAGAGATTCCAAACTAAGCTATCTGGATCCACAGCTAAACTCCACCTCAACAAAATGCAAGGAATAACAGCTTTCCAGCTGTGACAAAATATATATGGCAATCTATAATTCGTATATGGTGAATTCTGTAACTTTGCTGCCCAATCAATCAGTAACTCATCCCATCATACATTCAATCACAATAGTGTCTACTGCTTCCTATACAGAACGTGTTGATCATATCCCAGAACTCCATTATCGAATGCCAGCAATCGTTAGTTGACGATATAAATTATCCCTTCCAGATAGCCAAATTTACTTGTCAAAAAAAAAAAAAAAAAAAGATAGCCAAATTTATCTTTGATTATCTCAATCACCCCCAAGCGATGCGAGTAGGGGAACAAACAAACACAAGTTTCCAACTTCTCGCTGATCAAACCAAATAGATAGTTGTAATAACAAGAAGAAGCAGCAGCTATACGAGACAAGTAATTCTTCAAATGATGCTTCAAATTTCGGTGGAAGCAATCAAAAGAACCTGCCGTATGACGATTTCCCGATGTAAAGCTTGGTCGAAATCTCAGCTCCTGCTTTCTCCTCTAACCACGGCAAAAATCCACGGCAGTCCTCATCCGGAGGATTCAACAGCTAGCAACGCCGTAAACAGAACAACGCAATGCTGAACGGGGATTATAGGGAGAAAGAAAGAGGTAACAGAATAAGATGCCTAAGCTCTGGAATCATTCATTCGTACCTTGGCTTGTGACGAAGAGGAAGAGATGTTTGATTTGGCGGAGAAACGAAGAGAGACGGTGAACAGTCGCCGTCGATACCTGGACGGAGTGGATAACAGCATCCGTCTGCAGTTGCCGGCAAAATGAAAAGGTGTTAAATGACGTTTGCTCCGAAGTTGGCCAGTGTAATCATTCTGTCACGGCCGGAAGCCCGGAAAGATGGGTTGTAACTTGTAACTTGTAAAGGATTAGGACATGACATTTTTTCATTAGGTCACTCATATCACCAAGAAAAGAAAACAAATCAAAGTCAATACATTTGTTCTGAATCATGACATAAAATAAAACTCCAATAGAATAAAATAAAATATTTTCCATCAAATGGACAATCCTATTTTTTATCGGCCGATAAAGAAAATATTAAAGATCTTAAAATATTCTTGAAGGACGACTATGTCTATCAAAATGGCACCCCCACAGGCCATAAGCAGCCAACAGAACTCCGCTGCGAATCTTATCCAAGACAATTTTCGTATCACTAGCAAACAGTATCTGCCTGACGTCGTGAAGCACACACCAACAAATCGCCTCTCTTGGCACAAATAGTTCCACAAAAAAAAAAAAAAATCCTTGTCTTCATCAAACAATCGACCTTCCATCTCCAAAAGCATTCACTGTGAATCATGCAAAACCATCCCCTAGCCCCATGAGTTGTAGCCCAAACTGCGTCGTTAGCTAAAACCCTCACGTGACATTGCGATAACAAAGCTAGCTCCACCACACCAAAGTTTGAGTTCCAACCTACCAATCCACCCAGCTATGCCTGATCCTGCACGTGATGCTGCCACTCACCTAGCTGCTAAGATAACTGCATGGACAACATATCAAAAGATTATTGTGTATACTCAAACACCACCCAGTTTTGAGGCTTTCGAATGTGCTACAAACAAGGCAACCATACCCATAACTCGTTCCCGCGCCATCCCCGACCGTTTGAGAAATCTACTCCAAAACAAAGTGACATTAACCACAGGTAGAGTACCCCAAACAACCCACACCCCAGTTTTCTTCCAAAGCATACGCGCTGAATAACAGTCGAAAAAGAAATACTCAAGAGACTCCTTCTCCTTCTACCCACAGACCAGACAAAGCACCAAAGCCCGAAATCCCCCTAGTGGCAAGGGCCTCCCCCGTTGGTAGAACCCGATGATGGAACTGCCATAGATTTAGACGAGACAGACAAAACCCAAACCACGAATCACAACTCTTTATCCAACACAACTTTATATTTCAACAAAATTACTATAGGAATATCAACCAATTTGATTTTTCTAAATCCGAGCAAACACGACGTATGCTTGATTCCTAATTTCCTATATCAAATTTCAACGTGGATTGTAAAGATTTCAAAAATTTGTATTAAACGAACTTTAGAAAATATCAAATACTCACGTAATTTCGATAAAAAAAATATATAAGAAAAATAGAAAATACTCCACAACGACCACTAACTTAAACCTTGACCGGCAACCAGCTGCCAGCCACCCTCCTCCTCCATTTCTTTTCTACAGCCTTAACGTTTTATCTTTTTTTCTCGCGACCCAAACACGAACCGACCTCGGCTCCTCTCCATTCCCATTTTACCAACTTGAATTTTCCCAGCCCTCATTAACTTATCCCTCTTCGTTAATTTTTCCCGTTCCTTTGTACTCGTTTTGCTCCATTGCTGATTGATTCGCGCGCGTTCATATTCCGTGATTAATTCTTTGTTCAACTTTTTTTCTCCTCTCTTTTCTTCTTCTGTCCCGTTTCCTTCTGATGTCAATCCATCTCTGCTGTTTCCGTTTCCCGTTTTGATATTTTATATCTCTGTATCTCGTTTCCCTCTTCCAATTCGCTTTCGGAGGAGCTACAGCTCGCTGAGAGCGCTTTCTTCCCCCCCTGCAAGGTTAGGGTTTTGATTTTGTGGTATTGAACGATGGTGCTGGAAAACTTAGTTCCGTCTAAGCTAATTGTGATTTCTTGTATTTGGGGAATTCAGGTAGGTAACTGAGCGATGATGAATCAAGGAGTTAACGCCCAGACTGTTGCAGCCGCGGACCCTAACTCGCTTGAGGTAAATTCAAAGCTCAGCTTTACCTCGAATTGCATTGGATCATTAATATACTGAAGGACTCAAGCTGTGACTTTTATCAGTTCATTTGTCACGATAAGTTAATTCAACTTAAGATTGGGAAGCACCAATCTCTTCCTTTCCCACCTTTCGGTTAATATTGTTAAACTTTGAGGAAGGAGATTGCTAGATTTTAATTAATTATGTTGTGTTTTATTTTGGCACTTGTATAGATTCAGTCAGTAGCCATGTTGACAGTGAGTTTGTTCTATTTTTCAGAGCAGATATGCAATTAATGCAAGCCAAGGGCAGGCACAGTCATATCTTCCCTCAGCACCTGGGTCTGAGGCTGCTTCATGGACAGTGCACAAGGTAGAGGGTTATCTCTCACAGGATGGAGTGCCAGCAAACGCCAGTTATCAACATGTTCAGCAGCCAGAGCCACACACACAAAATGTTCAGGATGGCTCATATGTGGCCCCCCTTTCTAGTTCCTCGAGTACGGGAACTGCTAGTGCACCACAAGACTACAATAGTTATACATCATACTCAAATACCACAGATCCTTACAGTGCATATTCAGGATACTACAATGGCTATCAGCAACAAACTAACAATCAATACTCTCAGCAGCAACCCAACCCCTCGTACTCTCAGCCGGTAGAAGCATATCAAAATACAGGTGCTGCTTATCAGCCTAATTCCTCATTTCAGAATACTGGGTCTTATGCTGGGACTGCATCTTATTCAACCACTTACTACAATCCTGGTAATTATCAGACATCTGGAGGTTACCCAAGCAGTGGATACAATAATCAGCCAACCGCTTGGAACAATGGAAGTTATGCCAATTATACATCCTACCAGTATCCAAATTACACTTCAGATACTTCAAGTGCCTATAGTTCTGTTTCAGCGCCTGCAACTTATCAGCAGCAATATAAGCAATGGCCAGAGTATTACAGTCAAACAGAAGTTACATGTGCACCGGGAACAGAACACTTGTCTGCTGCTAGTAACAGCAACCATGGGAGTTCACTTCCTACTGTCTCTGGTGGGTACCCTACACCTACCAACCAGATTCAGCCTCAGTCACTGCCTCCGCCTCCACCCCTACCCCCTCCGTCCCTTACCCCTACCTGGAGGCCAGAAACCAGTTCATCTGAACTGCCTTCCATGCAGGTTTGGTGTTGTTCTTCCACCAGTTCGGTGTAATACAAGAAAACATTACATGTGTTCCTTGTTTGAAATATTAGGCTAAAAAGTGACAGAACAAAATATCACTTTTACCATCATATCTTCGCTTTGTGTCAAATATTAGGCGCTCATTGAAAGAAAAAAAAAAAACAAACAAAAGGATCTAGTTGAATTCACGTGGGTTGGAGGCTTGGAGCCGTAGCTAATAGATACTTTCCAGATTACCAACCTTAATGCTATCTCTTACAAATAAGTGATGTGGGGATGATAACATTGACAACAATTCTGGGTGGGCAACATCACCTATCAAAAGCAAATGCTTGTGCTAATTTGACGTGTTAACCGTTAGGCTAAGAAAGACCCGTTTAACAGAATAATTCCTTAATACGGTTCCTCGATTATCCTAAATGAAAATTGTTCCTGGACGTAAGCAGTGAACAGAAGCAACATGTTTGGTCTGCATATTTTTGCTACCATGAATTTTGTTCTTGTCTCCATGCAACATACTTGCGTTTTCTGTTGGTCATTGCTTCCTGTTTTTCAAGGTATGTTGTTTTACGGTTGGTTTATTTAAACCACTTTTTATTAAATATTAGTACTGAAATCTTATGAAAAGTTGATGAATTGGCAAAGAATGGTTTAAGATGTGGCAGATATTTACTCAGGAGATGTAATTTTTTGGTGCTCCCGCTCCCTTCTGTCTTTGATTATATATTTAATTAAATGATTCACATTTTATTCTTTTTACTCGGTAATTGTCAGACTGTTTTGATGTATTGGTAGCTGAAATCATTTTGGTACATGTTACATGTATCAGTATAAGGGAACATTACTTCTGGTTTTATTACATCTATGTGCTCTTGATCCTTACTCAGTATTATGTGGTCGCATACCAATCTACACTTGTTTATTTTTTGTTGTTAGATTATCCTCTGGCTATTGTTGGTCTAACTAATAGCTCTCTTGTTTGATTCGGTGTCAGCCTGGAGGAGCAGCCAGTGGTGCTCATGATAATTACTGGAACCAGCCGGCTCCAAGTTTTCAAACTCATCTTGCTGCTCCTACTCAGCCAATATATCAAAACTCTTTGGACTCAAAAACTTCTTATGAAAATTTTCAGGAACTAAAGACTGCTCCTCAAGGATTGAATTCCCAATATCCTGTTGTTCATCAGGTGTCCCAGAATTATCAATCAACTTTACCAACTGTTCCATCATTTGATGCGCGAAGGGTAAGCAAATTGCAGATTCCAACAAATCCTAGAATTGCTTCGAATGCAGCTCTTGGCATAGCAAAAACAGAAAAGGACAGTTATGCGGCCAATTCAGCTCCGAGGCCGGCTTATATTAGTGTTTCTGTACAAAAGCCAAATGACAAGATGTCGCCAAATAATGCTGCTGATCCTATGCTGAAGGTAAAATTTTCTTGCCTGGTGATGTGCCATAAGAATGATGCTAAGGTTAGTACTATACGGGTTGCTTTAAAACGGTTGGTAACAGTTGATCCTGAGCTGGCAACTTGAGATTATGGCAAGTGCAGAACTTCAGGAGCTTAGTTTTCGTTACTTTCTATCATGAAACCAAAATGTGTCACAGAGGTTAAGTCGCTTTATACATTCAAATAATCTCATTTTGAAAGGGAGGGTGGTTCTCTGAGTTGAACCCGCTACCTTCCCAATCAAATGAAAACTGTATTGTCGGGGTGGAGTGACCAATGAGTTTTTACTTGTTTCCTCCACTCCCTGAATTTTGAACATAGGGTGGTTTCTCTAGTGTAAACCTGTGAGGCTACTACCTGTTAAGGCGGAGTGGGATGGCATAGACGTCACAATGATGATGTGCATTCATCTCTCATTTTATTGTAAACTGTGTTCCACCGACTTTTTTGAGTTTTTACAGCAAAGGCACATAGATACCCTTGTATATCATTTATGTCAACGAGTGTAGGTATTGGAAGTGATCACGTTTCGTGATACTCAATATTGTTCGTTGGATATTTACAGACTCAAACTCTTTTCTGCAGCCTACCATGCTCCCGAAGTCATTACGTGGTTATGTTGAAAGGGCTTTTGGGAGATATAAAGATGACGATGCTAAAAGGGCAGCTTGTGAAGCATATATGAAGGATGTGAGTTCAACTGATTATCATTCCTTCTAATGAGACCACTGGGAGATAAAGTTCATGCTTCGATTCTCATTTGAAATAGTATTCATGCTATCTGTTAACCTAGATCAGATTAATGATCTTTCGTATTGTCGACTTGTTTTAACCATTAAGATTTTGTTACATTTTTTACTCTGGGCTATCAGATATCATTGATGGATGTTCTTGGTACTTTTCTTCAGATCATCACTGAAGCACGTGCTGATGGTACACTTTATACTAGAGATTGGGATAGTGAGCCTCTTTTCACAGTACCAGACTCTCTTTCCATCAGCAAGGCGTACGTTCTATGCATATTCTCACTGATCAGTATAGATTGCATTCCATCAAGCATTTTCACGAGCAAGCCATTCTCCACTTCCTATATACCTATGGTTTCAAATCTAAAATTTCATTCTAATCTGAGCAGTGATATTTGTGCTCTTCCTGGCTGCAGAAATATACAAACTCCAACTCATGCTTCAATACCAAATTATAATAAGAGTCCAGTCAGACGGTCTAAAAGCAGATGGGAGCCTTTAGCCGAAGAGAAAATGTTGGAAAAACCTGTTTCTGCCAGTAATGAGATTGGAAAATATGGTAGCTGGGACAGAAAGGTAATCATATTGAACTCTTCCGCATTTCCTAATGGTCTTAAACTTGATTTATTTGAATCACTTTTTCACTCTGCCATCATTCTATCTTTTATTTATTATCACTGCAGACTTTCAGTGGGTACTCTGCTACCAAGGATAATTCTCTCAGTAGTTTCAGATTCTCTGGACCACAGCAGAGAACTCCTAGCAAAAGTGCCCAGAGGCCCATGAAAAGGCAACGCATCGTAAATGGTACTGGTTTAACTAACAATGATGATGATGCATCAAGTGACAGTGACAAGGAGCAAAGTTTGACAGCATATTATTCTGGTGCAATGGCATTGGCTAACAACCCAGAGGAAAAAAAGAGACGAGAAAGTCGATCTAAACGTTTTGATAGAGGGCAAGGGCATCGTCCGGACATCAATTATTTCAAACCAAAAAATGCTGGTCCTGCAAACTTGTACACCAGAAGAGCTAGTGCCTTGATGCTTAGTAAGAGCTTTGATGATAGTGCAAACCAAGCTGTTGAAGACATTGATTGGGATGCACTCACTGTTAAAGGAACATGTCAGGAAATTGAAAAACGCTTTTTGCGTCTCACTTCTGCACCTGACCCCTCCACTGTATGTATTTCTTGTTGTGCCTTGTCCTGCTCTTATCTGCTTCCTTCCTTGGGTGAGATCATATGGGGTAGACATTGTTAATTTCTATACATTTTGCAGGTGAGACCAGAAGATGTACTAGAGAAAGCTTTGTTAATGGTTCAAAATTCTCAAAAGAACTACCTTTATAAGTGCGATCAGTTGAAATCCATCCGTCAGGATATTACTGTACAGAGGATAAGGAATCAGTTAACTGTTAAGGTGCGATTTCTTTCTATCGTTTAGTATATGAAAAGAACTCTCTATGCTATGACCTTATACATCCATTAGTCCACTAGCTGCATAATTACGGTCAGTGGTATGATCGAATCTTTAATCGTGTGGAAGATAAATTCCAATGGTCCTACTTGAAAAAGGAGGTATATGGAACGCTAGAGTTAGTTAATTTATCATAGATTCTTAGTTTGCGGTATCCTTAAGCTACTTTAGCAAGTCACATACTCTAATCATGCTTAGTCCTTCCAGAAATGTTTTGTTGCTTTTTTTTTGGGTGTGTTTGACTTGTTAGGGTTGTATTTGGATTCTCTTATCTAGTCTTTACTTATGGATGTCACAGATTTTATAATCTGCAATTCAAAGTTTCTGAAGTCCTTCAGTGGATATGAATTCACAGTCGACTAGTGCACATGAATATCAGAAAATTTTGGCATGTTTTTAACTATTTTGGTTGTGTTGCATATTCATTCAGGTATATGAAACACATGCAAGACTAGCAATGGAAGTTGGTGACTTGGCTGAGTATAATCAGGTATGTAGCTTTGCTACTCTTTGGGTATCAAATGCATGTTTTACTTGTATTTTGAAATGTGATTTGCTTTGGTAATATGTGGGCCTGAAATATATTCGATTGAAGTGAGGGGTCACTAAACAATCTGCTGACATGTGAGTGTGATGAAGTAGATTCATAATACAGAAACAAGAAAAGAAAAAGAAAGGGAGTCGGAGCGTATAAGAAAAGTTTGAAAGAAAAGAATGGTGATCAATTTTTTGTTTTGAACTTCTCTTGGACTGAGCAATAGCTTCTTTTTTGCAACTATTAAATCATGATGCAGTGAGTTGCATTAGCTTTTTTGAGGCATATCTGCTATTCGTTTTTGAGTATTTTGTCTTTCACTCATGCATGTGAGTTGCATTAGCTTTTTTGAGGCATATACCACTTTTCTGATTGAATTCCTTCTATTTTTTCTGAACCTCCCAGTGTCAGTCACAGTTACAGATCCTCTACTCAGAAGGAATTGAGGGCTGCCTCATGGAGTTCGCAGCTTACAACTTGCTTTGTGTTATCTTGCACTCTAATAACAAAAAGGATCTTTTGACGTCAATGTCAAGGTAGGAGTCATTCTGCAGGATGTTGGCATTCGGATGTGCATGTCTGTTCTCCATTTTATCATTTTTAGAGACTTTTAAGCTTTTTACTGCTCTATCATAATCATGGGGAGGCTGTCCAGCTATGTACATGCTATATTGTTAGATGCCTGTATTACCATGCAAAATTGTCCATAATATTAGTGACGCAAATTGTCCTTAAGATATCGAGTTGGTGAGAACATTTCAAGGCATAAAAGTGGTACAAAACCAAGATAAAACCAGTGTTGTGATGCTGGTTATATCCTTTAAACTATGTACCAGGTTCAAGTTGTTCGTTTTATAACGGTTTGTTATCGTACCTCTATTATACTTTAGAAGCTTTAGTGTCATTAGTCTAATATCCAGCTTTCAGAACCCATGGAGAAAGGCGTACAGGCCACCAGTATAGTTAGTGTTAGGGTATACTAGTTTATTGCAGTGATTTGCTTATACATATTTTCTGTTTTCAGCTCTTACATTGGTTCTTAAATGTAAATCTCATGGGCTCGAAACATATACCTTTGCTGCCTTCCCAATTTGAATCCACATTCAGTCGCAATGCTGAGGAAACTTTGCTGTGTTGAAATTTGCAGATTAACCCCAGAAGCGAAGGAGGATGATGCGGTGAAACATGCTCTTGCAGTTCGTGCTGCTGTCACTTCTGGAAATTATGTTACTTTTTTCAGACTGTACAAGTCGGCTCCCAACTTAAACACTTGCTTGATGGGTTAGTATTATTATTTTTTCTGTACCTCCATGAGAAAATCTCATACCCTCTGAACAATCCAGGGAATTAACCTGCCTGGTCATTTTTCTTGTGTCCTTCCAGATCTTTATGTTGAAAAGATGCGGTACAAGGCTGCAGTCTGCATGTCCAAGTCATATCGCCCTACTGTTCCCATTTCATATATTGCGCAAATCTTGGGCTTCTCTAATGCTGCGGATGAAAATGGGGAGACGGAGTTGAGTGGGTTGGACGAGTGCTTAGAATGGTTGAAGGCACATGGTGCTAGCCTGATCACAGACAACACTGGGGAGATGCAACTCGATGCAAAGGTAATTCTGATAGAAACCTACGGTTTCTATTATTAATATTATGATTATTAGATTTATTATTATTAAGGTTAGTAGTCTTCTAGTTGTATCATTAATATTATTATTATTAGATTTATTATTATTAAGGTTAGTAGTCTTCTAGTTGTATCATTAATATTATTATTATTAGATTTATTATTATTAAGGTTAGTAGTCTTCTAGTTGTATCAGGTTAATTGTTAGGGTTTTCCAGTTCTTTTCTTATATAGGTACGTTGCTATTCGTCTATAGAATCAACAAGAAGAATATTAAGAAAAACCTTCCAAACCCTAAATTTCCTATCCTCTCAATTCTCGTTTTCAATCTTCTCTTCTTTCCCAAATCTCAATCTCAATCCCTAATTCTGTTCTTCAATCCCTAATTCCCAATTCTACAACCCGACCGATAGAATCCTAGAAACAGGTTCTATCAAATTCAGAACTTTCTTTCTATTGAATGTGTGTGCCTGCTCTTTTAGATTTTAGACTTAAAAGCTTTGCCCTTAATAAGGGTTTAGAAAAAGTCGAATTCCTTAGGTGTTTAGAGATACTTACAGCTGATGGGATATGAAATATTTGTTAGCAATAAAAAAAAAATGATGAGATGGTAGATAGTCAGTAGTTCAATACTATAAAAATCAACAAATTTCGGAAAATTCTTCATGGTATAATGTTTGGTAATGCGACTATTATGGGCGTGAACTTTGAGGATTGAGTTGAAGAACTATTTCACGCTTGAGATTCATCATGAATAGTTGGTTGAGAAGTTAGATCCTAGAAGTTTGTTTTGAGCTTCTAAATCCACTGTTATTCAACGTTTTCTTTAATAGCTAAAATAAAAAAACACAACCATACGCAAAATCACTTTGCACTTCATAGTATGCTTGAATCGATCCATTTTTTATCCTGCAGGCATCTTCTTCCACCCTGTACATGCCAGAGCCTGAAGATGCAGTTGCTCATGGAGACTCTAGCCTTGCTGTCAACGATTTCCTGGCTCGAACCACATAATGATGCAGAAGGCTGATTGTAGTTTCGCTGCAGGTAGCACAAGAAATCGGTGGAAAAGAGCTTGTGTGTGTCCCTCCGACGAGTTCGAGAAAGGTAACCATTTTTCCCACTTTCCTGAGAATCTTGAAGAGGGTTATGTTGAATGGTGTACAAAAGGGCCGTTAAATTCAAATACTACTTCATGCCTCTTTGGTTGCTAACCCTTTCATTTTAGGTTGGCTCTGAGCGTAACTAGATGTGTGTTAAGTTGATTCGTTGTTAGTGAAGTTGTAAGAAGGTATAAGGTAACAGATTAAAATTTCCAGGCATATACAAAAAGATCGATCTGTTGTATTTTATGTTGATCCTTTGAAACACTTACCCGGAGGCACTCAGCTTCCAGATTCCGTGATGAAATAAACCCAAATTGTTCATGAACGTACCAGTGAAGCTTTTCGAAGAACACGAATCAAGTAAGCTTTTTCGAAAGGATGGACTCAATGATGAATGTTGCTTAATGACTTCAATGAAAGTAAGGTTTTGTGTTGATCTACGACTCGTTTCTGGGTTTTAGATTACAATTACGTCAATTCAAATTGCTGTCAACTGAATAAAAAAGCGATCACATCATAGATCTCAACTTTGACTACTATACTAGGGTTCATATCATATGGTTAAAATTGAAACCCTCCCTTAGCAAGTTGACTAAATTGATGTGATCTTTCTATCTCCATAGACATTATGGAACGGGTAATGTGTTCGATATGAAATCCATAGTTTGGAGCTGACAAAGAATAGCATAAACCGTAAAATCCGCAGATCGGAACCGATCGCCGCCATTTTCCCGCTCCCGGCTCAATTTCGGATCACATTGTTCCTTCGTGGCTCTCAATTCTTTCGCCGGAGACGACTCCGGTCAGACGCTGATTTTCTCCTTCTCGTACTTCAATGTACAACGCCGGCACCGCAGCCACGAATTAGATCTGGACGAGGACGATCGACGGGGTGTGGTAGCTGAGCACGCTCTTCACCGTCGCCAGCTCCACCAGTAGCAGCGCCGCCAGCCCGAGAAACGCGATCCGCCCGTTCAACCTCTCGCTGTGGCCTGTGAGGAGTGAATCCGAATTCCGCTTTCAAGCCTGCCGAGACCGGCTCCTTCAGCGGGACCGGAGGCAGGTAGTGGGCCGCGCCGGAGGATTTCGAGGAGGCTCTCTGCTAGGGATGTCAATCCAACCCGTAACCATTGGTACCCTACCCGACCGTAACCGGTCAACGAGGGTAATTACCCGCTTTGACGGGTAAAGGGGCGGGTACGGGTAATACCCGGTTTCAAAATAAAGGGTAGGGTACGGGTATGGTAATCGATAATACCCGCTCCGTTATACCCGCCCCGCTAACCAAAGGGTCAATTTCCCTTGAGAAATTTAGATTAGCTTGAAAAATTGAGTTTAGCTACCATTATTGATGATGAAGATGTAGACGATTATTATGTTTGTGTGGATTGTAGAAGCAAGAACAATTATTATGTGTTTGCTATTTTTATTTGTGTGGATTGTTGAAGCTCGAATAGTTACAAGTATTGAGAATTTTTTTTTTATAAAGAAGTATTGAGAATTTTTAATGGACAACAGTATGTATGTGCATATATGTGTATAAGTTCATAGTTTTTGGTTCGTACACATGGTTACCCGAATACCCGTGGTTACCCGGTGGGTAGGGTATGGTTATATAATTTTCATACCCGGTGGTTATTTGGTCGGGTATTTTAGAAAGCTCTACCCGGCGGGTTAGGAGTTGGTATAGGGTAAACCCGCACCCGACCCTACCCATTGCCATCCCTACTCCCTGCTTTCTGGCCTTCCGCATCTCCGCTTTCTTCCCCCGTTGATTGGATAAGGTTTCCTTCTCCCTCGTGGTGCTCTATCCGTTTCTTTGTTCAACTGCGGGCGGGACTATTCGTTTCTGTGGAGTAGAGTTTTCCCTTTCGGAACATGTTCGTTGAGGTTTTGGGTCTAAGATTCGGGAAACTTGGCCCAATAATATGTAGCTGGACGATCCATTAAGAACTAGATCCAGTAACGTTGGCCTGCAGGCTTTAGCAGCAAAATTACCAAAACAAGGAGAAGGCTCTTCTATTTGGAATGGTGCTGATTTATAGGTTTCAAGTTCGCACAAAGTCTTCATGTAATTATTGCATCTAAATGAATTGTTAACATTACAGTGATGCAGTTTGAGTACAAGACCTTTCAATCAAAGTTTGATATGGATTGAAAGCATACAGAGGATAAATATATAAAAGAGATTTGACGGTATGTTTCAAGTCCATATAGAGGACGTAGAAAATGCCTCACAGTTGCAATTTGATAATGCAATTTGTGGGTTCCATACTTTATATTGACAAACAAGATCCCAATGATTGATAATGAATTGATATGGAGTTCGAATTACAGTAGAAGTTACTTACAATTATTTATTTAATTGTCTATAGCACAAGTAACCCAGGGTTAAAACACTGCTCAAATAACTGCACTTGTTGGGTTAGGTTGAATAATTGATCTTATATCATTTACTAACACACTTTCTCAAATAAAATCCGGCTTGAAGTTTGCACAAATATGATTATCACGTGCTTAGCAAATGAGGTCGCCAAGGTTCAAATACAAGACCTCTTGGTCATCCATTCTTAATTTGACGCGGCCTAGTGTCATCCTGTGACACTCTTCCTCCTCCCTAGTAAGTTTTTTTTTGGGTGTACTTACAGTTAGGGGTGTGCAACGGTTCGGTCTGGTGATCCTCATGAGAACCGCGGCCCAGTATTGAAAGACATCTTAGGACCAAAGACCGGACCATCATTGTATTCGGTCCATTTGGTTTGGTTCGGTCTTGTCCAAATATCAGCTCGGCTCATCATTTCTTCAATAATTGTGAAATTCATGTGGACCAAGGGCCGGACCGCACCAGACCAAAGTTTGGTGCGGTCCGGTCCCGAACCAAACCATTGTACACCCCTACTTACAATTTAGCTAACATCCGATGAAAATTTTGTTGCTAATATTGAATAACTACACTTTTGATTTTCAATGGATCATTGTTATTTGTAGATAACTCGTTAGTAAAGTTTGAATAGCTCCTAAAAGTACTGTTATTATACCTATCAAAGCTATCAGATTCATTATGTAAGGTATAACGGCGAAAAGGGGAAGAAGGCGGGCTACAAGAAAAATTCATGTTTCAATAAGCGTTATATAAATTATCCATCATGCATTTGTAATGTTGTTCATTCTCAATTGGGTGCGCCCTAATTTTTATTTACAATTAATTACTATACCTAATTTACCTATTTTTCCTACCCTCTAACACCCTAGCTAAGCTCCTTTGCAAATAGCTCCAGCCCAAGCATTATTTTACCACTGTTATAACTACGTACTTAAGGCTAATCTTGTGGTAGAGGAAAAAGTAAGCCAAGCTAAGCTGCATGTGAAAGGTACGTACGTATTACTGTGGCGGGTTAAACTTAAAACTTAAAAGCAAGTCCTTTAATTAAAGCATATGCATGCATGGGTTTCATTCGCGTGGGGTTACTGTAGAGTAATTAATTAATTAATTAATTGCCTACATTACATGCATGCAAGTTCCATGTGCCCTTGTTCGATATATACACATAATTTAAGCGACCCAATTAATTATGATTATTGTCCACATAATCCTTCCTGTAGCTAATACGTACCTACACTACGCTCGCTCGTTGTAATTTGTAAAGTTTGAAACGCACGTTAGAGCTTATAAATTGTTATGAACCCGACCTCAAGCTACGTACACTTGCGTACCCGGTCCACTCCAATAATGGGGCTACCGGCTATTAATTGAGCCCGATTGCCCGACCGGCCAGCCCGCCGAAAGTGGCGAGTGCAGTGACCTAAGCTAACAACATTCCTTCCTGCCTGCCCTCTTTAATTATATTTATTCAGGCCGCCGAAGCTTGAATTGATCGACCTCAAATAATTCCCTTCATATCAGATCGATCAATGGATTCCCTTTTTCCGCGCGCAGCAGCTGCCTGCAGATCATGGCTAGCTGTAATGCATTATGGTGCATGTGCCAGTTGCCATTACCCTGCGGCCATGGGCATGCAGCAGACGCGCGATATTTTCTTTTTTTTAGATAAGGGTGATATATGTTACTTTTTTTTTTTTGTTATTAGGTACTACTGAAGGGACTCGAACCTGGGACCTCCAGGTTCATGGTTAGTGGTATTACCACTAGACTAATCCCTTATTCGTAGACGCGCGGTATTTTGTCATTTTATCCTAAAAAAATTTGTCGCAGGGTAATTAAGTTTATTAATCCAACAAATTTGTCATTTTATCCTTTTTGTTTGCCCTTAATTAAGGGATTTGTTCAAGTAAGAACTATAAGCTCCACTCTGAAAATCAAACTCTTAGTAATTGTTTTAGTTCATCTGGATCTCATCATGAAAAATTTAAATTCGAATTTTGGCCAGTACGTATCTATACACAAATAAAATAAGCATCCATATTTGTAAGGGGATAATATATACAAGCAACGAAACCGCCTCGATCGAGCGAGTCCAAATTCCCCGGCGATAATTAAGCCTGCCGTCGGTATGAGTTAGGCTACCAACCTGAAAACAAGGGTCCTTCTTTCCTTCATTATATTCCTCATCATCATCTTCTGTTGCAAATAAAACAATAAATAAATAGATAAGAGAGATATAGGCTAGCAATTTAAATAAAAGCCAAAGGGCGAATATAATTCACACGAATTGTCAAAGCTGTCTTGTGCCTTTGGGTTGACACCTTTTGCTAGCTTTTAGGTAACCTATCTCCCTACTTCACCTGCATCTGCATGCATGTGATCCTCCCTCCCTCCACATGAAACACAAAAGAATTCTGTGGTCCGTCTAACCATATTTCTTTCCCCATTTCCTTACGTTGACTTTTTCGTATCCTACGCTTCCAAAGTCTTGGTGGGGCTACCTACCTACTACTGCTTCTTCTTCATTAGCCTACCAATGTGCTTAATTGCCTTAATAAGATTGTAATATATAGTACAATTGCTTATTAATTGTAGCTGTAAGTATAGTTTCTTCTGGGCAATCGCTATTCTCTTGATCACGATCAGTATTATTACTTAATTCAGCCGCTGCTGGCTTACTTAGCTTGCTAATGGTAGCTAGCTAGGAATTTAATTGCATACGGATCAGAAGTTAGGTAAGAAGATTTGGAACCTGAATATCTAGCTTAGCTACTTGGTTGGATGATCTAATCTAGCACACTCTAACAAATTAAACGCCCTTCAAGAAACCCGCATAATTATATTCCTAGATACCTAGCGCATATATATATATATATATATATATAATCCTCGAGTTTAATTTGCTATTTAGATAATGAAATAAACGGAGTTTGAGAAATGGTATAATATTCTAATTTTCAATAAGCGAAATCCAATCTCTAATCCTTTAACTCAATCATAAAATTTATTTAATCTAGAATCAATAACCGACATTTCTGATTCATCGACATATATCGAAATATATATGAACATTTGTGTATAGTATATGTCAAGCATACGCTAGCCTTTACTTAAATACATAAATAAATATATAGGATACAACAAACAACCCCGAAGTCTAACCTAACTCATCGGTACGATTTACATTTTCGTTAAGTAATGCCGCCTGCCAATTAATAATGACGGTAATGCCTCCTTAATTAGGCACACGAGTTGCGTTTTAGCTTGGATTAGCCGCAGTACTGCAAGTTAGGTTTGCTTCCGTTCCATTTCTTTCCATTTTATATAACAGCTCACTAATGACACGGTTATGCTAGTAGGTAAATCTTGATCCGCCTTCCCAGGGATAAAATAAACCATGGTATGGTATCGCACCCAAAGCAAAAAAGTTTATCTATGTGCCAGTTTAAAATTACTACCAAAACTAACCTATTTTGTGTGCTTAATTATTCTACCATTGACATTTGCGGTGGATTACTTCCATCACAGAGAGCTAATTCGTGAGTAGAGAGCTGCATTTTACCATGTTGAGCATGATTGCTTTTTATGAATAAACTCAAGCCGTACAAAATCCTTTGATATTGAATCGTGAAAATTCAAAAATGATACTCCTCTCACGATAAAATTTTGTATTTCAATAATCAGGAGACAAACAAAGACGAACTTCAATAATTATTTGCTACCTTCGATCAAGGAGAGTGAAAAAAAAGTATATGTAAATCATATATATATTTAACAGTTTTTACATCATCATCAAGGTAATTCTCCAAATAATTTACCCCAAACTGTTAAACTTCTTTTAAAAAATCCCAAACCTCAAAAGTAAAACAAAGCAAAAAAAAAAAAGAGAAAAACACCATCATCCAATACATTTGGCCGCCAATCGCAGCCTTCTTCCCTTACCGACGGAACCATTCAATTTTACCTTTTACCTCATCAACTCCGATCTTCTTTCACCTCCTCTTGTTCTTACTCCCCAGTAACAAAGCAAAGTAAAACAAAATCCTGAAAAAGAAACCCCACGCCACCGTCACCACCAAGCACTCCCACTTCCCGAGATCCGTGATCCCTTGCTGCTTCAGTATGTCGCTCCCGGTCGTCAGGCACGTCGTCGCCGTTATGTTCACCCCCATCGACCCGCTAATGTTCTTCAGCAGCCGCAGCTTCATCGCCGCCGGCAGCGCCGCCAACGGCGAGTTGTCGAAAATCTGCACCCCTCGCACAAAGCACTTGTGCGGGTCCTGGAACTCGTTCAGCAAAACGGCCTCGTATGGGTACTTCACCAGCGACATGTAATGGAACCACAACCAGTAGTCGGGTATTCGGTCCCGGGTTATGAAAAACCCGCTGAACAGCAAGAAGTAAGCCAGAATCGCCACCACGATTGTGTAACCCAGCATCACATGCGGAACGACGCCGGATAGGAAAGTAACGAACGAGTTCCCGGCCCAAAACGACGCCAGGATTATAAAGAAGTAGAACAAGAAACCCGAGAACCCGCCGTCCAACCCGACGGCCCAAAACGTCGTCGCTGCGAAGGTGATTGACAGGAAGGCGATAGCGGGGAAAGAAACCAGCGCGTGGGATAGGACGTAGGAGGATCGACGGTACGCGTTGTGCGCAGTCTCCCGCAAGTAGATGTAACGCTCCTGGAGGAAAACCGGGAGCGCGTCGGCGCAGGTGTAGAATGTAGTCGACATCGCGAAGGCGAAGAAACCCAGCCGCTCCTGAATCCCCTTCGGCGAGTTGTCGAGGTGCCAGAACATCGTCGCGAGGATGAATCCGGTGACCAGAACCGCTCCGAGCCGGATTCCGAAAAGCTCCGGCATCCGGCGGGAATTCGTCACAGATCTGGTGGAGAGGACCGCCATTTCCTTCCAGATCGGGTTGGCGAAGGTGGGGACCATGGATGCTGAGCTGGCGTCGTTGGTGGCGCCGGAGACGAGCTTTCCTCTGGAGATACTGGCGGAGATTGCTTCCTTGAGCGAGATCTGGGGGTTAATTGAATCGTCGTCGTCGTGGTGGCGGTGGCGAGATACGGCGCCGTTTTTGACTGTTTGCCAGTGTTTGTTGAATTCGACTAGGGATTTGGTGCCGCCAGGGGAACCTTCGAGTTCGCGGATCAGATCCAGAGCGAATTCGGTCCGGTTCTCCTTGTCGGGTATCGGGTGCCCGAAATCGGAGAAGAAAACGGGCAGGTTGTTGGGGGAACCGCTGTAGACGGTCTGCCCGCGGGAGAGGAAGAGCAATCGGTCGAGCAGGCCGAGGATTCTGTAGCTCGGCTGGTGTACGGTCATGATGACGATGCTGCCGGACTGCGCGATTCGCTGGAGGACTTTGACGACCATGTAGGCGCTGGTGGAGTCGAGCCCCGAGGTCGGCTCGTCGAGGAAGAGGATGATCGGGTCGTGGATTATGTCGATTCCGATCGAGACGCGGCGGCGCTCGCCGCCGGAGACGCCGCGGTGGCCTTCGTCTCCGATGACGGTCTTCGCCGCGTTGCGGAGGCCGAGCTGGTCGATTAAGGCCTGGACTCTGGCTTTCTTCTTGGAATTGGAAAGAGTCCGCGGGAGGCGGAACTCCGCCGCGAACATCAGGGTCTCCTCCACCGTCAACATCGGGTAGAGGAGATCGTCCTGCTGGACGTAAGCCGAGATTACCTTGAGCATCCTCGATTCGAGCGGCTCGCCGTTCAAATTGACCGTTCCTTTGAGCGAATCTTTCGCGATTCGGTTCGCGAGGGCGTCGATCAGAGTCGATTTGCCGGAGCCGCTGGCTCCGAGCACCGCCATGATCTCGCCGTCGCGAGCCTCGCCGGAGATGTCGTTGAGGAGAGTCTTGGTGCGGGTGAAGAGGCTGAGGCTCTCGCCGGCGACGGGGTCGGCGGCGGCGGGGCCGAGGCGGTTGCGGCGGACGGGGAGGAGGTCGGGGAGGCGGAGCTTGCGGCGGGTGCGGACGCTGTAGGTGAGGTTGTTGAAGGAGAGGACGAAGGGGATGGAGCGGGGGAGGTTGGGGTGGGAGTCGCCGAGCTCGAGGACCTGGTGGACGGGAGTCTCGCTGCCGTCGCCGGTGGCTTCTTTTCGGACGTCGCCGACCTGCTTGAGGAGCTGGCCGAGGGTTGGGGAGAGGCCGAAGGGTCGACGCGACGGCGGCTGATGATCGGTGAGCTCCATGTCGGCGAGTGCGAGAGAAGAGCGGAAGGGGACGGTGTCGTGATTGGGGGAGGGATAGTCAGCCACGACGCGTGACATGTAGGATATTTGTAACTGTCCGAGTGGGTCGCGTATTTATAGGAAGCTAGGGAAATGGGGAAGCTGACGGCGTGAGAAGGGGTTCTCACGCTGTTGGAGGGGGAGTGGTTAACGGCGTCAATGGGGCATTTTTGTTCAGCGAGCAGAGTCGGCGTGGACTGGGGAATTGAGAGGAGAGAGAGAGAAGGGGAAGTTGGTTTTGATTTGATGAGAGACTCTGTGTGGGTTTAGGGTTTGTGAAAAAACTGTACGTATATATAGCGAAATTTGATTATTGGGATATTCTGATATATTATATATTTAGTTTGTATTTTTATTAGGGTTTGAGTTTAATTAATTTTCTAATTATTGTTATTATATTTATCGGGGTGATTTGTGGTTTCAGCTGTGGAAGGGAGAGAGAGAGAGAGGAGGTGACCTAAAACCTCCTAACTTCCATTTGTGTTTGTTTATACGTCTCCTATTACTTGGGGGAAGGGGGTCCCTGCGGCTGACACGTGGGAGGATCTGGTTGGGTGAGGGGATCCTCCACGTGGAGGAATGGGTGTTCAGCTTGCATGGGTGGAGTAATATAATAAGACTACTGTAGTTTAGAAGCCATCAACAGAAGGTTTGGGTAAAGTAGGTTGGAGATTGATGGGCTGTGTTACGTAAGCTGTTGGCTGCCTGTGATCAGTAAGGTAATTAAACTAACAAAGAAATTTTGGGAAATGGAAATCTTTTTTAATCAAATACGGCATTATGTCAACCTGGCGGTGAACTAAAAGTCTGATAAAAGAGCTATAATTATGGTAAATACTAAATATCCAAAGAAAAAACTCGAGATAAATATCACCTCAAAGTAACAAACGCACTTTAAAAACTAAGATTACCTCATGAGTTAAGTTACACAAGATTTTGGATTATCTATAGTTATAGAAAAAAATCTTATGTATAGTTGAGTGAGTATAATGGGGATTCTTATTTTTGGGTGCGTAACACGAACTAACAATATAATTTTTTATCATTTAATTCGTTCTAAAATTCTCACATTATACATATGTATGATATACTTAACAGAAAAAGCATAAAAAATTACGCGAAAATTATTTAACATTTGCATGCCTATGTTTAGTAAATGTGAAAGTTTTATCTAGTACGTATTTTACCAAATCAATCACTGCATTGTTAATTTGTTATCACATGAGTATTCTAGAAACTAAGAAACATTTTTTGAGCAAATTAAAATGTTGCTCCTCCTGCTACTAGTAATAATGATCAATCGTAATCACCTGTTTGTTTTAGCTTGTAAACTGTAACGCAGAGCGACACTTCCCTTACTCCTCTCTCTACCTAGTCTGTAGAAGTTAAGTTAAAGTGCAGAGAGGGCTAATTAAGTTAACTCAAACTTGCAAGTTTAAGTGTCTGATAATTAATGAATATACATGAACCGATGGTCTAAAATTACCTTAGCATACACCCCTCGTCATACCAGAAAAAAACTAAATATCGAAAACCCTCGAGAACAAGCAACAGAGACTTCTGAGTTTATCTGGAATGAGATGCAAAACCTTCTGCATATATATACACATGAATGCAGGTTGTAGAATGCAGTTACATGTTCTTTTCAGTGCGTCGAGCAGCTTGGTGTTACTCAGAATGGTAAACTGGGGAGGGAGTTTCGTAACTGAAACTTTGGAAGACTGTGTGAATATGTGACATTGCAGACTTCCAGCAGGAACAGTGTACGACCTTCAACCATATCTCAAAGTAGCAATTGTCCAAATTAATAAGGGTACTATATATGCCTTGCAAGTTGCAACAGTTAGCCCACATGCATGCGAAGCGCCAAAGAGTTGGCAGTTTTAGGTTTTACCAAAACCAGAAAGAAAAGAGTCCAGGAACGACATATATACTTTGGTTTTGGGTGTTTTGACGCAAGTATGGACTTACATAAGTGGATTGGGGGTTTTGACGGTCATGGTTGTTGTTTGGATGTACACATGGTAAATTATTTCCCAAACTTGCACTATGTGTATGTGCATATCCAACGACGTAGGATAATATTCTTTCTGGATGATTGTGTATGAATTACGGGCCGGACGCACGATCCAATGGCGTATAAGAAAAAATGAATCGACAAAAAAGTAATAAAAATTATAATTAATCCAATCCAATTAATTCTGATTCACCAATCCGCTAATCTAATTCATCACTTCATGAATACAATTCATTTGCTAGATGATCTACATGAGAAATATGTAGGTTCTCAATATAATTGATGTGAGTATCTGTGGGGTGGACATGGATGCTCATAATATTACTTCTCGATGTCCCTCAATTGAATCTTTAAATTATTATTAGAAAATTGCGAAATAAAATCTAACGAAGACAAAATTAATACATTTTTTCTTGGACTGCACCAATGTATATAACTATAACTATATATACATTGCTTGTTTGAAAATCTTGACCCCAAATAGAAATTGTTTTGAATTTAACGAAAAAATTTATTACGCCTATCTTTTAACGTTCATCTCATCAACTCAATCTTTTTATATTCCATATGATTTCAAAGTTCATAGCTAAATATAATACAAAAAAGGTTTGCGAAGTTTAAGATGGAGAAAAGTTACTTTCGTGGTCATGAATCGAATCACCGTAACTGCATTTCGTGGTCAATCCAATTACGGTATCATCAATCTCTTTTGAACAAAATGGAAAGTATCCAGATCGAGGGAGAGAACGGGCCGGAAAATCTCATATAATGAATTCGTTGGACATTTTCACAACCATATTCGTCCTGGTGTTTGAAGGATCAATTCCTTGTTGTACACTACACAGTACACACACGCAAAAGATTGATCATCCCTGATGGTTAATGAACCCAAAGCAGCCGCACTAAGGGAAGAGGGGGACCCTAATGGAAAAGGGGAAAAGAGAAGGAATAGAGGAAACCAACAAGAAAGTGATCTGTTAAACAAGGTGTACATATATTAGTGTAAGAATACTAATAATAAATGTAGGGTTGGGTTGGGTAGTTACTTTGTAGATGGGGCTTCATCACCACTTTCACCAACCCATAATCAAACTAACTTGCACCCCTTCACCATCTACCATTACCAAAACCATTGATACCCATCCCAAAGTCCTCAGAAGATGATTGAACAAGTGCTAAATATAGGTCGATTAGCACCAAAGATTATAAAATCGTAACCGAAGTTGTGTATGATAAATCAATGTTAGGGTATTTCGTACTTAAATTGTGATTTAACAAACAATTGAATTATCAACATCTCAGTTCATAAGATATTGATGGATTCACCAATATGTCGATAATCGAGTTATAGCTCGGTAGTTATTCATAATGTCAAAGACATCTCACGAGCTAAAAATGAGCCAGCTCACAAGTTGAGCTCAACAAGAGTCAAACAGGCAGACGAGCCTTGCAAGCCGAACACAAATTAGCTTAACCTCGGCTAATTAGTAAACGAGTTGAGTTCCTAATGAACTTTTCCCTGCCAAATGCGTAACCGCTAATTAACCCCAATACCGACTTAATTACTCCGTTTAAACAATTTTTCCCATCGAATCGACGATATGGTATGGTTTAGCAGACAATGATCAGAATTCAACCCCTCAAATGAAAAAGTAAAAAACACACAAGAACATGGGCATAATAATTGAACAAAAAGCCCAGAGAATGCATGTGGCCACTTCGTATTTCATACTAGAAACTTGATTTTTGGTCAATTTTTTTGGTTTGCAGTTCTCATGCATCCCGCAACTAAACGAGACACACAAACTTTACACACTTAAGAGAGGTGATGATGTCCAACATATGCAGTTACCTGTCCCAATCATGCCTTCCATCATCTCGGTTCAAAAAAGGCGCAGATGTGGGGATTCATACATATATTACGAGACTTTTTAAAGAGTATGAAACGAGCGAGGGAGCAGTTCAATTCTGTTGTCGTCTGTCCCATACAGAGTTGGGTAAGAAAAAAGACCTAGCAATCCAAAAGGACCAGAAGAGGTTTCAAACAAGTCGCCTGAATCAGTCCACACTCGGTTTGGTTATAGATGTGAGGCAGGAGAAAGAGCCCAGGAACCCCCACAACCGCAACATCGTCGAGAAGGCAGATATTCGACCGTCCGTTATCAAACAAATACAGGACAACTTCGAGTAAGCAGACATACAACATACAATTACCACAGCGTATCGAATGCCTACATCGACCTACATCGAACCACAGCTTACTGCTACATTGACCACTTGGGATCTAGTGGCATACCAGTAGAGAACATAAAAGCACGTTTGAACAGGAACACACAAAGTTAAAAGCAATAGAAGGAGTTGCTAGTCGTCAGTTTAAGTTCAGCGCAGGGGCAGATTTCAGCGCGCATATACAGCACAGAACCATCGGCTTGAAACAATCGGTCCCTAGAATTCAGCGCACTCGTAAAACGAAGCAACAATATGACAGAGAAGCATGGTAGAAAGAACTACTTCCTAGACAAACAACAATGGAGCGCATACAACAGAGACATCCATCAGAGATTGTGCTACCAAAACTAACCCACCAGAATGGCTCCAACTAATTTTCACATAAACTCTCCACTAGGAATGCAAGAGATGACATGCAATACCACCTAATTGCTGGGTCAATGGCTATGCCTCACACCTGATCGTCCGAGAAGTTGACAGAGAGATCCCAGTACTGGACGACACCAGCATCGGCAAAAATCTTCCTTGCAGCAGCTTCGGTCATGCACTCATGCACAGAGAACCTGTGGAAGCTGGGTTTCGCAACAATCCCTTGCCACACCAACACACATTTGTTACCCGGTTTCTGCTCATCGTCATCATCTCCATCATCTTCACCCTCATCCTCATTCACAGCCTCGGCCCAATTTATACGCCTAAGCATCAAGTTTCCATAGCGCTTGATCGCTTTGCTCCCACCTTCAACAACCACAACGTTGATTCCCTCGGAGATAACACAGCAACCAGTCAAGTGGTTGTGACTCGCATTCACATCAACTTTGAACCGGGTCTTCTTGTGGGACAGATCATTTATCTTGTACACAGAGACCATCGTGCCCAAGGTATTTGGGTCGTCAAACAGCTTCCTCTCTTTCTTCTCACGTCGCTCGGAAGGCGTGAGCTTCCGTGCGATGTTCCTATCAATATGAGCTTGCTCGCGGTCAGCAGCCGCACTGCGAATTTCCTTCTCAAGCTTCGTGGGGTCCTGTGTCGCTTCGGCACCGAGAACTTTCATTAAGTTGCTCATTTTTACTTTTGGTTTTGGCGGTTCAAGCAGGCCTTGCCGGATCATCTCCTGCCTGTCCTTCTCACGAGCAATACGGCGCTGGGTTCGGAGTTTCTTCTGTTCCTTCTTGGTCAGTTTCAGAGGCTGTGGTGGTGGAGGTGCTGGCTCTGCGGGAGGATCGATGGGACGTGGGTGTTCTACATAGCTGGTGATCTTTTGTATCTTCAATTGATTGTCATGGACAATGCCATCCTCGAATTCACCATACACACCACCAACCAGAAGAGGCAAATCCCTGACACCAGAACGAAAATAATTAGACCAACAATGAACAGAATTCAAGCAAAGTATGACAGTTCCATTAAATAATTTCTATTACGAGCTCAATGAGAAACAGAAGACATACCACCACTCAATTTCAGGAATTGGTTCCTTCGCCTTCTCTTTAGTCATAACTCTCTCTCCTACCTCTATAAGGTTAGGATTCACGTCAGGAGCAGCTTTAGCCTTTGCATGAAGTGCTTGTCTGGCCTTCATATCTCTAGCTCTTTCCTCTCCAAATTGATGCTGAAGACATCATAATAAAAAGAAAACAATCAGCCAAACAAAAGGGTTTAGGAAGACATTATGGTTGAAAAGTATTAAAAGCTGGTTGTACAGAGAGCATTATGGATATTCAAAAAGAATTACCCTTAGTCTTATTGATTCAGCATCCTTGGACCATTTTCCTTCCTCAACAAACTGAAAAGACATCCGCTTAGGCCTCAGAATCTTAGCCTTATTGATGCCCATCCTTTCATCAAAATGAGGGTTTGAGTCGGGATCCACTTCCAACTCGGGCTTTAGAATCTGGAAAGCATCCTTCTTTTGCTTGTTGATGTTCACCTGAAAGGACACACAGATATTATGTAGATAGCAACTTAAGAAATATATCAATAACAAGCGACAGAGCCAAAAGAACTTGGACAAACCTTGAGCGTGCTGAGGTTGCTTGGTTTAGTCACACTCACAATATTTCCATGTTCATCTATTTCCCTGCCTAGTGCATCTACCCGGAGAACAGGAGCCTTAGTAGGCTTCTGTGGTCCAACAGCCTCAGTCTGCATCTGTCCAGGGAACATATTAATAAGTGGAGCAAATTCAGGATCCTGACGGAAGCCCATCTTTGCAGCAAGTTCCTGTGCACGTCTGACAGCTTCAAAGTTAGGTGTGCTATTAAGACCAGGAATTGGGGGGAAGCCAATAGCAGGTTGCACCAAAGTAGTTGCAGCAGCAGCTGTAGCTGAAACACCAATAGCGGATGTTGTGGATGATGCACCAACTCCCTGTGGAGTCGAAGATGGAACTTTCAAATCATCTTTGGCCCGTGAAATATTGGTACCACCAGAACCGGAAATATTTGTCAACTGCAGGAACAAATAGAACAGCTGTTAATGCGTGAAGCAGAACCTAATATAAATTGATTAACCCAACAACAGGTGAAGCACAAAATTTTCCAATTTGAGTTGGTACTTACCATTTTTAGCTTCTTCAACTTCTCTTGTAGCTCTTTCTTCATTTCGATGGCTTTCTTAGCTTTTGCTAAAGCATCATGGGAGGAACTTCCACTTTTGCCAGCAGTCGATGATGACCCATCTGTACTAGATTTTCCAGGAACCTCATGAGATCTGGTAATACTAACTCCCTTATTTTCAGTCGTGTTTGAAATTGAAGATACCTTGATAGGGACGGAAAAGTCAGGAGCTACAGAGGACCCAGCAATGCTTGAAAGCTGAGTCAATGAACTGGAGGCAGCACCCTGGAATAACATCACAAGTTACTTTCAGAATCAGAAAGCTAAACAATACCAGGTGATCAATGTTTGAATAATGACAACAAGAGCCTCAGCCTGACAGATACAGCCAGATAAAAGGTAGATAACACTATAGCCTTGCAGATAAAGAATAAAGCGTAGATAAGGTTAGAAGGTTACCGTAAAGACAATGCCAAAAAATCAACACAACCAGAACAATTGCAATCATATGCCAAATCTTACAAGTATTAGAAGTCTAACAGGCAATGCAGGCTAAGTCTAGAACCCTTTCGATGTAGGAACTATTAATAAACAACTTAAATCTTCAGATTGAAACAACAAGTCACAGACACAAAGTTAGTACTGCCCTGACCGTGGTCCAGGATCATAGGCTGAAAATGAAGTGTCATGTGTATAACGGGTGAAGCAGACAGAAGATACAGTGAGCACATAATTGACAATAAATAGAACTCAGTATATGAGAAAACATCATCACAATACCAATAGCTTTGGGGGGAAAGGATCAGGAAAACTACAAGGAAGGAGAGAATCATCCTGCCTTGATTAACTACAGCGCCAGCTGGAATTGAGCTCAACAAAACTGACCAGCAACAAGTTAGCGAGACGTTCAAAGTTCAAACACAGAGTGCGGTCGCACAGGAAAAGAAAGTGTCCAATGCTACATAACCAGTTCGTTAGCAACTTAATTCAAGTCTCGATAAGAAACGTTACACTCAGACAGAAACAAATTTTCAAACATACAATAGCTCATACTCATAGAAAGTAAGACGACAAGGCGGCTTTATGAGCAAGGATGCATAAATGACAATTTCTACATAAGCTTAGGCCCAGACCCTCCTTAAGACACACGGACATAACCAACAGATCGCCTTATTCAATCACCTCAAAGAACACACAATAAACAAAGGAAAAGCTCCAACAAAGCCAAAACAGGATGCCCACCAGAATAAGCAACATCTAGCAACTTCAAAGTTATGGAAAACTCACATTATCAGCTGAAAATCCACCATTGATGGTGCCGCCACTAGCTACTGACTCGTCATTTACTTCCTCTTTTACCTTAACCTCACTAAATTCACCTGTAGCAGCATTATCAGGAACACTCCAGTTATCACCATTACCTACATCATTCTCTTCCTTAACTTTATCCCCAAATCTTCTCCTCTCTCTCTTACCATCCGACACCTTAGCTTCCTTCTTCTCCCTTTCAACCCCACCGTCTTCTCTGTCTTTCCTCTTCCTTCTCGAACCATCATACGATCTCTCACGCTTCACTTCTCTCTCCCGCGGCTTATTATCGTGCCTATCTCTACTCCCTTCCCTCTCGTCTCTCCCATCGTACGACCTCTCCATGGACCGTTCCCTTTCATCTCGCCTTCGACGGTCGTGAGACCGATCAGCTCTCTCCCTGCTGCCTTCCCGATCGTCTTTCAAATCAATCGACCGCTCTCGCTTGGATTCTCGGTCCCGAGAACCCTCGCGATCCTCGCGCCTTGAAGACTTGCGGTGGTGGTCGTGGTCGCGATGCTGACCCTCGCGCTCCGACCGGTGGTGGTGGGAAGAATTGCCATCTCGATCCTTATCCCGTGATCTGTGCTTGTGTTCTCTATCGCGGTGGTCTCTGCCGGAGTCCCGATCACGCTCGTCGCGCGAACGCTTGGAGGATTTATCCTTATCAGAGGTGGAGCGATCCATTGCTAGGGTTTGCAAGAGTTCGCTCTCTTGATTTCCCGTGGAAAGTGTGAGGAGGAGTCGAATTTTAACGAGACATGGGTAACCAACAGCGGATTCGTATCATCGTATTCGTATGGGAAAAATCCGCGGTTCGGTCTTCGGGTTTACACCTATCTCATATTCTCCTTCAAGCCCGGATCTCTACCATTGTCCGCAAAATGAAGGACCATATGACACTGCAGGCCCAGTGAAAAATAAGGCCCATATGTAAGAAGTTCATATCTGTGTTTGCAATTTAAGTTGGTCAGGTTCAGGTATGAAATGAAAGGCTTTTTTATCGGTTCTACTTCTAGTCGACTTTCATCGATTCACTATTTTTGGTATCTACCGTTCCGATTCGGAATATATATGACAAAAAATAAATTTTAACTACTAGCTTTATTCCCGGCCATTGGCCGGGTAACTTTTAATATTAATAATAATAACAAAAATATTTTTTCAATTCATAATATATTAAGTTGACACAATTGATTTGTAATTACAAATTTGTGTTGCTACCTTAGAAGTCAGTCTAAATTCATCTCATATTTACTCAATATCAACAACTGATTAAGAAGTATAAAACACATTCAAATAATATTAATCTTATTGTGAACTTGTGATAAATTCATAGATTATTTTGTACGCATAGGGATATGTATAGATAAATGGAGTTTTTAATTAATTATAAATTATGATTTGGAACTTATTGGTTGTGATTATGAATCTTAGTAGTGATTCCTTACATGTTTATATATTCTTAATTGGATTTACAATTAATAACTTAAAAAAAATTGACATAGCAAACGTTAATATCTTCGTAATTGAGATAGTTTGTCTGCTAAACTTGAGAATTGAGATATTGAAATTATGATATAGCGAGAACTTACACATAGAAAATTTTCTCATATAATAAATTACCAAAAAAAATTCTCATATATATAGTTTTTCGTGAGAACCCAACCCAGGTAACATTGGATCAAATCCAAAAGTCTTTAGAATTTCTTAAATTTTGCATGGCTAAAACAAATAGTAATTATAAATAGTTAAAAAAACAATTTGTATTATTAATTGAATGTGTAAACAATTTTTTGGTGTAAACAATTATTCTTAATTAGATAAATAAATACTTCTTATGGATGATAAATAGTGCTAACTAATAATTATAAATAATAAACAATAAATTAACTTATAGTTTTTCTACTATCTCCATATCTCCATATCTCCACAATCTACAATCTCTCTCCTCTCTCAATGCCTTAACGGAAAACTAAAAAAAATAGCAAAACCACAATAAAAAGGAGAAGGTTACTGGATTCAGGAAGGAAAAAAATATATTAAATATAAAATACCCCTAAATACCGAGAAACGCGGGGAAGCCTGGAAGGCTTACGTGGAAGGGGTGGTTTTTCCAAACCCCTTTAATATATTTTAAGATGTATGTGCTTCATTAGAAACCAGTAATGTTGTAAACATCATTTCAGTATCCTAGTTTTGCCAATGGAGCAACTCCTTTTATCACTTTGAATTGGTCAAAATATTTAAAATTTCTTACTTGTCGTTGATGATTAGATCCTAGATCCAGTAACGGGTGGGAACGAAAGAAAAAAAAATTCAAGGAATTGAATCAATTAGTTCTAAAAAGAATGAAAGCAGAACTCCACAATGAGCTCGAGTCCTTGACTTTCTGTACAACACTATATGTGGTTTGCATGAAAGCAAACCTCATTTTGCTCTATGCAGCATCATCTGTAAGCAAAAATAAACAACAAACAAACACTTTGTCGTTTACTTTTGCAATTGGAATTCCTCGCTGTCACTCACCAACTTAGCAAACACTTGGCTCATCGAAACATCAGCAAGGTCGCCAAGTTGTGTGCTTCCCATCGCGGTCGTACCAAAGCTCTTAGCAGGGCTGATTTGTGAATTCCCATCACCATGGCGGCTTCTGGGCAACTCATCATTCAACTGGAGAGCAAACTCTTCATTCACCTGCAACTGGAGTGCACATTCCAGGTTCCACAACACATCTCCCATGGAAGGTCTATACAACCCACAATCAGCCAGGCATTTCTCTGCTATCTCTGCAAACTTCTTCATCGATTCCGGCTTGATCTCGTCCCGTATCTTGGGATCAATGATTTCCTCCAACTTCCCTTTCTTCAGATTCTTCACTGCATAATCGACCAAGTTCACATTTTCCCTCGGCAGTGACGGATCGATTACTGGTCTGCCACATAGAACCTCGAACAGCACCACTCCAAAGGAATAGACATCTGATTTCTCTGTCAGCTGTAGCCTCAGGAAGTATTCCGGATCGAGATAACCGAAGCTTCCCTTCACTGCTGTGCTTACATGTGTCTTGTCGATCTCAGGTCCAGCTTTGGAAAGCCCAAAGTCTGCAACTTTGGCCATGAAGTTGTCATCCAACAGTATATTTGCTGACTTGACATCTCTGTGGATGATGGACTTTGCAGTCCCGGTATGAAGATAGTGAAGCCCCTTTGCTGCTCCAATACATACCTCAAGCCTTTGCCTCCAACTCAAGCTGGGATTATCTGAATCATAGAGATGGTCTTTTAAGTTGCCATTTTGCATATACTCATACACTATAATCATCTCATCCATTTCATCACAGTATCCAATTAAAGAGACCAAATGCCTGTGGCGAAACTGGGACAGCAGTTCGATCTCAGTCCTGAATTCTGCAATCCCTTGTGATTGAGAAGTAGCTCTTTTCACAGCCACCATCATCTCGTCTCTCAGAACTCCCTTGTAAACCTTACCGAAGCCTCCAGCTCCAAGCACCAAATTCTCACTGAAGCTATCAGTAGCTTCTTGGATGGCATAGAAAGGGAATCTGTAATCCAATTTCGAAATCGAAAATGCTGTCCCGTTGGAGTAATCCGTTGAGTAAATCATACCCCCTCCATATGCAGCAAACGGACCTTTTTTAGCTTCAGCAAGTCTCCTTCTCCTCCAACAAATGAAAAACACAACAAAAGCAGATATCACAATGATGATCAATCCAACACTCAACAAGATGATCCGAACAAGATTCGACTTGGAACTCTTGGGAAAAGATACGTCGAGCACATCGAGACTGTTCTTCGAGTTGCTTATCTTCACAATCTCCAAGCCATTGAGGATGGCAATTGGATTGTTATCACTGTTAGGAGGCCCCATGCTTATGGTAAGAGTGTCACTAGCAACTGACCCTGCAATGTAATCCATGGAATAAGGAGCACCAGAGACATACCCAGTAAGATTCTTGAGATCAAGATACTTGTAAACCAGCCATGATTCAACATAAACATTGAAATAGAAGTTCGGGTGAGGATTCGGCAATATATCACAGAAATGAAACCGAATAAGATAATCAAAACCAGGGTCAACACCAAGATGCCATGTAACATTTGCTAAAGTGTTGGGATCACCATCCGAGTTCAATCTAGTTGCTGTGCCATATACTGAAACAGGAGCAGTGAAGTTGGTTGGCCCTTTATTTTTGAAACTGACGGATGAGAAATCCGTCACATTGACTGCAAGATAATCGTGTCTGAGAAACTTGTCATCAGAATCCCATAGCCTCCACAGTGTATCATTCTCAGGAAGCACAGTCGTTTTCCCCATGTTCACCCTCTGAACAGTCTCCAGTGCCCGATTCCCCAAAGAATGAGAACTGCCTGAGGCAATCATCTGGGCACTCTCTGGAATAAGCCCACCAGGGATTGAGAACACCTCCAAGGCGTTCACAAAAGCGAAAGAACCAGCTGAAGGGGCGAAATTGAGAACCAGATTACCAGAATTCACATTGATAGAGAACTCCCTCACCTCAGGATCAGCCTTCGATCTATACTCCTTCAAAAGGGTGAAATTCTGAGCAGCCACAGAGAAGTGAGCCGTGCTGAGATTGTAACTGCCGCTGGCGAAGGGGAAGAAATGGAGACGAATCCAAACCCGGCCGGACTGCCTGATTGGGAAAGTATAGCGAGAAGGTTCAGTGAAAACCCTCGCAGTTCTGTACAGAGCAGAGCCATAAGGGGCAGAGATGGAGCCAGAACTCGAACCAGCTGCAACAGATACATTCTGTTGGGTAGATAAAACACTGGACGTATAATCATCAGCTGCAAATGTTCGATCCCCTATGGAGGTGCTGGTAGGGGATCCGCAATTTATCAAATAGTTGGTGGGCGGAACATACCCACCTAATGAAACGGAAGCCAGGCAAGAAACTAAAGAAACCCAGATGAGGAATTTGAAGCTACCTCCGACCACCATGACCATACAGGCAGACACCTCTCCTGGAGAGAAAGATAGCTAGAGAGAGAAGGAATGTGGGAAGTTGGGGAGGAAGAGGGAGAAAAATGAGAATACTATTAGGAAAGCGAAGCTGTTGATTCCTCGATTCGACACAACTTGCCAGGACGGCTGGTATTGCACAAGTAGGACGCCCAAAAGGACGATTCCACAGCTGGGATACCTGATAGTACACGGTGGAACAAGACAATTCCACCCAAGAGAACAAGTAGAAAGGAAACGAAAAAAAGGAGAGGGAAAGGAAGCGAGGCTTGGAAGTTTGGCAGGAGACGAACCTGCTGAATCAATCAAACTCCGGCCAGCGAAAGCATCCAAAAGAAAGAACAGGGGAAGAATAATCTTACGGACGAAAACCGAGTAAAAGGGGTTTTGCAAAATTCAACCCACACACAGGACAACTAATTACATGCAGATTTTCAGACCAAGACTCCCAGTCAAACCCGCCATTGTTGGTAGCGACTAGACGATAGAGATGCTCGAGGAGAGCAACTGGGGAAGGGCAACAGTACACACAAAACTACTCCAGAAATGGAATATTGGGAAGGGAGAGATCTGTAATGTGAATTGGAATTTCCTATTACTTTGAGCTCTGTGAGATACGGAGAGACTGCGATCGGACAAGCAGATGGGGACAAAAACTGGCTCGGGGGCTGGGAATGGCCGGTGAATGGTCAGAGAAGAGGGCGACAGAGGGAAGCAAAACGCGACAAGTGGAGATGAGCTAGCAGAGAGAGAGTAGCTTGAAGCCGTTGAAGGAAAGTACGAAGGAGAAAGAAACCAAGTCCTAATCCGGGTACTTGCAGGATTATTATTAAAATGGAGGGAAGGAAGGAAGAGAGGAGAGATTGACAGGCCTAGCTGTCTCTGGGGAATTCTTTTTGTATTCTAATACGTCCCATGAAAGCACAATCTGAGAACATCTGGATTCTGATTTCTATGTTTGGTTGGTGTTCTTTTTCTTCGTTTGCCTTTGTTAATAATTTCAAGTTCTGCGTGTGAACGGATAGACGGGAGGAAAAGGGCGCGCGGGGTGGTTCAAACGACCATCATCCGTTAGGTACCATATGGGGTAGGGAGGGAGATGGAAGAAAGACGATCGTGATGAGTGGTGTAGCGAGAAATTTATTTAAGATAGGTTAAATATATAACATAAGTTTTATATTTAATATGCTTATATTAAGCATATTATTAAAAAGCGTTCATGCTTCCACAACTCATCTTATTTTGAAGTGTGTTTTCATTTTGTTCATTACAGTAAGTGTTCGTTCAATACTTGCAATGACAACCGATAGCAACAACCACCTCTAGGTTTTGAATTTATGTTTATATTAAATTCACTTAGAGAACATATGAATTAAAAGTTAAATAGAGATCACAAAATTACTTTTTCATAAGATTATCTACAACAATATGAAGATTTTGTATTCAATCGACATTAACATAAAACCAATGTGTATTCGATGAATAGATGGATTGTAAATACAAAGGTTGTAACTTGTAAGAATTAGATGATTGGAAGAATGTCTCATTTGTTTGTAGCAATTCAAAAAATTTGGAGAAAAGAAAAAATCACGCGAAAACTAGAACAAATTAAAACCCACTATGATCATAACCCATAGAACCTAATTAAAACTGGTCAATCGAAACCCAAAATTTGGTACATGCGGGCAAAGTCTCGCTAGCCTTGCAGCGAGACCCCATATCTACCCATCATACAAATAGATAAGCATATTCAAGGCATTCCAACATCTATCAATCCATTGACGAATACGTTGGTTACCTCCTAAGCTAAAGATCATAGCAAAAGGAGGAATTCACGAGAAGATGTTTTCAAGTAAACAGCTTCCCTCGACAATCGACAAAGGGTTGTCATCTTCCTACGTCTTTTACTTGTAGTTTGTTTTTGACGATAAACCATCATCGTCACCCATATCAGTTCGCTTGTAGTTCGCTACACTTTTATATCCTTTCCGTCACAATTACAAGCTGCTTCTCATACGAGTTTATTCAGTCAAACAAACACACTCACCTTAGCTTATGCCCCAACTATGTGAACTTTGCTATTTTCATGTTCCTATTTATCATCATCATATTCATATGGTCATATTGAAGTTGAAACTACTCCACAACCATAAAGTAATGTTTAAAATGCATTGGTTCAACATAAGCACTACTGAAGGGATTGAAGAAATTGCTCACCAATAAAATGATTGAACAGTAAGTTTACCCTAGCAAAACATAATTTTCTTTTTTGATTAAAATGAGAGACCACTTCTGATTTCAAATCTTGCATTTCCTTTTGACACCATCCACAATTGCCCAACCAAGTACCAATTACTACACTCTCTTGTTAAACCCTTCTCAATTAATGGGAGTTTAGATCTTCATAGTAGAGAGGATTGGTCTGTTAGTGTGCAATGAAGCAGGGAAGGTTCCTATTTGTTTCCTTTTCATATCATTTTTCTCCTCCTCTAATTAATTATAGGATGTTTTATTCATGCTGTTTACTTGCTCATGATAGACTATCCAATTATTTCCCCTTTTGATTTTGTTCCCAACATATTTTTAGTAGGTGGGAAGACCATACATTCCCTTTAGCCCTAAAAAGTCTTGCAAATTTTCACCACAAAAATAGTACTTTCACATTTCATAAAAATGTCACTTACAAAAGACAAAAGAGTATGCATGTATGTGTGTGAGAGTGAGAACTATTTCCCCCTTCACAATGGCTTGCCCTTTGAACACCTATGTTTATAGCTCTAATGCTACCTATTGTTGATATTATGGGCAAAAAGTACAAATAAATTTGAGGGACAATACCGCTATAAAGAATAAACTATTTGAGTATCCACTCTAATATGACATGGAGCTGGGCAATACTCGAATCATGACAGAGTGTTGTGAATTTATAGACCTTTAATATCTATATATATTGCACGGACGAAAGATAAGTCGATTAGTCCAGTAAGTTCATCCACTATCATATTTCACTCTTTTTTTACATTCTTTTTATTTTGAATTTCATGAGTTGTATTCTATAAATCAAAGTCAAAATTATTGGGAAGAAAAGTCGACTTGCTTCAAATGAGCAAATACAAATGTATGAAATTGTTTTATTTGAGGAATCAATTTTGGGTACATCTGTATTTCTTGTAAAAGGAATCTTTTTACGGCATCATTATATTTACATTGCATATGAAGGAACACTTATGGCAACGAGTGTATTACTAGGCAAATAATTTTCTAGCAAATAGAATCACAATAATTGTGATGCATATCTTATTCCTGAATCAACAATTATGCTGCATGTTCCTTTTCCCAATCAAATTAAGAAGTTTTCATTTCAAGCACCATGACTATTGACTGCCCTTATATAAACCAACCAAACCATGAAGGATTCTCTAAGAGCACTCACAAAACTTTTGGTACAAAACTAGTGGGTCGTCTAAGAAGGAGATAGAAATCATACAAAAAATGGAAAAGACTGTAGCGATGAAGTTGGCTTTCTTTGTTGTTTTTTTTTAGTTTTCGCAACAGGTACACATCGATTTACAGTATTTTCTATTTGATATTTCACAATTGTTCATTGTAATTTGAAATTCATGTTTACTCTGTCGTTTTTTTTGGGAGGTGTGGAATGCAGGTGGAAAGAATATTGGGGTGGAAAGCAGAACAGTGAGCACAAACAACGAACTTTTGCATTGCGTTACACCATGTCTACCACCACATTGCGGCTGTGTGAGGGGGATATGCTTTTGCAATGATGCTTATGATCAACACTCACTTATCGATGTTGCCCACTTGCACCCAACTTCCCCGGAGGCCCATGGGCAAAGGAGTTAAAATAGTGTGACATTATGTAACATGCTATGTTTTGCTGTTGTCATGAAAGTATCGAAGTGACGATAACAATCCGAAACACAAATAGACAGTTTAACACAAATGCAATTGTTTCATTGGGCATGAAACTCATCTTTATGTTCAATTTGGTCCAACTTCTTCTCTATAATTTAAAGAAAATTTATGAAATTGAAATAGAATCAAATTATATTTAGTCGTATATGATTACATCGGAATATCATTGGTTGGGTGTTTACTAAATTTTTGTACACCCATAATTATACACCCTGGCATGGGGCCCAATGGGATTGTGGACAGGATCTCTCTCTCGCTGTGATTTACCCTTTGCTGCTTGCTGAACCTTGATCCACGAGGCCCGACTATTTCGTTTAATCTCGGCGAGAGGATTCGGCTAAGCCTCAAAATGAGTGCTTGGGCCTATATTGACGGCCCATCTCGCTACTGCTTCTGTATCCGTTTAATTCGCACTTCATTTCCCCTCTTCCCCAACCTTTGGCATTTCATAGATATTTATCCCACAATTTAATCACAGTGAAAATGCAATTACTAATTAATCTCCCAAACGGAATGGATTGATGGATTGGATTATTGATAAAGTAGCATTCAAACATTGGATTAATATGTACATTTTGAAAAGTTTTAGTAAAATGTTATAACAACTTTAGGTACCAGATTTTTCAATGATGATTTTTTTATAAAAATTGTTTGCTAATAATTCATCAATCCAATTAGATTTTGATCAAATAGATTTGATTTAAATACATTGAGTTTATAAATTTAGTTGGATATTTAAATGAATGAAATGAATTAGATTGGTGGACTAGATACAAAATTTGCACGTCTAGTCCCGACATGACACTTCTTTGACTCCAGTGGTTAAACAAAACTACGTACATAAGTATTTTAAAGTGTTTAGCACCGATATCAGACTTAACTAGCTTAGAATCTATCAATAACTTTTTTACTCAAAGTATAAAATTACCATATAAGATAAACTAAACCCAAAAAATAAGTCAGAAGCAGCAATAACAATAAGGTTGGAATGAAATAGTTGTCTCAATGCTCATTCTTGTTTCGTATTAATGTGAATCACATCATATAATATTCACATGTAATATGAATTTGGACAAGCTATTTATTCTTAAATATGATTATTAGAAAATTGTTTTATTCTTTTTGGATGCACTAAATTGATCATTATTGTAGGTTCGTGGCCGACTTGTAATTCGCTGCAATTCTGATGGATCAATTTAGTGCATGCAAATCTTAGCAAATAGTAACTAAACCAGAGATATGAACAAAATGGATACAACATGGATGAAAACCACATAGGATGCTACAACGAGGCGCCTCTGCGCGCCGTCGCTGGTGGATTTGGTCCCATCCCCGCCGGCGGAGCTATCGATCCTTGTAAACACCTCCATTGCACTGACCATCGGCGGCAAGGTCGAGGAATTTGATTTTGCAAGTGTGATGTTGATGCTATTAGCAGGCGAAACAGTAATCGGATACAACGTTGTCACTTTGCATTTGGTGAGCTCGGCCTCCACCGACGTCATCATCTTGCCGTCGATGTAGATGTCCATGATCCTCGTGTCTTCGAGTTTAGGTCGGGCGAACAACTCCGTGAAGTAGAATACGAGGTACGCAGTCTGCTGACCCGAATCACCTTTCGGAAGATCGACGGTCAGGAATATGGTATTTTGTGCATTGTCGGATTGAATGGATTTCATTAATGCGTCGATAGCAGGATCGTTTTCCACCCGAGTCTGGAGAGGTGCCATGGTGGTGACAACACTGGTGTTTGATAGGTCAGCTCCACGTGTCCATATCCTATTGTGCAATTCGCCGTCGATGCCAGTCCTGTGTAGTTACATGTTGATCGAAAAGTAATTCACAGCTTGAAGTTTGCACAAATGTGGTACTACGTGACCGAAAGACTTTATAAAGCACTAGAATAAAAATGACCTTTGGTGACATTTTTTCTTGCAACCAATTTGTTTTGGTCGGCAAAGATCTTTTATTTGTGGCTACTTATATTTTGATTATGAAAAAATTGATAAATCGATGATCACTACTCACTAGTTAAAAATTGATAAATTGGTAACAAAATAATGAAATAATTTTTCCAACCAAAACTATTGTTCTCATCCTTGGTACTTTTAAAGTGACTAGTACTTTTAGTAGAATTTTGAAAATCAAGTTCAATTTATATGACCATATCACCATAACATACTTAGAATATATGGTGACGACGGTAACATATTGGTTAGGATAAGAGTTTCATAACCAATATTTTTGGTTACTTAATGATAACTACATTAGTAAGAAGAACACTTTTGTAACTAATTCTTTTTTTTTTTGTGATAAGGGTGATATAGGTTTTTTTTTTTGTGATTAAGGTACTACTTAAGGGATTCGAACCTGAGACCTCCAGGTTCTAGGCTAGTGGTATTACCACTAGACCAAGCTCTTGTTCGTAATTCTTTTTTGTTACTTAATCATTTAATTTTGTAAAATCGATTTGAGTTGGTTGGTTTTTTATATTATTTGTGACGCATCATGTCTCAGTGATCCTTATGACAGATTTTTTAATGACCAATTACGTTAGTTGCAAATAAAATATTTTCCGACCATTTAATTTTCGTCGCAAAAGATTCATGTATTGTGACCAAAATAAAAAAAAACTGGCCAGAAAATGTTGTACAACCACAATTTGACAATTGGCGACCATTAAGTTTTAGTCACAAAAGTCAATTTCTGTTGTAGTGTAAAGATTCGAACATTGCAATTGCGAAAAGGTAAAAGAGAAGAGAATCCAAACCAACCTGAGCTCAGGACCTCCAAGGTTGGTTCGAGTGACGAGCGAAAAGCTGCTCTCGTTCCCCATCTCAGTGTACAAACCGTCCCACAGCGGCACCAACTCAACCGAAGATACGAAAGGAACCTCCCCGTCTCTGCTCCGAATCAAGCACAGCTCGATCGAATCCGCCCCCTCGCCCACAGCGTACACAGCTTCACGATACACAAGTCCTTCCTGCGACGACGACGTATTCACCGTCGTCCATTTCCTGCCGTCGAGGTGGAGATCGAACGTCGGGGGCTTCCCGAGGGCGTCGTAGTTACCGTAGTAAAAACCGGCCCGGATCAGGTGCTTCAAGCTCTGCTTCACCGGAGGAATGCTGTAACAGTTCTTCCCCGCCGCGTCGGGGAAGAATCGGAGTGTGTCCGTCTCCGGACGTCCCGTTGGGATCGAGAGGCGGGATTTGGTCCCTGTAGTGGTGTAGTTCGTGTCGAGGCTCCAGACGAGCAGATCTCGGCCGATGGGAGGCAAGCCCTCGTCGTTGCCGCAGTCGATGTTTAACCATTGGAGCGTATCTGGAGGTTGGGAAGAAGCATTCTGCAGCAGTAGCAAGTTACAGGCAACGAAAACCAGAGGAAGAGTCCATGGCGATGAGCTAATTGTCTTCATGTTGTGGATCGGAGGAGAAGATATGGTGGAGACGTTTTAGAAGGTTTAGAAATTGTTTAATACAACCTTTACAATGTGCCCTTTTATTTAATTGCAGTCTTTGGAATCTCCATCCAAAAAAAAAAAAAAATGTATGTATGTTGTTATTCCCGCTTTATTTAACATTAACTTTGGAAGACGGAAGGCAAAATGTGCTCTTTTTGTTGGATCTGTCACCAAAACCGGAATACAAACTAAAAGTAAGCCGAACACAAAAGGGATTCAACGGTAAATTGAGTAATATCCACTAAGCGGAAGGCAACCTAAAAATAATCGCCAATAAAATGGAGATACAGAAAAATTCAATTGAAAATTGAGTAGGGGTCGCGCGGACACAGGCCCCTCTACTACAAATTATGACGTAGGCTCTCCCACATTGGGGAGACCTTAGTCCAACACCCTTCCACAAAGTGCAATGGAGGTTACTAGCATAGATTACATGCCTTATTGATCGCCTGTAGATCCCGTCCAGGTAAGTATGTTGGACAATAGCACTTACCTCTCTTATTATACTCCTTTCTCTTCGTCAACAGTTCTTTGCTTCCTGATGTGGTATATTTACTCACACTTCTATCTTATATGCATACATAATCAAACACTTCCCTCCAGCTGCTGCCACCTGACCTTCCATCTTCTTCCTCCCATATCTCTCTGAGTCTCTGTGCATCTATTATTGCAATCCTCCCATCATAATTGATACCAGCTGACTGCTAATGAAAGAGTAATTGGATGTAGGGATGGCAATTTTGCCCATACCCATGGGTATTTTACTATCCAACTCAATTGGGTTGGGTATGAAATCCAAATATATGGATATGGGTAAAGTTTGATGGGTTTGTACCCATACCCATTTACTTTGGGTTGGGTTGGGTTGGGTTTATAACAAATGGATTTGGGTTTGTACCCATGCCCAAATACAAATTACAGTTTGGTACCTAAACTTAATAGATATGCATATTTAGTACCTAAATTTAATTTTTTTTGCATATAAGTCCTCAAAATATCGATGGAAAATTACGTTTTGGTACCTAAATTTTTTTGGTCTTACATTTTGGTACCTAAACTTTTCAAGTTTTACAAATAGGTCCAATTTTTGCATGTGTAGTAGTTAAAACACCCTCAAGTAAATGGATATCCATATCCAACCCATACCCATTTAGATAATATCCATATCTAACCCAAACCCATATACAAACCCCAAAACCATACACACATCACCCAAACCCTACCCATAATAAATGGGTCTACTTGGGTTTGGGCAAAATTACCCATGGGTGGGTAAAGCACCTTGGTCGTCCACCCATTCCCCCTCGACATTCTTCAGAGCACTAATACGATTGCGACGTCTTCTTTGCATGGTACGCTCATGGAAATATTTAGTATTGCGATCACCCAAAACGATTCCGTCTAGCCTCGATTTCTGACACCAAAGCAAGTCTTCCTGTACCTGGACTTCTTCAAGGGCTTGGCGTATGAGGTTCAGCTTGCCATCCCTAATTGGATGCTCTTAAAATTTCATAAATGTATGAGTTTGGACGATTAAGATAACAACAACGAGAATGCCAGTAGTATAAAGAGTCGAGCAGCAGCTTAGAATGCATATGTTATCAAAGATTTATTCTTTCAGTTTTCCATATAATTTATATTGGCATTACAATTTGAGGTTACCCATAAGAAAAAAGTACAGTAAGGATACATTTTGGACTACATGTTTTTTCCTACGTAATCCATGGTCCATGTTGAGATCATCACCATCATCAAGCTGCCAATGGCTTCCCAGCAAGAAATGCAGCAAATAAAGTGAGCGATCTCTTGGGCGAGGAGAGCGGGGCCATGTGAGAGGCTCCTCTAATGGTTGCATATGAAAGTTTGTTGTTCTCCCCATAGACTTGTGTCCATCCACCAACCTGAAAGCATCCAGAAGACAGTGGTTTTCATTGGCAGATACTTGTTCTAGAAAAGAAGAACAGTAGTAGATAAAAACTTGGTACTTAATTTGATGCACCAAGAGTTAGTATAATTAACCTGTTGTTCATCGTCAAACCAGGGCTTGTAAGGCACAGTAGTGTTCAATCCCAACTGTTTCGACAGACGATTCACCAGACTCCTTGTACCTATGAATGGGATTGCAGCATCTTGATCTCCGCTGTAAACCAGTACTCGAATCCCCGAACCCACCAACGATCCCACCACTCCAATTGTTGGATTCTCCAAGTTGCTCTCATCGTACTTTATGCGGCTACAGTTTCATAAAATTGGACATTAGAAAGCAAGCCAAGTGTAACAATTAGTACTATAGCACTCCGCTCGATCAGTTTAGCAATGTTGTTTCTTACTGGGTACAAGCAGTCCAGTTGCTGATGGCTACAAGCTGAGCATGCATAGCTTGTTGAACATCTTTCCTGTTCAAGTACTTGTTCATCTCATCTTGTATGCAGAGGTCTGTCGACTCCTCAGCTCTCTGCATTACGTTATGTGTTCAATGATTTCATTTATATGCTTCGTGGTCAGACTTTCGTCGCGAGCTGGAAATTCATCGAAACTTACAGCATATCTGCGAGCACCAGCTTGGTTGGAACGCAGAGATGAGAATGGATGGAAAATGGTTGCCCAGGAGTGCTGCTTTAGAGCTGCAACGTTCGTTGCAGCTTTTGATAAGCAGGAATCGGCAGTGACATCATACGTATCAAAGTCTTGCTCAGGAACTTGAGCATGAATCAGGGCTGCAACGATTTTGCAGGATTCAGAAAAATCCCTTGACATGGCCTGTCTCCTGAGCCGTGAAGTGTTGCAGGCTGCGTTGGCGAAGTTATAGGTATCCTCTGAAATCAAGCCGTGAGACCAATAGAACTGCCCTTCCGCGTTGAAGTCTGTGTCGAACTCTAGTGTCGGGTTCCCTATCTGCAAACACACAAGGATGTTACACGGATTGCATACATTAGCAGTCTAGAACATTGTCATTGTCGAGTTATTGGGACGGAATGGTTTGTTCGTTTACGGTGAAACTTACAGCTATGGCTCTCATGCTGAGATTTGATTCCGACTCCACGATTAATTGAGCAAGTTGTGGGACATAGTGACCTATTGAAGAAAATGGGCGAGTGCAGTCATTAGTCTTTATCATTTGACATACAATCTGAATCTACTGTGTGCAACCCTGCTAGTTAAACTTACCAGCATAACTCTCTCCCGCGATGAACAGATCTCTGTTCTTGTATTGTGGGAACTTGAGCAGCCATTGTTGTAGGAACGCCAAGTTATCATGCGCTGATAAAAAGAAGATTTTATAAAGAGAGGTACATGAGAAGATTAGATAATAAAAAATACACCAGTCCAATTGCAACACCGCATATCGAATTCTAATAATCAGTTCCGTTTCGAAAACCTGTTATGGTATCGTTCACAGAGTTGTAGAATGATGAATCTGTTGAGTAGGAGAAACCAACTCCAGCAGGCGATTCCAGGTATATCATGTTTGCTTCTGCATACATAATTTACCAACAAAAAAAACTAATACTGGTGATCAACTTCATGCAAGTAACCAACACATCACAGACAAAACTCATTGATTTCATTTATGTTATTGCCTTTGTTCCAACTGTAGTCATTTTTTACAAGATAGCCTGCAGCATTGGGCTTGAACGGGCCGTGCTCAGTGAAAGCTCCACCGCCAACTGACGAGCAACCAGGCCCTGATACCATCAGAAAAACAAAGCAAACTTAGTGCTACTACTAGTGGCCTAAGATTAAGCATAGCTTGTTAATATCAGCTGATGAATTAAGTACCTCCATTTAGCCAGAGAACGAGAGGCTTGGAAGTGGAGTTGGTCTCAGCTTCAACAAAGTAGTAGAACAGTTTCCTCTGCTGGGTTTCATCAACAGTCACATACCCTGCATACTGCTGGAAGCTAACCTCTGGCTGTCCTGGTAGCTTCACGATCTTGTCCTCTTCAGGTGTTGATTCAATGGTCCTGCAAATCACGACGAGGATTGTTGCGGCAATTAAGAGCATAACAATCCATAACTGATGAAAACCCATTATGACGAAGAAGAAGCTCGAAACTTTGAAAGAGTTGTTTTTGGTAGTGGTTATGGTTGATTGAATGTGAAGAACTTTGCTTAGCTCCTTCTGTCATTTATAGATAATGGAGTCATAAAATGACAAGTTGGACCCTTAACACAGTAGAAGGAACTGTTTATGTAAATCCATGAAAAGGAACCAAGTGACTGTTGCTTCTTATTTACAACATGGGAAACATGATTTTCATCATCATTAATTTATGATACTTGGTTATGTTAAAAACCAGCATTGTAGCAATCACATAGTATATTTGTTCATTGTTTCGGACTCTGTGATAGATCACCACCATATGTTGCTGACGATTTCTATTTTGAGTAGAGTGCTTTCATTTTGTTTTGGCAACAGAGGCTAAACATTTCTCTGATGAGTTGGGCTTTTTGGGCTTGGCCTGGGATTGTATTTAATATACTCTAGTGGTGAATATAGTACCTACCTGGGCTGGGCTTGCCCCAATCTCTACTCCCTTTCCAAAAAAAAAGTAATAAATTTACAGAGAAATTAATTTAATATCTCACCGACGTAGACTGCTACCGAGCAGTGCTACGTGATACCACGATCGAACAAGAGAGGGAACAAACGACGCAGTTTTGTAGCAGAAACGAACATCTCGCCGTTGCACCGGCCGCTGTCTAAAAAAAGAGAGTTAATATTCGTAGCCCTAAATTTTTAAATTTTATCGCCCTAAACCATACAAATTTACAAAACAACCCTTCATTTACTTTTATGGTTCAACCACCAAAGTTAATGCTCCAACCATCTAACCCAACCCATTTAACTCATTCTTCCAACACAAAACAGAAATTATCAAACCAAAAGTTAAAACCAAACCACACAACACAAAATCCAACTACAATCTTCTACATTGACAAAATTTTAGCCGGATTCCGGCGAGTTTGCCGGAGGTAGAGAAGTAGTCCGTCTCGATCGTCATAGCATGCAGGGCTTCGCACTAAAGGTAAGATTTCGTTTGCAATTTTTTTTTTCTTCTGGAAAACAAGTCGAGCATGTTGAAAATCTGCGCGACCGGTGGTCAAGCATGTTGAAACCCTGCATCAGCCATGGAACGGACGGTTTGTCCACCTGCCCGTTCCATCCTCTAGGAATGCTCGCAACATGCTCGTTCTCCTGTATAAGCATGTTTCCAACATGCCCGTCTTTCGGTCTGTCTAGTTTTCAACATGCCCGTCCCTCGGTCTGTCTAGTTTTGAACATGCCCGTCCCTCGGTCTGGTCTAGTTTTGAACATGCTCGAGTAACTTTGTGATGTCATAGACCTTTTTAATGAAAATTCACTTAAATTATGATATTTATGTTCATTAAGTTTCGTTGTTAATTGTGTTTATTAGGAAGGAGGATAAAAATCTTGTGCCACCATCATTTACTAACAAGGAAACTATTATGGATGATTCGGTAAGTAGTTATTTTTTATAATTTAATTATCGTAACATAATTGTTGCACAACTAAATGTTTTTAACTTGTATTTCTTGTAGGGTGGATCCGGAGTTAATGAGGGTGACAATGTTGATTGCACATCATTGTTTCTAAGTGATGTTTATGATACCCGTGATCAAGCTTGTAAAGCGGCAAAGGAGATTGCCATGAGTAATAGTTTTTCCTTGATAGTGGCATCAGTCAAGAAAAATGATGGAGAAGGCAATCCGCGGATCTATATGGATTGCAACCATGGTAGTAGGAGCAACTCATATACGTCTGATCCCGCAAAGACAACACGGAGCAAATCTACAACAGGCAAGTTAGGTTGTCGTTTCCGAGTGGTGGTGCAACCCGTAAAAATAGATGGCAAGTGTAAGTGGAGAATTCATGGGATTAAGTCGAGGGGATTTCACAATCACAGATTGGAGGTTTACTCTGAGGGAAGCAGGCAAAAGAATGCTCTTTCGCAGGAGGAAAAAATGAATATTAAGGAGTTGGAGGCAACACATACTCAGGCGAAAGATATCAGAAGTTTGCTCAATATGAAGTACGATGCTCATCACAACATGACTCAGATTTATAATGAGACAGCAAAAATTAGGCGTGAGAGATTGGGTGGGTTGAAACCTATGCGGTGGACATTGATAGAAGCTCAACGTCTTGGCTACTTTATTGAGTGTGAATTTGATGATCAACGTCGTGTTACTAGACTCTTCCTATGCCATCCTGAGTCGATTCGGATGTTGTTGGCATGGTATTTTGTTGTTTTGATAGACTCGACGTACAAGACTAACAAGTATAAGCAGCCACTGGTTCAGTTGATTGGTGTTAGTCCGGTGAAGAAGAACTTCAACATTGGGTTTGCATTGATTTCAGATGAGACGAAGGAGACATATGCTTGGGTTTTGATGCAATTGAAGATTGTGCTTGGTGATCGAACCCCGGTTGCGTTCGTCACAGACAAGGCGGGAGGATTAGGTGTCTCTTTGCAACAGATCTTTCCATCTTCAGCTCATTTACTATGTGTGTGGCACATGAAAAAGAACATTGAAGCCAAAATGATGCAGTTGGGGATTGGTCGTGATTCTGCTGAGTTATTTGTAGGAAGTCTATGGGAGAGAGTCTTGCGAGCTAATACTGAGGCAGGGTTCCAACGTCGTTGGCTAGAGTTGCAAAATAGTCATTGGGGTTCAAACAACAAGTTAATGGACTACTTGAGAGGTGAGTGGTTGCCATGCAGGGAAAGGTGGGCAAATTGCTACACCAATCGCATCTTCCATATCGGTAACACGAGCACAAATATGGGTACACCGTCTTACCTATGACGGCACCGCCAGGGTTCACTCATCCCAGTTATGTTCTGCCAATGGTCTTTACTGGGGCCCATTGGGTCCGACTAGTTCTCGACAATGTCGATGGGGTGACACCAATGCCATATTTTAGTCCACAATGGACTCATTTTCGGAATATGAGCACAATTCCGCATTGGGATGAGTTATACCAACAGGAGCAGGAATTGTATGCCATCCTTGGAGGACATTATCCACCCACTGACGATGAAGAGAATGATTAAACATTGTTGCCTTAGATTGATTATGTTATTGATGTGTCTAGTATGTGTTTATGTTCAAATTTGTGTGGATTCAGGTGCAATTATCAAGGATTGACATTTTGTGTTAAAATGTATGTAATTTTAGGTGGAATTAATCAATTGTGTTCACAATTATTGTTGCTGAAAAAATAGACTAGGCATGTTGAAAACCTGCCTTCACCACGGACCAAACATTTCACCTACCAATGAACACCGTTGGTTGAGCATGTTGAACACCCACCTGACGGATGGTGCAGGAATATACCCTTCCAGCACAGGCCGTGGACAAGGCATGTTGTGAAACCGTCTTCCTGGAGGTGCGGGCATATATCCTACCCGCCCTTCCGGAGGTCGAGCCATATTTTCTACCCTTCTAACCGCTGGTTGAGCCATATTCCCTACCCACCCGATGGTAAAAAATATCCAACATCCACAAATATCCAACATCAAAACATAAAATATCCAACATCCAACATCAACCTTAACAAATATCCAACATCAAAACATAAAATATCCACCATCCAACATCAACCTTAACAAATATCCAACATCAACCTTAAGAAATATCCAACATCAAAACATAAAATATCCAACATCCAACATCAACCTTAACAAATATCCAACATCAACCTTAACAAATATCCAACATCAAAACATAAAATATCCAACATCCAACATCAACCTTAACAAATATCCAACATCAACCTTAACAAATATCCAACATCAAAACATAAAATATCCACCATCCAACACACAAACAAACTAGAACTCAACATCTAAACAACAATGTTCAACATTGAACAACTACTCGGCGAATGGGCGATACGGTCTCTGTTCCCTAAAGTCAACGTACTTGTCACGAACCCGTCGAACCAAATCACCATAGGGGCCCAACCTGTCAAGATCCTCATCAGGAGCACGAAGCAAGAGATCAATGCCATCAATAATCTGACACGCTAGCTGCAATGTCCAAGGAATAAACTTAAGTGTTACAAAAACGAAAAGCAAGAGATCACTATCAATAAACCAAAACGAAAAAGAATTCAAACTTACAATCTCATACGTCAATGGCGCCGACTCCTGCTGCTCACCATCTCTAGAGGGGACAATGTGTAGGTGGGTGCGCTCTGTGTACCACTCAAGGTACAATGGGTCAACATCTCCGGTGTCATCAAAAGGTGTGGAGAAGGCATCCAGATTGATCAACTGACCGCGAGTCCCCCAAAGTTGATCAATCCCTGCTCCAAAGATGACCTTATAGGTCCCAACAGCAGGTCGACTGACATCAAATGGTAGAATAATGATGACTCGATATTTGCACAGGTTTTCCCCTTTGTTCCTTGATCGTTTAAGCTTGCATTATTGCTTCTTTGGCCTATTTTACGCTAGGTTGTGTTCCTTTGTCACATTTCAGGTCCTAGCACATAAAGTAAAGCATAGGCGCAAGTTTCAAGTCAATCAGAGATCAATTGGCGATTCGGGAGAAGAAACTCTGGCATGACCTGAAGAAGAATGGATTTCTACCTCACTTAATGGACAAAGAATCGTGCAAGTTTGACATGGAAAGAAAGAGGACGAGACTACGAGCGTCTGGGATCAAACGGCGACTGATTCGGAGTCCGGACGAGGGAGAAACGAAGCATTGAATATAGGAGAACAGGTTCGGAAGTAAAAACACGGGCAGGAGGCCTTCAAAACACGGCCGTGTTCTGTGACCGTGCTTTTACTGCCGAGAGCAAATCCGAGTTTGGCAGACATGAGCTGATTACACGGGCGGGGCCGAGACAAAGCACGGGCGTGTTTTCCCAAAGCACGGCCGTGTTCTCCCAAAAGCACGGCCGTGTTTTCACCAACATGTGGCCGTGTAATTAACCCTAGCCAAAGCACGGGCGGGCTGAGGCAAAGCACGGCCGTGCCCTCGACAGTGCTTTGGCCAATGATGCCCTTTTAGGCAGATTTTCAGCCAAAAGAGAGGGGATTCGAGTTTTAGAGAGATAGAGCGATTCCTAGAGAGAGAAAGCGACGAACAAGAGTCTCCAAGCGCCCTAGATCGATCTTCAACACCATTGGAGCTTGGTTTGAGCTTGGAGAAGTGCCGATTCAACGTCCAGGAGCAGAAATCCATCTTCACAGTATGATTTCCGCGTCTGATTCTGCTTTTGCTTCTCTCTCCATGGAGTAGTTCCCCCATTCATCTGGGTGTGGGAAACCCTAGATCTGTATGTTAGGTTTGATTGTATGAACCCAAGTATTGATTCTATGATTTGATTATATTCGATTGAGGTTTGAATGATTGAATGACTTGAATCCTGATCAAATTCCTGTTGTTTCTGCTTTAACCTAGAATGAGAATATCTGACTAGGTTGATAGAGCATCCTTGATTGAAGGTAGTGAATTGGTGACTTTAGTCGAGGAGCCAATTCACTATTCTGTACCGGTTTTACTCCGGTAGTGGAGGTTTTGTTCTTAGGGCCTCAATCTGTTTACTCCGGTGTAGGTTAGTCGCCAGCTAGAGACTCAGATTGAGAGGGTCTGAAGACCTTTAGTCGAGACTTCAGATTGTTTGAGAACCTTCCGCAGTATAACTATCATAGAAATTGAACTTGGTAATTACAACCCGGCTTAACTGCAGTCTAGGGGGAACCATATCCGGGTGACCTCTCTTAACCTGAATACAACCGTTTAGTTGCTTTGTTTGCTTGTTAGTTTAGAACTTCACTAAAGTTTCATTGCTAGATAATACGAATTCACTGAGTAGTCATCACATCTAGGACCCGGGTTGACATTAAAACCCAAACCCGCTATACTACGCTTTAGGGAGTGGTTACACTTGGCCATTTTCTAGAGTGACAGTAGGAGTGAGTCAAATAACAGGATCAGGAATCACCTGTCTGTAGCCAAACTGACGGAGGACACGTGAGGGATCGTATGTCTCAGCAACATCATAGACACGTATCACACCCCGATACAAAGATCTAGGAAAAGCACGACTAGGGTTAGCACCAAAAGGAAGCCAATCCACGTGGGCCGCTGTAAATCCGTCCAACAGCCGACGATAATGATCCAATTTTCGCTGTAAATCCCCTCCACGAATAGGGCCCTCCCACCTCCTAGCAAACGGGCCTCCCTCTGTCATGGGCTCCGGTGCACGTCTGTTGATGCGCAGCGATGGAAAATACTCGTAAATCCAAGCCTGCAGCAAAGTCAAACACCCAGAAAATCCCCCAGAACCTGCTCGACTAGATCTCCCAAGCTGCCTATACATCCAAGCAAGCGCACCAGCACCCCATGCATACTTACCAACCATGGCCAAATCTCTGAAGTAAGAGTATAACCATCCACGAACACGATCATAACTCTTGTCCACAAAAAGCGTGGACCCGATCAAACACAGTAAGTAACACCGTGCCTCTACACTCTCATCACTCGAAGCACTTACACGTGCCATGGCCTCATCTACCAACATCCCACCACCCTCGTACCAACGGAGGCCACGCGATGGCACTGCCATTTCATTCTTATCAGAAATACCAAGAAGAGCAACAATCCCACTCACGAACGACGGATCACCCCTAGCCGGTGCAGCAAGTAGCTCACCATCCACTCGAATCTTGAGGAGGAACGCAACATCGTGCAGAGTGATTGTCATCTCCCCAAACGGCATGTGAAATGTGTTAGTATCCGGCTGCCACCTCTCAATGAACGCCTCCAAAAGTGGGTAATCCACATTATGCATCATGCATCTACTCAAGTGGTCCAAACCTGATGCTGTAACCAAGGCCTGTGCACCTGGGGTCCCAAACTCGTACGTCCTCAGTCGATCCACTCCACCCTGTCGAGCGTAGAACTGGAAAACAGACATCTTCCGAGAATCCAAACTCGATGTCCACAAGCGATGAGCTATGTGACCACCGAAACTAGGGATCAAACTGATATCCCTAGGGCCTCCTGGAGCTTCTTTTGTAAGCAGCCACGTCTCGTCCCTCGGTTTCTTCCGTGAAGGCTTGCTCCCATCAGAGGACGAAGCAAAACGCCCATCCTTGCCGCGTAGCGGCCCAACAACAGTACTGCCATGGGTCGAGCCAGTAGACACATGATCACTCGAACCTCCGGGATGACCGTCGAAAAGCAACTCATGAAAAGACAACTCATCATCACCCTCCACATCACAATCATCATCACTGCTATCGTCATCCTCCACCATGTCATCATATGTGTTGATGCCTGGTAGCTGCTGGGAAACATGGCTATGAGGGGGAGGAACCACTGCAGCTTGACGACGCGAAATCTTCTCCTGGCGCTCCTCCTCACGAAGTCTATCTGACTCCTCCTGACGTTTTTTCCGCTCAGATACTGTAACGTTGCGTCCGAGAACCCTCGATTTTTCCTTGCCCCTTCTTTCGCTCATTTTTGCCTGCTATCAAGAAAATAAAATTTGATTACTTTCACCGGGCTACTGAGATGGCCAACTAAGACATTGGATAATATCCAAACAAACAATGAGCCTAAGCGATATTCAAACAAACAATGAGCTTGCTTTGCTGAGTTTGCTCCCTTTTATTTTCCTTCCTATAATTTATTTTTTCTCTATTTTCATTCACATATTCTTTGCATAATTATTAAAATCAACACAAAGCATTGCCAATTTGCCATTCACAAAAATGCTTTTAAAACCACCATAACCCATTCACAAAATCCCGGTCAAAACATGAATTAGATGAAATCAAATAGGGCAATCAGCGTCAAAATGAATATTATTGCATTCAAATCCATCAGTGAGACCACCATCCAATTTTTGAATTCATCCAAGAATTAATGCTAGACTATCATTTATAATAACCAATTTCAATATTTTAAAACAAAATAGGGCAAAAAGACCCTTTGTGCCTAAGCGATATTCACCTTCCTCCTAGAGACAAAAGACAAAATGATATTTAAGCTCCCAGCACCAGAAGATAGCAAAATTGGTTATTCTCCATATCCTAGAAGCAGCCCATGATTAACATATACTGATTATAATTTACCATTCACATTTATATATTATTAATTAAAATGAACATTCCAATCATTAACATTTTCATTTTAATTGGAAAAAAAAATAAAAAACGGGTCGGGCGGGTCAGAAAATGGGTCGGACCAGGGTCAGGGCGGGTCGGAAAATGGGTCGGACCAGGGTCAGGGCGGGTCGGAGACCGGGTCGGACCAGGGTCGGGGCAGGTGGGCTACCTGCCTCCGCCGGATCCGCGCGGGTGCCCTGCCTGCGTCTACCCCAGCCAAATCGAACGCCCTGGCTGCGTCCCCGGCCAAATCGAACGCGACTCAACCAAAAGAGAAGGGAGGGAGAGAGAGATTTACCTCCGGCGGGTCTGAGCAGAAGCAGCGGGTTGCGGCAGTGCTTCGGGTCTACGGCGGGTCTGAGCAGGAGGCTTCTCCTCGGCGACAGCGGGTCTTGGTGGTAGATGGCGAGGGCGGCGGGTCTGAGCAGAAGCAGCGGGTTGCGGCTGGTCTACGGCGGGTCTGAGCAGGAGGCTTCTCCTCGGCGGCGGCTCTGGTTGACGGCGTGGTGGTAGATGGCGAAGGCGGCGGGTCTTGGTGGTAGATGATGGCGAGGGCGGCGGCGGGTAGGGTAAGTTTAGGGAACGGCGGCGGCTGTGTTTTGTTGATTTGGGGGAGAACAGGGTAAGGGAAGGGTAGGCCGAAGGGTTGGGTGGGTGAAATTAGGGTTTAGGTTAAATGAGGGGTAAAATCGTCCATGTATGTAAGTTTAGGGCTAGAAATTCAAAAACTTAGGGCTACAAATAAGAATTCAGTAAAAAAAAGGTCACATCCCAACATTCCTCCTCTGCTCCCTCAAACTTCTCCGTCTTCTTCCCTCACCCTTTTCTCTTCTTCTGCAACTCGTTAAACCCCTCGGGATTCTAAACATTCTCATCACGACTTGCACGGACTCGCCGCAAATCCTGCCGTATTTGGAATACCGGTACCAGTTTGTGATTGGATCGCCATTTCTAGGATTCCCGGTGCAATCGTCGTGTTCTTTTCTTAAGAGGAGAACTGGCGAACCCCCTCGCAGAAAATGTCGTGGTTGAAATCGGCTGTGAGCAAGGCGGTGGAGGTTGGGAACAATAGCAACCTGACTCGCGCAGTCAAGAACTATGCAGACACCGTCGTCCAACAAGCTGGTCAGGCCGTCGCCGATGGAGCCAAAATCTTGCAGGATCGCATTGTAAGAACCTTTATCTCTCTCCTCTTTCTGACGCTTGTCAATTTGGTTTGGGTAGGATCTTCGTCTCAAGTTGTATTTGGTTTGGTTCATTGCTCTCTGTAATGTCTAGTTCTATTTAGTTAGGGTTCTTCAGTGTCTTGCGCGCTACGACTGTAGCATTTGACTCTCTGTCGCAGCTTAGAGAATTTGCTATAGCGAGACGTGAAGGGTTTTTCACTAGCGGTTTTCTGGATCCTTGGTAGTTTATTTGAATGTAATAGGAACAGTTAAGTTGAGGTGTTTGGCAGTGTTACTTTTCTTATGTTGCAGCGTGGGCTTGTCCCTTTACATTGTTCCCGTAATTGAAGTTCTGATTCTGATCGGATTCTGTTTTATTTTGGTTGCAATTTGCCCGATTCTTTCTGAGCTTTTCTCCCAATGCAGGCCACTCTCAATTTTAGAAGTGCTAAGCAAACAATTAAGAGATTGGAAGAGGCAGCTGTCTCCTGTAGGGGCCAAGAGAGATCCTTGTTAATGAGAAGATGGTTGGAAGTGCTTAAAGAAGCTGAGAAATCTGAGGCAGGTTCCTCGGAAGATAATAAATACAATGCTTTTGAGCAGTACCTTCTTCCTGATGATGCTAGAGAAGGTCTGAGAAAAGTATCCACGGTATGCAAAAGTTCTTTCACTTGAACCATTTCGGTACATTTGAAGAATGCGATCCCGAACCTTGACTTCCTTTTTAAAGTTCGGTTTCTAAGTTGAGCTTACTTAATGACAAATTTCTGTATTGTGTCATCAACCTACCTTTCTGCACATAAAATGTAGATTCTGTACTATGATGCTGATGTTGGTGGTGAACCGCTCCCTTTCCGTGACATTTTCCTGCAAAGTCAGGCTTTGGAGGGCATCACATTATCCATGGTATGGCTAATTAATTTAGGTTATGTTTAAGAGTTTGTGACATGTGGTTAAGGAAGTGAGATCTATAACAAGAAACGTAATTGAAAAGTTTGAGAAATTTTAATTGTAATTTTTGCAACTGTTACTGTCTGGCAATGCGGTAGCAATGTAGAAATAAAGGAAGTTCTGGATGTGAATACACTATGATACTTTTACAAATGGAAGACAGCTTTCCAAATTAGGCCCCCGCTGGTAGACGCTCTATGCCAAAATCTGGTCAAGTACTCACGTTGGCAATTTTTAGTATTTGTTGGTTTAGCTTTCAGGCTGTAGTTTCATACTATAGCATAATTAACGAAACCTCATGAAGGAAACTATATTTCTATGCATACTAAATTTGGCTACATGCGTTTAAACTTGTCAATTAGGATACCGAGTGAGTTGGGACAAATTCCGTGTTAATATTTTGAAGTGCTTTATCTTTATAAAAAAAAAAATATTGAAGTGCTTTATCGTAAAATCTTGCTGAATGGTACAGTGCATGAGTGGGGACTAATGACATTATGCTTAAATTATGTGCTGAAGTACTTAATGATCATGAAAGATTGATACCCTGCTATATTTTTCTCTGGTTCAGATCCTCCACTCACCAAATGAAGATGAAATTGCTCTGTTACTGGAGTTGTTTGGGTGGGTTTGCTATCATTTATGGCTGTTATTTTCTGGTATGGTCACAATGGCTATTTGTGGTTTTGCTGTGAGATATTCAACCTACAGAGTACATTTTGATCTCTTACGTACTATCTACTTCAAGATGTTTATCGTTATTGAATTTATGAGGAAATTATTCAAAATTTATAACAGTTTATCAGGACACTGCCTTTGTCTCTTATGGGTCGAAGTGCCTAGTACTCAAGGCAGCCTCAGCTTGTCTGATTCTGACTTACTGCCTGATGCTGTTTGCAGTGTTTGTCTAACTGGAGGAAAGGAAGTTCATATTGCAATACTGAGCAGTATCCAGGATCTGGCTACAGTTTTTACAAAATACAAAGAGGAAGTGCTGGTATGAAGGGAGTAATAATGAGTTTCTGAATACAAATACTCTATCTGTGAACTTTTTGAACTATCCATCGTCTGAAAAGATTGCCGAAAGATAGAATCATGAACTCATGCTTGACCATGGTTTTATAAAACCTGATTGGTTATTAAATGCTACCTCGACCTAGAGTGGCAAAGGGTCTATCATGTTCTTTCTTGTGTTTCCTTTTTATGCCTCTTGGAACTGTTCTTGTATTGGCAAAATGAAAGCTATCCAAAGCAAGCTTTGTATCAGAAGAAATGAATAACCCGGACCTCATTGTTTATATGAAATGATGTAAAAACGGGGAAACAACTGGTCGAATAGTACTCAGGTAGTCTTAACACTTTGTTCGTTTTGCACTAGGTCTGTTTTTGTTCTTCTTTTAGAGGAGTTAATGGATGGATTTAAGCACCCACAATGAATCTGGAGGAAAGCAATTGATTTTCTTGGAGTTGCATCTTCAAACTTTGATTGAGTTTGTCGTTTCCTCTTCTAACCTGGGTTATAGTTTGCTATGTTGGGTTTCCAAACATTATCTCATAATGGGTTTCCAAACATTATCTCATAATTTATGTGTAATGATGGAACAAAAGAAGCAAGAAAAGAGTACTATAGTAACCCTAATCTTTTTCTGCATTATGTTTGGTTTGTTCTACCTTGAATCAGGAGGAAAGCAATTAAGCCTCTGCAGTTGTGTCTGCAATTCATGACTGAGATGTTACCTCCTTAGATAAGAGTTGAAGATTGCTATATTAGTTTTCTAATTCTGCTGACGACTTTACAGGTTAAAAGGGAGGAGTTGCTTCAGTTTGTGCAAGGTGCCATTACAGGGTTGAAGATTAATGCTGAGATGGTCAGGTACTTTTGGACAAGGAGATCTTTTGCCTCTTGTTAGCTATGCATTTAAGTTTCTGCTAATTAATTGCTCCAACATACTATACACCTTATGCCTCGTGGGTCACTTCCATTTCTGTTTTACCAATGTTGAGAACTTGAGTTGCCAGACAAATTTCTCTGCTTTATGGATATGGATCAAGTACTCCAATCTCTGTGTCAAGTTCTTGCCATTTCATACATCCGTACTTTTTTCTTCATCAAAGTGATTCTTTATGTCATTCTAAGGAAACTTGACTTTGGATAGGCTTTGTCTTCTGTTTCATCTATTTCTTTTTATCCTTTCTCCTCGCTGCATGCTTCTGTGTGGCTTCCCTGTATTCTTTGAACTCCTCTTTTCTCCGGTACTAATTATCTCGATTGGCTTTACAAAAGTAAAGTAAAATTGAATTGCTATGATGCTTATGTGGTGTCTCTGATGACTCTCACTCGTTTCTCACCTATGGTTTGCTATCACAGAATTGATGCTGAAGCAGCAGATCTCAAAAACAAACTTGATGGGATAACTGTGCAGGGTCCAACGAATGAAACCAAGGACAACGAATCTGTTAGTGCCACTAATGAAGCTATAGAGGTGAGTATGAATGCGATGATCTATAGCCTTAGTGTATACCGATCCTTAAAAAGCTAACTATTAGGTCAGATACACCTGTGCAATTATGCATAAAATGTAATATTGGTTTGTCTTTCTATATCTATGTACTGCCTTACTGCACTTCAGTCAGCATAAGTTGGTGAACCAGATGTGTTGATCCTGTTTCTGCAGGCTCTCAAGGAAGCATTAGCTAAAATCCGAACTTGTTCAAGACTGGAAGAGCTTTTATTGAGAAAGAAAAGTTTAACCTTTGGAGACACTCCAGAGATTCATGCCCAAAAGGTATTCAGGATCTTTCCATTGGAGAGATCATGCCTGTTGCCTTTGAAAATATGCAAATGGACATAAAACTGCACATTATAATATTGTATTTGTGGAAATTCATCAGTCCTTGGTCTTTGAGCTGATCCGGTTGGAATACTGCAAATTCGATGTGTTTAAGAGGGAAGTTTAAGTTTTCAATTCCTGCCCTGGCTGGGTGGGGTTTACGGGTGTGGGATGCATATTTCTCTTCAGATTTTCATGTAGAATCCTTGATCACTGAGGATATTTCAGATGCTCGCAATACTATTTACTGGCTATGTGCCTGGCCAGTTGTGACTTGTTCTTCTTACATGAGCAGATCGACAAGTTGAAAGTCTTGACAGAATCTCTTGCTAGTTCTGTGACAAAATCTGAAAAGCGCATTGTAGATCAGAGGTACAAGATATTTGTTTCTTTTAGCTACTACTGGTTTGATGGTTGTTATTAGTCTACCTAGATTTGACAACTTGAACACTTCTGTATGCTATTCACATTCTGTATTTCGAGATAAAAAGATGTAGTCTCTTTCTATCATTTGTGGTGTACTTAATAGTTACTTACTGAGTGGTGCTTGAGACTTCAGTTCTTTAAAGAGTCCCATTAAGTTGCTACCACGCCTTCTTCTGGTCTATTAGAGATGACGTTAGAGAAAAGAAATGGAATGATATGAATAGTTTTGTGGATATTGACATTTAATCTCTTCGGGTTGTACGTCCCTGGCTGTAATGTCAATCATAGAATTTAAAGTATAGATATTGGATTGTGTTTTAATATAATTTTTGTTACTGAACCCTTTTTTAATATCCTTTGGACAGTTTAATTAATCTTTTGGAGATATATATTAAGTATTAACTGATGAATGTTGGCCTACTCATCTAATGGATTCTCCTTCATTTCACTGGCTTGGCAGAGTACAAAAGGAAGAGGCTTTGAAAGTTCGTCTGTCTAAATCTGACGAAGCCAATGAAAAGGAAAAGGTACCGAATATTATGGTACTTTGGTCCGACCACTTCCTTGCAGATTGTTGATATGTCATTTAGTGTGGTGAATTGGTGCTCGTCAGTCAGCATTTCATAACCCAATTGAAAGAAATCTCGAGTGTTGTTATTAAGATCGGAGCTGATAGTTGCATCCCTTATTTTGTGCTGTTGTATGCGTGGCAGTTGCCAGAAGAATTTTCTTTTCGTTCTTTTTGATGATTATGCGAGAGGGGTTGTTTTGCGATGAACAATTCAATGTACTAGAATGCATTTAGTGTTTATCCAGAATTTAGCCAAAATAAATATTCTCTCTCAATTTTTTTGCAGGAAATAGGTGCTGAGATCACTGTACTTGAAAAGGAAAGAGATGAACTCGAAGCCCAGTTGAAAAAGGTTCTTCTCTCTATTACTTCTCAGTTGTGACGTACTGACAGGACAACTTGAGTTACGTTGATGATTATAGTATTCCCTTACAATATATGAATTTCTTGTAGGTCGGTTTGTTTTTTCATACCGTCTAGATTCCTTTCTTCATTTGAGTATTTACTATTTACTGGTAGAACACGATATGGCTCTAATTGAAGTTGGCTGGTTTTTTTGACCAAGTGTATCATCACTTAAACTCTCCTCTGTATCGTGAAGGTTAATATTTCCTTAGCTGCTGCAAATGCACGCCTCAATAATGCCAGAGAAGAGAGGGAACAGTTTTTAGAAGCAAACAATCAGATCATTGAGCATTTGAACGCAAAGGTGCCTTTTCCTCTTTCTTTTTTTCCAGCCTCGTTAGTGTCTGTTGAATAGTTAGTGGTGAAGTTATGCATCTTTGATGTGTCTGATACATCTATCTTGGGTGTTTTAACAGGAAGATGAGCTGACGGGCTCAATAACTGCATGCAAGGTAGAATCTAATGTTCTGGGCACGTGGGTTAACTTCTTGGAGGATACTTGGGTTCTCCAGCGCTCCTATGTGGAAACGACTGAGAAGCAGGCAACGTAAGTATTTAAAGTTAATTACTGATATTGTCGGTAGGATTCTCTTTCTGAGGTTGTGTTCTGCACCTCGTTTGTGTCCCCTGTTTTTAAGTGATGAGCTGGAGAATCATGAGGAGTACTTCACGAAGTTGGCCGTCAATCTTTTAACTGACTACAAGGTATTGATACTGTGTGTTTTCGGGTGATACAATTCAAAAGGAACTAGAGCTGACGTTAGCCTGCTTTTATATACTTTTCATGCTTCTGACCATGAGTTTATGTTCTTGTTCTCTCACGCCTTCCCCTTGTTACGCAGAAAGAATTGGAACCTTCTATTGGTCGCATTGGTACATATGTTGAGAACCTAAAGGCATTGAGTCTACGGTAATCTTCTTTGTCTCCTTAGATTTAGTTCTCTGAATCACTCAAACGTCAGATACTCGTATATATGGCCTGAAGGAAGAGGGGTGAAAAGTGCTCTTGCTTGTTTCATTCTTTTCGGTTGGACAATGCAGGTCAGAGGTAGCAGCCAGTGCAGATAATCAAGATTCTCAAGTAACTAGCCCGAGGCGACATCTTGAGGAAGAATACATGGACTATGAAGCAAAGGTAAGTTGGAGCTTGTGTTTGGTCTCCTCTGCCGATACCTGTACAATTCCTAAAACACATTGGACTTAGGAGTTAATTAAGCCATTCATTCGTTCGTGTCAGATCGTGACCACCTTCAGTGTAGTGGATAACATGAGAGAGCAATTCTATGCTCAAAAGGGCGCAAGCTACAGGTCTGATTTCTTGTCACCGTCACTTAATAATAATGGCTGTCTTTTTAGTTAATCTCCGCCCTGTACTGTACACATGAAGAGCTCTCTCTTGTCAGGAAAGACGACGAAAGAGTGAAGGAGCTATTTGACGAGATTGAAAAGCTGAGACAGGAATTCGATGCCATCGAGAGACCAATTCTTGAGGTGGAGGTTCCGAGCTCAAAGCAAGAACCAACATCCGAGGAGAGGTCATCGGAAATTTCTCCCCATCCTATAGCCGAGCCACCCAAGGGAGAACCTAGTTCACCAAAGCCACCTGCTGAGCTTCCCAAGAAACCAGCCACAAGTGGCGGTGAGGCTGGGAAACCCCTCGATGCTGACGCAGAGCTAGCAAAGCTGGAGTCAGTGTTCGGCAAGCTTGATCCAACGGATTATTCAGCGGAGGAGGTTGGCGAGTGGGAATTCGACGAGCTCGAAAGAGAACTACGAGCCGGTGATCACACCAAATCCTGAACTGCGTACTGTAAACTACAGAAGCGATAAAGTGTAAGAAGCACCCTCCAGCTTCTGTATGACTTTAACTGCAGAAATTCGTCCCTGGAAAAGAGAAGCTGATGGAAGTTTTAGATGACAAAGGCTTGCTTTGGACGTGTCAGTTTAAACTAATGTAAACGGCAATGGGGGAGCGAGAATTCTTAGTTTCAATTTGTTCATTCTTAATGTACATCCACAACAAAAGATTTGTTCTGTTGTATTATTGTAACAAATAATCAAACGCAGCAAAAGAGATTTTAAGTTCTTTTTTTTTTTTTTGTTGGAAAAACAGGGAAGTTCTTTTTATGGATATCTGAGGCCAATTCTGAAATAGTAATTTTTTTCCTTCTCTTTTTTATTATTTTAAGAATGACTTGGGTTTTGGTACAAAATCTCCACTTGCAAAATTCTCGATCGTATCATGACATTTTGATACAACAACACATTACGCCATATAATGATATTATGAATTTGTGATAGATGATACGACTAGGCCGGGGTTTCGTACCTATCTGCCCCCAAAATGATTGCTGCTAATTATATCAATTAACCAATTATATTCCTATATAGTATCGTAAACTCTATTAGCCAATTATATTCACGGGTTTCGCACTAATTTAATTTCTTGACAATAATTATATGTCAAGAAAAACAGAATAATGTTAGCACAAGTTGCGGCTGCTCTTGATTGCCCTAGAGCCGAGTCTTTTCTTCAAACCCTCTGGTCTCGTCTGTACAAAGTTTTCTCCCTCGCGAGTTTGGGTTTCCGGTAAATCATGGTGTGTTTCCTCCAGGTAGCAAACGAGCTGATCCAATTTCTGTATCTAAACGCAGTTCACTTGGCGACAGATAAGGATAATGTGTTCAACCTGTACGATGAATGCCCTAATCTCCAAGTTGAGATGGAGGAGGTAATTGGCCGTCTGGAGCAACTCTTCGCCGATGACGATGACGCAATATCTGTCTCTCTACTGATTGATGATCGTGGGTACGTACGATTCGTCAGTCGTCGCAATATCTGTCTCTCTACTAATAAGCTTGCTTTCTTATTCTCTGTGTTCGATCTCTTGCCTTAATGTCATCTATCTATGCATATTATGTGTCACATATACATACATGCATGCAGCTACGTACCCAATTGAGGTTGTGCAAAGAAGAATGCAAATGGAGGGCGGCCAAGTGAAACTAGAGGTAGCAAGATTATGGCAGAGTTTTAGGGATGTAATCAAGAAGAGAGGAAGCCCAGGACTGTACAATAAGGGGATTCGGCCTCATTGTTTGAAGGTGTTCCTCAACGTTGCAGTTGCCTTTACAGCTTTCGAGATGGTCAAGATTGCCCGTCTGCGCGCTGAGTTTGATCAAAGCTGCTCTATGACCGTACGTATTGTTGCTGATAAAAGGGAGGCTGCACTAGCCTTGCTTCCGCCATTGCCCCTCTGAAAAGTTTTTGTTATTTGTCAATGATATCATGCCTAGACTAGATGTATGAACGGATAATATATAATACACTAGGTATTTTATTTTTATTTTTGGTATTTAAATGTTTTTTCATAGTCAAAAGGCAAAATACACTTGCATAGCTATAGTTTTAACATTTGTGACAAATATAGCCATAAGTGTCGGAAAACACAAAATAGCCACTTTCGTCCATTCCTTTAATGATGTCATTTAGCGGTATGACTGGACTGAGGGAAATGTGGACCTGGTGGCATTTCCTCAGTAAGTGTCCACATGGATTAAGGAAATAAAAAACCAGAAAATTCAAATTAAAATTTCATAATGCTTCTTTAGGGTTTCAAGAGACCCTAAATTCGATTTAGGATTTCGCGAGACCCTAAATCAAAATCGAAGAAGCAGCTGGGGGGTTAAAAAACATTCAATTGAAATATTCCCCCCCCCCCTTCCTTTGCGCTGACATGGCATTGACTTGGCGCGTTGGCCATTAGTCAACGGTGTTGATCGTACAACTTGACGGTCAATCAAACCCTCCGACCAAAATTGTATAGATAGTGTATAGTCTGGATCAAGATAGAAGTTTCAGAAAAAAATCTACCGGCAAACAATTTCTTTATGTGTGTAGATTGGAAGAGTTACTTCTGCAATCAAGAAGTACCGTTCTCCTCGGGTTCAATAAGGTTTTCTATAAGTAATCCAGAAAATAGTTATTCACGTCAAATATCCAACATTCGTATATGTAATGTAACATCTCTCCAGCACATCATTTCGATTATGCAATTTACTATAGATTTCTGACAACTTTTTTTCTTTCTTTCTTTCCATTCAATCGCTGGAGCAGAGAGGGAAGGGACAAGAAAATTATGTAACAGGGAGCATCTGATTGATTGATGACATAGAATCTGGAACCTAGCTAGCTATATTTATGTACCTGGTTACCAACCAACATGTGCCAGTAAGATGTGTCTTGAGAAGATTTTTCGAAGTACTAATTGCTTAATTGGATCAAATACAGGGAGGCTTTGGACTATTAAATAGGTACGTACACCATAATGAAAGTGCCTTGAATTTGCCTGGAAAAAAATACAGCCCCACTCCAAATGGAAATTCTGCCCTTAATTAGGTTTCGTGTCTGCCTTTGACCTAAAACGGCCAGCAAACTCGTCAGAGAAATGTCTCGTGTCCGATGAACAAGTCAATAAGATCATAGCTTACTAGAGAAACATGATTAATAGTTAGTCTGTTTCAGGAGATCGAATTTACGAAATCTAGTATGAAAATTTCAAGAAAAAAATGTATATTGTCACATATAAGTACAATTTTTAATCAGTAATATGCATACAACATCAACATCACATCTGTGGAAGTCTGGAAGATATCAGTAACATACATTATTACCAACTACAACATTTAACTTATATATTGGAAGCATTTGAACACATATGTTTTTATTTAATTATCTCCTTAAGAATCCAGCAGACACCACTATATGTATAATTATCTCCTTAAAAATACATGAAAAAGGTTGCATAAGGAAACAAAAGAGAGACATGCACACGGTTCCATCATTCAGCATAGGGATTTGCCAATAATAAGACAACCTTTGATAAATTGGAAGAGACAAGATATATAATAAGTTATCAAAGAAGAACCCAACACCAGGAATCCAGTAAAAGCAGTAAAACCTGGTAAAGATGTCTTTTTTAAAACAGAAAACACCTCTAAATGCTCTAATCCAATAAATAATTCAGGAGAGACACCCCATGGTAAAAGATGAATACTTAAAAAGAATAACTAGAGAGTCATTACAATTTTGAGATGATACTTTAAGTTTGAACATTGAAAAGAAAACGACGATGATATAACTAATCTGACTTAAAACGTAAGTGAAATCATACAAAAAAAATTCTACAATACAAACAAGTGAAGAGAAATGATACAAACAAGTTGGTGTATCTAGTGAAATGATTGATTACCTACATTAATCATGTAGTAGTATCATGATAATAATATAATTTTGTCCTTTATTTCCCCCTTTTGACATGGAGGATTAAGGTCTCAAAACCTACATTCTAGAGGTCTATTAAGCTAACAACTTTAGAAACAGTAGGAGGGCTCCTAGGCTTAGGTTGCTCCCCAAGTGCTAATCCCCATGTTTAAATTAAAATCTCAGCCCTAATTAAACTTCTCCATCACAGTAACCTGCAAGGAACCTGGTCTATCATTAGTAGATGCCAAAATAAAAAGAAATTACTATTAGGAGGTTCAAGAAAGTTAATTTGTTGATAAGAGTGTCATTAGTTCAAGGAAAATGAACTTGGACCTCTGAGTTGGAACCAATCCCAACATGTTCTAATTTTTTAATCTTTATACAAAAATATTTTTTTTTCGAAATCTTGTCACCCACCTAAACATTATTCTAAAAAGAAACAAAACATCCCAAACTGTGACAATTTCAAAGGTTGTTCACTTCACATACCTTCTCTTCTCACTCTTTTAAATTGGGAGAGCTTCCTCTCATTTTCCCCCCACCACCAAACCTCCAGCTGCCCTTCCCTGTAGCTCATTTCCACACACTTAAAAGAACAAACCAAGAGACTGTATCCTGACAACAGAAATTAAGAAAGATGGAGGTGGCTGCAAATTTCCCTTCCTATGATCACAACCACCATCATCTTCATTCAGCAGCAACAGCAGCAGATGATGACTATATTGACATGGAAATCAACTCTTTCTCCATTCTTGCTAATCAAAACCCAAGAGAGTTTGAGTTCCATATGTCAAAACCTCCACTTGAGAAACAGTACCACTCAACTACTTCCCCAGCTGATGAGCTCTTCTACAAAGGCAAACTCCTCCCCCTGCACCTCCCACCGCGTCTCCAGATGTTCGAGAAGCTCCTCGAGAACTCCAATGGTGTTGGTACCAGAAAAGTTGTGTTTGAAGAATATTACAGCACGCCAATGATGACCACCACTCCCACTGCAACAAATACCCCTTATGAGTCCTGCAACATCACCCCAGCTGGTTCCTGCACAGTAAGCAGGGAGCTTAACCCTGAAGAATACTTGCTTGAGTATTCATCATCCCAAGTGAGTGGATACATTGACATCGGCGAGAATAATCCAAAGAGGCCATCATGGGCCAGGAAGCTGAAGCTGATCAAACAGACTGCTCTATTTGGTTCAAAGATTAAAGCTTTCAAGGCCTTGTTTGGTAAATCTGGGTGCTCAAATGATTCCTGCACAGCAGCAGCTGCTGCAAGAGTTGCTGATGAAGGAACACTTTCAAAAGCCAGCAAAGAAGCTGGTATTGAAGGATGTGGGAAGGCAGTAGGAGTAAAGAAAGCTCCTTTTGGACATATCCAAACTGAGAAGTACCAGTTTTTACCAACAAGTGTCAGCAAACAGAAGAGTACTACTACCAGTGAGGACTGCAGTGGGAATAGGCTCCACAGGAGATCATTCTCAATGGCTATTAAACGAAACTCAACTGCCAAATCTTCAATGTCAACTAGTTCTTCTTCATCATCATCCTCTTTGTCAACTTCTTCAAGCTTGACCAGCTCAAACGGGTATCGGGGGTTGCCTTTTCTGAAGAGAAGTACAAGTACTGTTTGTTCAGAGATTGAGAACCCAATTCAAGGAGCTATTGCACACTGCAAGAAGTCTCAGGAGATGTTCCAACAAAGGAAGAGTAGTGTCAGTGAGGTTGGGTTCTACTCAATGTCAGGTTCAAAAATCAGTATTTGTGAAGAACCAGAAAGGGCTGATCTTTGTAGAGGCTGACCTCTTCACCAAAAAGAAAAATGGGAAAGCAGAAGGAACATTAACTTTTTGTCTTCTAGGTTTTAATGTGTTCCTTTTTCTTCACTTATCTCAATATTTTCACATTCTGAGCACTTGTATCATCCTTTTGGATCAGAGAAAAGGAAGAGAAGATAGATCTGTCGATGAATTATAGGATGTTAGCAAAATCTCAAGTCTGATAATGAAAATTTTCCTTTCAGGAATCACATTAGATTTGAGTTTCAATGGATGCCATGCGTGGGTAAAGTCCAATTTCCAGTAATGATGGTATAGCTTTGTCAGGAATACATTTTCTAACTGCAGTAAGCTTGAAGAACTTTTCACCAGTTGCAGCTTGCAAAGTAAGAAGATCTGTAAACTTGCACCTCCCAAACAATATTCCAGTTTCCACCAACATTACAGTCTGTATTGTTCAAATTTTACAGTGTCTGATTGCCAAAAGGTATGAAGACGAAAATCAGAAGAAGTTAAAGCACAAAAGGTTGTCAGCTTTAATAAAAGACCCATCCTCCAATTTCACCTACACTAAATGGACATTCCTATCAGCTAACCAGCAAAAGATTTCAAGTGGGCCATATTGCAACTTTGCTAACTTTGAAAGGAAGTCAACTGTTTCCACAACTCAGAATGATTAATAGCTTCACGAAGATGGACATTCACAAGCCTACAGTAATCTTGACTTCAAAATGCATTTGAAGAGATTGATCTCATGGTTTTCAGAGATCATTAACTGCCCATTATTGATATCCCCAGTTACTTGATAGTTCACTGTTAAGTTACTGATGAAAAGCCAAAAGACAATATATTCAGGGTTTATCAAAGTGATTTGACACCACTTAGCAATAAAGTTTCAGGTGAATCCAACTAAATTGCTACCATTTCTACAATCATTAGCACACAACAACAAAGGAAAAAGAGCCTCATTTCTATAATCCAATGATGTCTTCTTAAAGATGCATTTAGTAAAGCTTAATAATCGTGAATTAGGCCAAGATAAGCATCATTATGTCCCAGCCAATGATAGAACAACACACATAATCATAACCTTGGATTAAGAAAGAAAGAAAACCCAGCTTGTCTGCCTCTCGACTCTAACCCAGCAGACCATCTACCTTCAATTCACGTGTAAACAAGGAGAAAAAGATGATCTCTTTTAATCAACAAGCAAACACTGGGGACCTTATTTCTCCAGATGAAGATTATATTTTTGGAAGTGCAGACAAGCATCCTTCATGGGCTCTTTTTCCCCCCAAATTCTTTAGTTTTTTTTACTCTTTCTGTTTTTAGTTTGGTGAGTGCTAAGCTAAGTGGACATGTCAGCAAACATTTTGGACAGGATTCGAGACAAAGGAAGCTATGCAGGGGAAAAGGAATAGGGCAAGTGATGTTTCTCAGCACTTAAAAGAGTAGCTCTCTGAAAGCACTAAACATGAAAGCCATCAAAAGACCCACTTCTTCCCTACCACTATTGCCATTTGGGTCTCCAGACTTAGAAGGAAAGAAGGGTGTCATAATACTTTGCTTAATCCCAACCAAATGAGCTTCTTGTCCTCTAATCCAATACAATGTTCAGAGTGGGTCCTAATGGACAGATCCGAAGATCTAATCATCTGAAGATCTCTGTTCTATTCTCAGCAGCCTCTTCATATAGTGCAGTTTGCAAGCTGTAATGAAAGAACTAGGGAGTTTGGTGTGTGTGAAACTTCTCCAATCGAACAGTTAATGGATCCACATAGGAAGTTTTTGTCTCTATATTAGGTGCTTTTGTTTTACATACTATATTTTAGGGGATAGAAGATGGACAAATGAGTGATTGAAATGCAGGGAAGAAGTCAGGAGGAAAAAGTTATCAACTTGAGAAGAACATATAATAATGTTTCAGTAATCCATCAGTTAGAATGAGATCAAAAGTGAACTAAGAGAATGAGAGTCTCATTTTGGACATCCACTTTCAGCCATTAAGGAGAAAAGTAGTGACAGAAATCATCCACTCCCCAACAACTGTAGAAGCCAAAACCCCTAAATAAGGCCACCAAGAAAACTTCAAAAGGGTTCTTATTTTTCTTTTGTTTTTTGTGTCCTCTATTTGGTCCCCATAAAAGCAAATTTTGGTTGATAGGCTACCATAGAACTGTGTTATAGAATAATACCAACAAAAGTAATTTACAGTGTAAGAAAATCCCCAAATCTTAATTAGATTTTGTTAGTGTAATTCACAAGCTTGTCAACCATTCAAATTTTGAAGATAATTGAATTAGAACATGAGAGAGAGACAGAGAGAGGAGCAACAATTTGAAAGTTTTTACATTGTCGATATTAATAAAGAGGACAAACTCGAAAAATATTAACAGGACGATTGAAGAAGATAATCTTTTCATGGAAGACTTAGAAAATATTGTGAAGAAACTCACAGGATGAAAATGTTATGAAACTGTGGGTTCAATGTTTCTATAAACACTCCAAATAAAATGTTAATGTCATTAATTTCTATTTTTAAATAAAACTATTATCCCCAATGTTGAGAGCCGGCAGAGCAGGAGGCTTAGATATCTCTCTCTGCCTGCATGTCATTTTCATCCATGTGAATATGTGATTAGTATTTAGTCATTAGAGTAGGCAGTAGCCGTCTGTTTTGACCAATTTCACCAATAATAAGAAGATTCTTTTTCCTCACACAAAAAATATATGATTCCTCGTTTGCACATTAGTATCAGTTAATTAGCTGGAGACTCCTGCTACTGCAGGGCATATCTTGGAGTACATTTGCATCTTTTCCACAGTACAGTTCATGCATTTGTTTTCACTCCCAGAAAAGAAATCCTCTTGCCCAGATGCAAATCAAAGCGTTGGTCTTTTTTATATACATACATAGCTGTGGACATGTTCGTTGTTTCGACATTCATGTCACTAGCCTAGAGTGAAAGATCAGGTTTTGGAAGAAACTTACAGAGAGAATACAATTACCGACCATTTAAAGGGCATAAATTCGATCAACTTCAGAGTTGGAGAAATCAGACTGATGCCATGAATTCGACCCACTCATCCTTGCATGCTTCTCCTTCTTCCTAATCGACCGACGACTCTTTGACTTCACTACATAGTAAGTCATGGTGCCAAGTACCCCAGCCATGATCACTCCACCAACACAAGTTATCAGAATCGCAGCCCATTCGTGCTTTCTGCCAACCACTATGTAAGAAGAGGCCATAAATGCCACAGAGGTGCACACCGAGGCTAACCACATCAACTTGTTGATCACCTCCACAACTCTTTTCTCTGCTTTCGTCTCGCCTCTCACCAACGTGATTTGGACTACGACAACAGCCAGTGATGTGAAGAGAGCAATGGCATTGAAGATGAAGAAGATCTTGAAAGAAGCATGGGTCACCACCACAGCTATCCCGTTGTTATCATCCCCTCCAGGGACAGTGAAGATTGCTGCGAAGGCAACAGTTGCAAATAGCACAGCTACAACAGTGACTGAGTTTGTGGCGTTGTTGATCCCTTCACGGTGTAGCTTCCTGAGCTCTTTGGAGATGTTGTGGACATTCTTGTTGGTCCTTCTGGTTTGCTCTAGCTGAGTATGCACATCTTTCTTGATTTGAGTAACCGTATTCCTCAACTCATCCCTTGGTTGGTTGAGTTCATTAGCTCTGACAGCTCCATAGCGAGAGAGACACTCCCTTATCTCTGAAGATTCTTCTGAAAGGGGGAGCCCTTCCGCTATATCGAGCGCTGTCTTGTGATCACGAGTCAGTGCATTGACGTTTGTGTCAGGAAGTAGTAACAATTCATTCACAATCTGCAATGAAAAAGATGAACCATTTGACATTAGTGTCTTATGACCAGCAAAAGCTTGAGAGAGGAGAGAGGAATGAGAGATCCAGAGCATATTAGACATCTATATATCCACACCACCTTGGCAAGAAGATGCAGAATTATGGGATTACAAACTAGCCCTACCAAACCCCGTGTACACACGACAGTGGATAAAACTGAAACCATATAACCAATAACAGATCTAAGCAACTTCATTCGAAGAAATACCTCTGCGCGCTTTTTTCTGGTAGCAACATGCAATGCTGTGTTACCAAACTTGTCTGGCAGCATAACAATAGCAGCATCAGCTGCAAGAAGCAATTTCACCACCTCACGGCTCTGACCTTTCACAGCCATGTGCAGTGGGGTCTGCCATTTCTTGTCAGTCCTTCGTGCCAATTGAGAGTCTTTGCTGAGCAATGCCCGCACGATTTCAACGTGGCCTTGCCTGGCAGCTAAATGCAAAGCATTTTTACCATTTGACCTAGAGATCTCCAATAAGCTGCCATCCTTGGATAGCAATTCATTCACTACAGCAGTATGCCCTCTGGTGGCAGCAGATACAAGAGGTGTCGCATTTGACGGGCCATACGTTTGGCTCAGGCTGGGGTCATGATCAAGCAGTACTTGAACAATGGCTGCAAGACGTGACACATTGTCAAGGGATTAATGCTTCGTGTACAAAAAAACAGAGAGAGAAAGCAATACAATATCAGAAACGAGGAACTATGACAAACAGTCAAGACACTTACCATGGTGCCCTTGCATAGCAGCAATATGGAGGGGGTCGAACCCCGACCTGTTCTTCCTAGTAGTGCACTCTTTAGTTGCATACTTGAGAAGTTCCCTCACCACCTCCAGATGTCCTTTGTCAGCAGCAGTAAACAAGGCGGTCTCTCCCAACTCATTGACTTCGTTGACAACCGACGCCCTTATCTCTGCGACCTCAGTATCAAAGTCTGCTCCTGTCAAAGTCCCCACCATTTGAGAATCAATACCATCTAAAATCTGCTTCACAGCAGCCAAATCGCCGCGCTGAGCTGCCAAGTGGAGCTCGGTATCGTTGTGCCGCCCTGTTACTTGCTTTACATACTTCTTTTTCCCAGCTTGATCAATCCTTTTCCCAGAGTTGGACAGAACCAGCGCAGGAGCTGTCGATGCAGAGGATGGTGAAGGTGTTGGTGATAGCTCACCCAATGGGCTTTGGGATTTTTGACGGATGAGAAGTCCATTCTCCAAATCCATCTCTGCTCCTATCCAAAATGGTTGAATAGAAACCCATCAGAAACATGTAAAAAGAGCTTCCTCCACTAATATTCAATCGATTAGCAGAAATCGAGCTTCCCCTCCACAAATTCTCTTCCTACAAATTAGTTTGATTTTTGAAACTATCCTCTAAGGCTATAGGAATTAAACTTCCCTCTCCTCCAATGGAACCCATGACCGAATTTCTTTCATGAAACAGGAATCAACGCCAAAGATGTGAACTTTCAAGGAAAAGTTCTGATTGCAAGCAATTATGAAAATGGAAATTTTATGGGTTTCTAGATTCACTCAATAAATACAGTAAATCGCCATTAACTAAGGCAGCAATACACTACTACTAATTATCAGTAAGAGCGAGACTGGAAAAGGAAACCGATTTCGCATGCGCAAAGCTGAGTGATTTGGATTAAAAGCTGAATTACCTTCTACTACATGGGAAGCCATGGCCGGAGCAAGCTGTGGCAGCAGTTATCAGAGGAAGAAGGCAGAGCTTCAAGGAATCATCAGCTTGAGAGAGAGAGGACGAGAAGTGGGTAATAATTGAAGTGCTTAGGAGTTAGGAAGCCCAGAAAGGAAAGGAAAGGAAAGGAAGAGAAGTGAGAGGTATAGCTGATAACCAAAAAGAAAAGGAAAAGTAGTAGAAAAAAAGAGGAAGACGACAAGGGAAGACGAAGAGGAAAGCGCAGCGAAGGTGGGAAAGAGGTGGAGAAGAGTGCGTTTTTTGTTCTTGGCCATGCTTTAGAGTGATTATTGATAAGTGATTATTGATTACTGTCTCGGCCCAATAAAGTCATCCTATATCGAGATATACAATGCATTTAGCTTCCAGGCCCATATAGGTAGTGTTGGGCTTTATGAGCTATCTAGGGCTATGGGGTGTTTAAATGGTTAAGGTGGTAATAACCAAACCAATTAAGTCTAGATTTCATTAACTCTTGAATAAAATATTTTAACCAAATCGTCCAAATTAACACGAAAACCAAATTAACCAAATCAAAGTTTAATTGGTTTGGTTAATTGGATAATTGGATTAACCAAATAACATAACCATATGTTATTACTATCATAAACTATCATTATATATAAGCAATAATAATAAGACTAACCATCTATGATTATCTTCATCATTCGAGTTAATACATCATTCATCATCTCTACACCTAATATAGTTAGCTTACAACAAACCCTCAACATAAATATTAAAAACATACCAATACGCTAATACCACTCATCAAGCACTTAAAGCTCTCCTACAAAACACTTAAACTATACATAGTTTGAGGTGGTTGTCATGGTATTGTACGTAATCCTAAAGTCTAGTAGCTGTCCAAAATGTTTTGGTTTAGTAAATAGGCATACCTATTTAATTTTTGACGCACAATGTTTTGGTTTGTTGTGCACATGGAAATAAAATAGGGAATCACGAAAGTCTGGTTTAATTGGTTGCATGGAAGTATAAATAATTTTGTATATTAGGTGTATCATTAATTGATTAATTGGTTAGAAGTGTTGAAACCAAACCAAACCGCCTAAACCAAATAAGCAAAAAAAAAAAAAAAAAAAAAAAAAAAAACCAAACCAAATTAACCGAATGATACCAGTTGATATGATTAGCATGATAACCAATCCGTTTGAACACCCTAGCTATCTATCTATACAAAATTGCCCCATTGTCAAGTTTGGTGTTTAGAGAGAAACCAGCGCTGTTTGAGACATTAGTATCCCTTAAAACCTTCTTAGTAGTTTCCCTTTAGCACATAGAACCCAGAAAAGGAACCAACTTACAATTTTCAAATGAGACAGATTGAAAATACACCAATACTAAAAAGTAAAACATATAGCCTGACAAACTCATCATTCCTTGATATCCTGAGAAGCCATTGAACTTCTTTTACCCACTTGACCAAAAGAGGCTTGTTCTGTTCAAACCTTGTTGAATGCAGAAGTGAGATCCACATCGGTGCGACCCTCATCATTAATCCAGCTAAACTTCTCCAGGAAAGGGCTGACATTGAGTGGAGGAAGAGGGTAAGAAGCAATGCAATCTCCCCAAACATTCCCATCTCCCAAATCCCTAGTCACCTCCCACACACAGTTGTTACACTTGAAACCTGCACCAAACCCAATCATGAATATCCTGTCACCTCTCTTCAGCCTCTTCTTGGCCTCCATGTACCCCAACACATACCAAAGCCCACCAGCCGATGTGTTCCCGAACCGGTGCAGTGCCATTCGAGATGGCTCGAGGTCGTAGTCATCGAGGCCCAAGCTCTTCCCAACCCCATCAATTACTGACCTCCCACCAGGGTGTATGCAGAAGTGCTGAATTCCTGCCTTCATGTTGAGCCCTTCTCCTGCCGCTTCAAGCGATGGAGCAACCCCACCTTTCGCCTTCTTTCGACGGTAAGTGTGGAGGACATAGCGCAGGAGATCCTTCAGTGGCAGTATCTTGGGGACCAAAACCCTGAGGTTCAGTTTGAAGGCTATAGCAGCAGCTTTAGTGAGTCCCTTTGTGAGGAGGAAGCCTTCATGTCCAAGCTTATCTTCCATTTGGATGCAGCAGTTGTATGCCTCATCATTAGCTCCCAAATGGGTTCTCACCAACTGGTTCAGTTTCATCACTGCTTTCCCCTTCAAGCTCCCATTGTTGGTCAACAGCATTGAACACCCACCGGACCGGAACAGGCAGTTGGACAGAATCATGGATCTCTCCTTCCCACAGTACCAGTTTGGTGCAATCGACTCTGTGCTCACCACAATGGCTAAAGCCTTGCTGTGGCTCTTGAACAGCTGCTGCACCAAATCGATGGCCACAATGCTTGCACTGCATCCCATCCCGGAAATGTTGAACGTCTTGATGTCTTCCCTCATCTTGTACCTGTTCACCACCCTGGAAGTCAGAGAAGGTTCAGGGGAAAACAGAGAGACATTGACCACCAGGATGTCGATGTCGGTTGGCGAGATCTTGGTCTTGGCGAAGAGGGCGTCTAACGTGTCGAAGGCGATGTCATCGAACTCCGAGAGGGAGTCGGTGAGGACTGGAGTGGCTTCCCTGCCTTCCAGAACGTTTCTTGGGCCGTAAGTTTCCTCCCCGAGGCCAGAGCTGACTATGGTTTGGAGGAGGAACCTGTATTCTTGCAGCCCAAGGTTCTTGTTTCTCATCACGATCTGGGCGCAGGTCTCGGTGTTGAGCTTCCTGTCTTCAGTGCCCTTGTAGCACTCGTAGTGGAGCATGTAGCAGCATGAATGTGCTCTGTTTTGGAATATGAGTTTGTAGAGGTGGAAAGTGATGTAGGAGAAGAGAAGGAGGAGAAAGATCATCATGGCTCTGGCTTAGAAGGGGGAAAAGAGATGTCTTTCTGGTTCCCACAAGTCCCTTCCTTTGCTTGCATGAAGACTGTGTGTGGAAACTGGATAAGTTAAGTCTTACTTTTATAGAAACTTCTGCTTGGAACTTGGAGAAGGTATGGTTGTATTTTCTGTAAAGGCTGTGTTTGGATTTAGTGTATTCGAAAATAGGTACAAGTGTGTAATATAATGTGATCGAGCCAGATATAGATATTTGAGAATCCATTACTTAGGCACATTTGAGATTAACAGTGTTATTCTCATTACACAGACTTATGTTAACATTGTGAAGGTAAGACTTACGATGTATTTGTTCACTTACACCGGGCGAGTACAACTGTACTCAACCAAATGAGGCCTAAGAATCTACTGGCTTCCACCAAGTTGGCAAGTTGAGGGGGGGTGAAATCTTTTATCTTTCTTGAATGAGAAGAAAGTTGAGTACCTCAACCACCTCTATTTATTACCTGGGTGTAAAGTAGTTGAAATGAGTTTTTATCAGCAGGTGGGGAGTGTAGTAATAGATATGGATGGAGATTGGGAAGGTGGGGAGCTTTGGGATGCTGTAAAATCTGTCTGGCAATGCACAAAATCATCATTAACTCCTAATAAGTAATATGAGATCAGAACATACAAGTAGAAACTGTGTTCTCTTACCTCTCTGATGCTTTTGTGGGAGATTTTTCCCCCTCTTGTTTGAACTCTGCAGCTGGCACTGGGTTTCATTTAAGACAATGGGGGTCCTTTTACTGCACTGAATCTGACAAATTGCAGACAAGGAGCTAAGCCATGTTTTTCAAACTTAACAAGCTGACCTTGCGCTTTCACTTTTTGCCGTACCAGTTCTATCTGTATTATACCCCAGTTCTGTGTAATTACACTTGCTGCTGGGTGAACTGTTCTAGAAAGGGAAGGGAGCTAATTTGCTGTTATTATTAGAGTTTGATTAACATTTACCACATGTATGAGTTGGTATTATGTAATTTATCACAGAATCGTGTGTTTCGTATTAGTTTTGACTGAGCAAACCCTAGACAGTCATACAGAAGCCCAAAGTTGAGTATAGGATCAGAAACTGGAATGCAATGTAAACCCAAAATGAGAGCAATGCCTTCAACTAGCTGAATAGTCCGTACATTATGAAAGTCGGTGAATACTGAATAGCTAATTATCACCAATTGTTTTCGTGTAAACTTACACGAAATGCGATGTGAACAATGTTTTGTCAATTCAGGGAGCTATTTTGAGAAAGAGGTGTGAATGATCCAAGTGCAGTGACTACAATAAATATAGGAAAACCATTGGCTCTGCTCCGTTGCGGACTACTGAGTATTGTGGCAGTCTCTCTCTGCTGTCGCAGCAAATCCAGTTCATGTGGCCAGATGTCTTCATAGGTGGTGTTAACACGATATGATGCACTTAGAATTTGAGACCAAGCATGTACTGTCATAGTAGCATCATAACAATAACGTAACTCAGATTTACAGTCATGATAATAATAACCCAAAAGAAAATGTAGCAGCTCCCATCTTCTCGAAAAGCAAGGTATTAGAAAGTTGAGCAAAAACAGAGGATTAAGAGCACCACAAGTGTTATGGCTTCAAGGGAACGAGTCAAATGGGAATCAATAAACCCTCATCGACTAGATGATGAAGCCGTTGGTTTAACAAAACCCAAATAGTAAAAACACCAGAAAGGAGGACAATGGCTTCCATGGAGGTCAAAAGTTAGCAATCGTTTGACAAAATATATAACGATCTGGGAATGCAAATCGAAGAGATTTAGTTGCTCTTCGGCGACACCCCAAAACCCAGAAAGCATTAAGGGGATAAATATTGTGAAGAAGCAACACAAACAATATGGCTTCAAGGGAACGAGTCAGTTGGGAATGGAGGAATCCACAATGACCAGATAATGAAGCATTCATTCCCTAACTCAGTTCAACTGGGGACAAACAACAAATATATGAAATGGTTCATAGACAGTAGGATTCTCAAAGCGATTATGGAGATGAAAGAAGCATTTGGAAAACATGGCTGCCGCGATGGGTAACCATCCTCGCAGCCGCAGGAAGTGATGAGAGATGAAGGTAGAGATCAGTGCAATTCAATGGCGACTATAAGAAGAGGGTTTTGCAGGGATTTTAGCAACTCCATCGGACAAAACCCTAATTTTGGAGAAAACCTATGACATTGGGCTTCGGCCAGTGATACGATGGCCTGTTAGATTGGGTTTTAACCCAAGCTCTTTATACGCGATGCGCAATTTATCGCTGGGCCTGGCTGTGTAAGTATCGAATCATGAGCCCAATACATTATTTGAATCCAGACTATGCTGGAAATGTAATACAGCATAGAGTAAGAATTTTCACATCGACCAAAGAATTCACTATGAACCAAAATGAAAACGATGCCATGATGCCAATGAAGTATGAATATAATCTTGCTGGGATTGAATAATTGCATATAGATCTTACGCAAATGAATATCATATATCAAAATACACAAACCAATGGATATATAAAATATCAGTTACCCAAAAAAAAAAAAAAAAAAACAGCTTCTCATAATATAGTACCTAGACTCCAACGACAAAAGAAGTTCCATAAGCAAACTCAAAAACTATGTCTTCCACGAGATATCTTTTAACCCTCTACTTTCAGTACCCTACTAAGAGGCTTAGACAAATAAGTTGGGCCTGGATGCTTTGTATGTGGTCTTCAGCTTTCTGGTTGGTGGTCGAACCTTCTTGAACACCAATGGGAACTTGATCTTGGAGTTGTGGAACTGCTTGGTGCTCTCCCTCTTGCAGAGCTTAGCGGGGATGGTTGCGGTCTTGATGATCTGGATGCAAGGAGATCTGACCCTGTGGCGAGAAGCCATCTCGCTGTACATCTGTTCCACAGCACCATTCAGAGTGGTGTCACGGAATTCCTTGTACATGTTGTGGTAACCTGTCCTGCTCTGGTAGCGAAGCCAAATGCCATAGTTGTTGATCTTTGTGGGATTCTTCTCGAAGATCTACACATGTTTTCATGGTATATCAGAAACAAGCGTGCAGGATTGGCAAGAAATGAAAATGTGGGTACAGAACGCTGGATCAAAAAGAAATTAAGGGAACAGCTGTTACATTAGGAAAGCAAGCAACAAGTCTTTCCCTCAACCATGCACGCAATAAGAGAGCTTTACTAGTACGACAAATATGTACCTGATCTAATGTTTCCAGAATAGAATGCCTAGGACTGGAGTGTTGAAATGGAAAGAGCAATGGGTATATACTTTGAAGGGAAGAAGTCATATAGGGAACCATGAAATTTTCACCAACCAGACGATGAAGCATTGCAGTTCCTACCATAACCAAGTTGAAGGCTAAGCACTCTAGCGAGGTGGAACACACGAGGAAAGGAATTAAGTAATTGAACAATCCAAGGATCTCACAAGATATAGAGATACAACTTTATAGAGAAAATGAAGCCACTCCATTTTTCTCCAACCTAAGGATCATCTAAAAAATTGGACACAAAAACAACTAGGAGAACACGTTTCAAATTAAGTTTCAAGATGTTCAAACACCCCATCTTAGAACCTAAAAAGATCATTCTAAATCATACATGAAAAAAAGGGTAATCCCTCTACCAAAGCCACATTTAAGTGATTAGCAGTAAGGATTACAAATTCTAAAACAGTTCACCTCGTTGATAGCAAGAATCTGCCCGTTGCTTTTCTTGACCTTCTTCAGCTTCCTCAGGAAGTACCTGGTCCAAAATAAACCAGTGATTCCGTTAGCAACAGAAAACTCAATCAATCAATCAATCAGACTACAAAGCAGAAGAACCACTGCGAAAAAGGTATAACCCACCAGAACTTGGACTTGGCGCGAACCTCATTCGTATTCCAGAGCTTCATCCTATAAATCTTCGGGTGCTCATCGCTCTCCGTCGGCAGAGCTCGCCCAACGACCTGGTACTGGTGGTACTGCACACCCCGAGAACGAAAAAAGAACCCACAACAAAATCAACATACGAACAAGACCTTGAATCCTAACTACGTTAGACCAACACGCCGATGAACCAAGCTAACAATAAAACAAATGAGAATCAAAGAACCCCCGAGATAATTTGAACGGAAAGTCGAGAATCCGAAAGCTTTCACATACCCTGTACGCAACCATTCTTGCCAGCAGAGGAAAATTTGAACGGCAAGTGGAAGTTCCCTTCGCTTCAAACTGCCTCTGCCTTCCCCTCTAACGCCGCCGAACGAGAACGAGAACAAGGAAGAGAGTTATGGTTCTGGTCACCGACACCGAGGACGATAAAACCCTAATTGTAGAGATATTGAGCCAACACGCTGTCGTTTTGAGGTGTACCCAGGCCACGGAGCAATAGAATACCGACACGTGGTGACCGAACCTGAAATGGGCTTTAGCCTGGAATGTTTGGATCGTAGCATAAAGCCCACTAAGCCCAACAACTAGCTTCACTATTAGGCCGTGAGAACCTCGTTGCTCTTAACGGATTAACCGTTAACGGCTATTTCGCAACGAGAACCGGGCAACGGTAGGTACCTTCCTCGAAGAAAGGAATCCGCAGCTTCCCCCGTTCAATACTTTCCTCTCATTTGCTTCCACTCTACAGCGGCCCGATACGGAGAAACGGAAAGAGTGTAGAGAGAGCGAGATGAGGTCATTACCGTACGCCGATGCCGACAACCACATGAGAGCCTTGGCCGGCCGGGCGGAAGGTTTCGGCCGGATGGCCATCGGCGGTCTCCACGGAGCACTGTATTCGGTCACCTCCTTGGCAGGTTCTTCCCCTATTTCTTCTTTCTCCAAGAATTGAAGTGGGAGTTTGTCCAATTCAAAAAATTAGGGTTAACTTGAATCTGCATTGGGTCCCTTTCAATCACCTCGTACGTTGTTGTTGAATGAATATGCTAGAGAAGCAATTTAGGGGAATGTTAGGGCTATTGAATGAACATTGATAGGTTCCTTGCCGTTGTGATAGATGATGGCCCTGGATCACTCCGAGAGGGGTGCCGAAGGAAGGAGCCACTGTGGATTGTGTTCGATGTCTCCGGGACGATTGACCTCAAGACATTCTTGAGTGTGTCGTCTTACAAGACGATCGATGGGCGTGGCCAGAGGATTAAGTTCACGGGGAAGGGTTTGAGGCTGAAGGAATGTGAGCATATAATCATCTGTAACTTGGAATTCGAAGGTGGGAGAGGGCATGATGTCGATGGGATTCAAATCAAGCCGAATTCGAGGCACATATGGATCGACAGATGCAGTCTTCGTGATTATGACGATGGCCTCATTGATATCACTCGTCAAAGCACTGATATAACTGTCTCTAGGTTTGCGTCTGGTGGCTCTTGGGTTTTCTTTCTTTCGTAGGAGAAAAACGGTGGGATTTGGGTGGTTATGTTGTCTTGCAACTCTGCAGGTGTTACTTTGCTCAACATGACAAGACCATGCTTATCGGAGCAGATCCCACTCATGTGGGCGATAGATGCATTCGTGTGACTATTCACCATTGCTTCTTTGATGGAACCCGGCAGAGACAGCCTCGTCTTAGATTTGGGAAAGTTCATCTCTATAACAATTACACTAGGAATTGGGCAATCTATGCTGTCTGTGCTAGTGTGGAAGCTCAGGTAGTTATGATGCTTTCTTCTGCTATTGAGCATTCAGGATAGAATCTGGCAGGTGCTGAACTGAGTTTTTGTTCTGCACTTATATTCTGTTTTGCCTCCACAGATATATTCGGAGTGCAATGTATATGAAGCTGGAGAGAAGAAAAAGGTCTTTGAATATTACACAGAGAAGGTAACCTAGATCATTGGTTTCCATATGATTATACAAATCCAAATATTCTCTTATTGTAAATAAAAATTTGGAGAAAAAGCAAACATGTCGTGCAATCTGGAATGGAGACTGCACTTAGCTAATACATCAAACACTAACATGACACATACCAGAAGCTGGTTGGCATTCTTTTGCTTCAAGTCTCTCGCTTTTGTTCTTTGGTATACAGGCTGCAGATGCAGAAGAGGCCAAGTCTGGCTTTATAAAATCTGTAGGAGATGTGTTCCTTAATGGAGCTCTGCCATCTCTTCAACCTGTTATCGCTGAAGATTGTGTGTTCCATCCAAGTGAACATTATGCAAACTGGACAGTGGAGGCTCCCTCAGATTCTTTAAAGGGAGTTCTTCAAGTCTGTGCAGGTTGGCAAGCTCTTCCTCGACCAAACGAGAACATCCCTAACTAGAAATAACTAGTTTAATATTTCCTCGCTCTCTTCTTCATTGTACCTTGTGTTTGTATTTCTTTGCATCTGTATACGTCTATTGTCATAGGCTCTCACAATTACTGTGTGTAAATGGAGGGTGAAAACGAAAGATGTGAATTTTTTGTATCCAGCTAACTGATCTAGGTTTTCGATTGAACTTTGTGAATGATGATGCAGAATAATTCCAGAACATGGTTGGTCAACTCTATCACATTTTTGTAGTAAGTGTTAAGAGTTTCTATTTTTATGGGCTTGTCTGATTTACTTATACTTAGAATTCAGCGTCTTTGTCGACCTTCTGAGTTAATCTGTTCTTGCAACCATTCTTTCAAACTCTTACATTATCTCAAGCCTGATTCATTTAGCCAAGTTCAGCCAAAAAATGAAGATAGAACTTCAGTTTTTGGCTTATTCTACCATTTGAAATGCATTAGTAACATCATTAGAAAGAAACAAGTAGGTGCTATCAGCCAAATAATATGCTGCGTAATTTCTTCCATGGGGATAGTATACAATGTCTCTGAAATCTTACTTCTATTGCTACTTCCTCGTCACATACATCCTCGAGATGAGTTTCATGATCAGATGCAGAAGAACCATGAAACATATCAGAGAGGTGATTCTCTACGTCATCTGGACCAAACATCACCAACTCTCCTGAACTGTTGTCTTCTGCACTGAGCACTCCAACGTACCTGCCATAAACTTCTCTATATGTAGGTACGAGTTTCTTTGCTATTGATACCTTCAATGCATCCCTCAAGTTCTCATTCGGTACAATCCAAGATACCTGTTTCCTGTGTGATTCCTCAAACGCTGCATTAAACCTGCGAAAACATTCTTCTGCAGCTTCTGGTGATAGCTCTTTTAGAGGCATACTCGGCAGGGCTGAGAAGACCGCATTCCAGGCAATCGTCTCATAGTTAGCAGCATATTTTCTAAGCTTGTTGGCATGCTTGGACACCCAATCTTCACCCAGGATAACCCTTAGCCTGGTTGTGCATACCTTCTCGAAGATGAATTGCAGATTGTTTGCTAGGAAGAGGTATGAAAGGGACACATCATCATACTTTTCTGATTTCATGTCAAGCTTGCATAAGAGAACCAGTATTAACCAAGCTAGTCGGGCTGATAGAGCTGGTGAGGGCCCACCATCAAAGGAGCTGGTTGGGCTCTCAAAGTAAGATTCAGGTAGCTTCGCATTGCTCTCTGGGAGAGAATCAACAATAATGTCTGCGAGAATGCCACTGTAATCTGCCAGGGCTGACAAGTAATCCATGACTGATCTGGTCAGGGGATGAATCCCACCACCAGGAACTATATCTTTTGATGAATACTCCCTTTGGAGGGTAGATTCAAACTCGGATAGAGTCTGACGAACTGACTCACCAAGCCTGAGAAGCGATGAATGAGCTTTCCGTTTGACATTGGAGGTTGAACCACCACCGAACATGGATTCTATTTCAGGCCAAAGATCAAACAGTGCTTCATGGAGATCCATTAGCAAGAAAATCTTGTCATCCTTTAAGTTCTTGTTCCTAATCACGAGTTCAGGAAACCTGAACAAATTGGCTGCAGCTTCTTTAACCACCTCAGAGAAGCATAGCTCTCGGGTTCTCTCAGATGCCGAGAACACATGGTCGCAGAGATTTTTCTCCCCTGTGAACAGTGTTTTGACAGCAACACTAGCAGCATTCAGCCAGTTCTTGATCATACTGTCAAGAGCTTCTGGATTCAATCTCTCGACTTGGAAAGGGTTGTGGAAGTGTTCAACTCCGAGCAAGAAGAACAGTCTCTTGTCCACAATGGATCTTCGGACGAGTATGTAAGTTTCGAGACACTCTTTCGCATACCCAGCACTCGTCATGGAAGCAGCAATTGACTTCAGATCAGACATGGCAGCTTTTGGAATTCTCCAGTGGTTTAGAATTAGGACCGACTCCTCATGACCTGCTCTTGGCTTTTCCTCTTCTGCAGAATAATGGCTCAGATACTCGGGATGAAGCTGATCATGAAGTGTTGACAGAATATGGTGGAACTCTTTCTCCAGCCTCGTCATGGCCATCTGTATCAGTTTCTGACAGTGAACAATAAGCTTCGCGGTATCAGGATACTGAGACTTAAGCAAACGAATGGACTGACGGAGGTCGTTGATTGATTTCAGGAACTCCTTGGCCTCCTTCCTTCTGTCGTGGTGGAAAAGGGAAGAAAATTTAGGCGCTGAAGAGGAATTTTCAATATCCCACCTGGATATGATTGATGCAGCATTTTGAATGTCTTCCTCCATCATGGATGCAGAGAAAGTTCTGTGGAGAGGAGAAGGTGGGAGGGGGGAAGGAGATGAAGAAGATGGGAATGATTGGGGAGAAGACAGAGTTCTCTTTGGGGATGATGAGATAGGAGGGAGAGGAGAAGGCGAAGGAGAAGATGGGACGGATTTGAGAGAAGACAGAGTCCTCTTTGGGGATGAGATTGGCGAGCAGTGTGCCATTTTGTTTGTTACAGGGTCTTGCTCCTTTGGCTGGCTGTTAGGAGGGAGGGGAGAAGGAGATGAAGAAGATGGGAAGGATTGGGGAGAAGACAGAGTTCTCTTTGGGGATGATGAGATAGGAGGGAGGGGAGAAGGCGAAGGAGAAGATGGGACGGATTTGAGAGAAGACAGAGTTCTCTTAGGAGACGAGATTGGAAAGCAGTGTGCCATTTTGTTTTTTGGCTGGCTGTTTTTTCTGGTTTTGCTGGGATACTTTGGAGCCTTGGGTATGAGAATTGCAGGGAGGTTTATAGAGTGGGAGAACAGCTTGCGGGAGTTTCTGATAGAAGGTAAGTATATTATAAGAGCAACATGGTTGGAGTCTTCTTTCTCTTCTTTTTCATTTGCCTCCTTTGTTTAAGCAGTAATGAAAAATTAAGAGTTGACTTATGAAAAATGATCAAGCAACTAGTAGTTAAGTTATAAGGAAGGTCTTCTTCTTTGGGCGGGCTAAAGAAATTTTGTACTTCTCCTGGCTAGACTCAAGTTAATTCCCCCCCCCCCCCCCCCCCCCCCACCTCTTCTTGTTTTAGTGTGAAGCAACTCTACAAGCACTACTTCTTTTCTAATGGACGCTAGGAAGTCTAGCAGTACAAATGGTGTAGCTTGTTAATAATAGTCCACTGTCCATATACAGTTGTGGCATTTAGTAGTGTATTATGTCTTTAGTAGGGGTGTCCATTCGGGTTCGGTTTTTCGGGTTTACCCGAAACCGACCCGATTAGATACATTTTTGGTTTTTCGGTTTCGGGTTCGGTTTTGCTTATCGGGTTTTTGGGTTCCGTCTGAAAACCTCCAAGGAATAGAACTCAGCCCGTATTCTTAGGCATTCGAGTTTTCAGGTTTCGATTTTGCTTTAACCGAACCCAAACCTGATAAGGAATTTTCGGGTTTCGGGTAACCGGAAACCGAAAGTCCTTATCGATTTCGGGTTCGGTTTCCAGTTATTTCGGTTTTGAGTTTTCGGGTTTTTTCGGGTTTCGGTTTGGGTAACCAAACCCGACCCGAACTGACACCCCTAGTCTTTAGCTTTCAAGCCTCCAACAGGAAGGAGACCTCTACTCTCTTATTCTCATAACACATTTGTTTATCTCCCTGTGTATTTATATCTTCCATTTCTCTCACTCTCTCTACTTTCTATACAATCTTCTCATAAGAAGATATAAGATGGATTCTTCTGCTGCCCTATCTATCATCCATAACTTGAGAGATGGCTCACATAGTAATGGTTTGCCGGCTAAGCCGATTGGGTTACTTCTGGTACGTGATTGGGAATTTAGGTTTAGCCATGTGTTTAGAGAGTAGTTTTGCAACTGACTTCCTTGCTTGTAAGAATCACTCTGTTAGTTTTCGCATGCATTCTTTCGATGTGTGCTGCCCTAACTTAAACCAATGATTTTTCTACAATTCATTGGGTATATTCATGAATCGTGTTATTACAAATATGATTTAGATGCTTATGTTATCTGCTATTTTTTTAAAAAAAAAAAAAAAAATTGGAGCATCACCAGTGCAGATTTGGGAGCATTCCCATCTAGTCTTGAATCAACTAGAAAGGATCGAATAAAAGAAGTCAGATTAGCTCTATACATAATTAGAACTCAATGCATCTAATTCCTATTGTTTTGAATTCACAATCCAAATTCCAATACTCTATAATTGTAATTAGCTCTAAACATGGAGGCCAATAAAGCTCCTATAATTTGGAGGCACTGTGCCTGGAGGACGTCCCAACATACTATCAAGCCGGCTGTGTATATGAGACTCTATAGAGCTCCACCTTTTAGCTTGCCGGAAGAACGTAATCGTTGGTTAAACTATATAGACCCTTGATCTGAGATTTCGTTATCATAATCTACTAAACAACAAATTGATCATCACCATGAAATTGAAATGAATTAATAGAAATACGCGACCTATTAGATATATTATGGTTTGGTAAGATATCACACCTTCATACTTCATGGTAGGAGGAGATTGGTTAACGTTTCTTCTTTGAAATAAGTTAGTTAATTCACCCTTCATACTTGCCCTCCCGATCATTTGTACAGTACGAACTTGTCAACTGTGATTTGTACGGTTACTATGCATACATCTTTTTATCTTCCTAACTATAATATTATGCCTATATTGTTAATCACGTCATTACTCACTGTTGTCAATAACAAGTTTGTTTCAATATTTCGAATATTTCGAAGTTTTGTGAGAGATTCATTTATGGATAATAATCACTCCAATAAACACCCTTTTAAATGAAAGCCAAAGGATTATGTGCTTGAAATTTGTACAAGTGTATCATATCATGTGCTTTAGCCCAACTGTAAGTATTGGTGAAAAGGACTAAACGAGAACTTAAACACGTAACCTCAGGATCATACCAACTTTGATATCATGTCAAAAATTAATTGATCTCAATAACCCAAGTTGTTGAAATCAAATAGTTCTTGAAAATCATGATATATATATATATATATATATATATATATATATATATATGTAGAAATTGCTCACTACAATACATTTGTTGAATATGTAAAGAAATAATATAAGATCTATTCTAAAACTTCTCCTTACAATTTGTGTTATACAGATTGCTCAGCTCTTATGACAAAATATTCATAAAAATCATATAGTCTCAAAATATGCTCTGAGATCCTCGATGTTTATATATGAAAGAAATTGCATTTTGAATTTCAAGTTCAAGCTCGTAATCAACCTCTTCATTAGTAGTCTTATGTAGGTAGGTGTCGTGGTATATCTGCATGTCAATACCAAATGTTTATGAAAATCGTAGCTCAAATAGAAAAACTTCTTATTGTAGTCTAAATCAGTAAACTAACTTTTAACGATACGAAATAATTGAACCGTAATTTCAGCACAAAGTATCTTACCGCTAACTTTTCTTATAGACGCTTACGATTTTATAATCTGTTTTGAAATACAGATCTGAAAGATTAAACATTGGAATCAGTAGTTGCGTGCGGGAAGACGGGAGGGAAGTCGTCTCTCTCGTCTGTGCTGATATCGATCGATAGCAGACGAGACAATGCGTATAGACATCCGTACGGTATTAAGAGTACTTGCATCACGTTAATTGTGCTGCATATATTCATTTATAATTAATTAGCCGGTGGATGACGATAATTAGAGGTTTATATATATATATGTTGGGGAAAGTCAGGAGTTGGTGGGGGTGGCAGCTATGAACTGAAAGGGAACCTGGATTATCACCCATCTCAAATACTATAATTAAGCTGATTGTTGGCCAAAGTATATATATAATAAGTTGCTAAATAATTAGTTTTGAGTTTTGACCAAATTTGGTTTTGGTGGAAAATAGTATTATATATATGGGCGCCTCTAATGCTAGCTGGCTAGCACGTGGAATATTGATGTTGTTTTGGAATGGAATATTGGCATATGGGTCGACGATGGATATTACTCAGCTGGCTAATCCATGAAACGAGTTCTGAGTTTTTTTTCTGAACCAAACTGCATGCATCATTTAATGTTGACTGTGATGTATAATACGAATGAAATGCTTTTTTATCAGACCCTTTTTCCCCGTCGTTTATTTTAATGGCCGAGTTAAAAAAGTCTACTACGTTACATTTTCCCCATATAAATATTAAGCAAATATAATTAATTTTTTAACAAATTGAAAACAGGACCCAGGTGCTCATAGTTTATATTGCAGCTATCATATATATAGAGGTAAATGGAATTACTAATTACTCCTTAGAAACTAAAATTGCAGAAAGTTCTTCAGCAAACCGGCCCAACGATAAATTGCAGTTAAAAAGTCTGAACGGATGCATGTGAAACTTGAAAAATATGGTGGATCATCATTTAATTTAATGGTTAATTGTTGCAGAGTTGTTGGTGATCTATTTACATCATAGGCTAATTAGGGTTGGTCAAAAATGAAAAAGGTGGAATTCGAGGTTGCAAATGAATTGTACTGGATTAATTAGTGGCATCTAAATATTGTATCAATATATAAAATTTGAAAAGTTTAGGACGACACTATTGAAAAAACTTAGTTTTCAAAATATAATTTTTGAATGATATTTTTCATGAAAAAATAAAATTTTAGGTATCATGTATATTCAATATATAACTGGGCTTACTATGATGGTTAATCTTGGAGAAGATATAATTAAGTTGGAATTTCCTTAGAAGATAAAAGATTATCATCACATTTTTCAATTTGAAGTTTATATATAATTAAGTTCATAGCCAAGCTTCTAGTTGTGTGCAGGCGTCATATACATGACCAAATACGTGGCAGCCGATCGAGAGATATTTGTTTTGAACGAAACAAACCCAAGAAAATCAGTAACGTACGTACATCAACAAAATGGGACGACGATATGTGCTTATCGCTATCGCTGATGATACGAACGATGATCTGTACGGCAAGGTACTGCATCACATTGTTCATATTGTAATATCTGCTTATGACGATTAATTAATTAATGTTAGGAAAAGTCAGAAGTTGATGGCTGGCAGCTTAACTTATTCGCGTAAAACCGGATTCATGGATGAGCCAGTAGACTAATTAAAGTTGCATTTGAAAAGTTTGAAAAAGTAGAAAGCTCACCCAAACGAACGATGTGATTTCTAAAAAAAAAAAAAAAACTAAAAAACGTATCCGATTAAACATTTGGAGTGGCATTGGATGAGTCGGGTGGATTTTGACTATAAAATGCACAATCCGCGCTTAAATAGATTGTTAATTTTGAACCCACCACCCACCCACATTTAGTATCGGGTTGGGTCGGGTGGATGGAGGATGATGTGGGTGGGTTTGCAGGTTCCGGTTCACCCACATCATAATAAACATAATATAAAGGAGTCAACTTGACATTATCCATTTATATTTCAGAACCCCATGTGTAATGCCAATATGTAAAATAAAAAACCATTTCAACATCCATTCACTCTCCAAATTTGAGATTCATTTCAAGTGGCAAGATAATTGGTGGAGAGTTATCGGGCATAAACAAGAAGATGAAATAGGAAGAAAGAATGACGAATTAGTTCTGAAGTTGGATAGGAATTCTATTATGAAGGAGTTTTCTACGGATGGAGATGATTATCGGGTGCAGGAAACTAAAAAAAATAATTTAGCGGAGGAAAAATAGGTGATTTGGGCACAAGAATCAGAGGGAAAAAAATAAAGGTAAGAAGAGGGAAGTCGAGATTTAGAAGATTGGCTTTGATATTCAATTTTCAGGACTAACCCTAGTTTCCGTCAACATCTCCACTATCCACTCTCCAGCGCCAACGATTTTGTTCTTTTTGTTGTTGGGTTGAGCGGGTCACCCGCGCACCCGCCCACAACCCACTTGCCACCCGACGGATGCCTCCAAGCACAACCCATCACCCATCCACATAATAAAATTCAGGTCAAATACGGACGGATCAGCTCAAACCCGCGGATGACCCGCCTGCATGTCCAACCCTATTAAACATAAGCTCTCGAGTAACTACGCTCGAGGCTCTCCTTCGTTTTTCTTCTTTTGCTCTCACGCGATGTTAGCTACTACGTTAGAGTTAGAGACGATGTTAGAGTTAGTCAATAGAGTTGTAATACGAAATTTATGGGAGAAATAAGTATAAAGATGGAGTCTTTTGGCAGTTTAATTAATTAATTAATTTTTATATTAATTCATTAACGCTTGAATATTGTGAAAGGATGTGTCCTTTCGGGAAAGGTAACTACCTTTTTTCTATGAAAGGATGTGTCCTTTCGGGAAAGGTAACTACCTTTTTTCTATGAAAGGATGTGTCCTTTCGGGAAATGTAACTACCTTTTATGTGAAAGGATGTCTCTTCGGAAGGTAACTTCCAGTTTCACAACTATAAATAGATGACTGCCATAACTCTTTTAATGACGAGAGATTACTTCTTCTTCCGTTTTCCTTCTCTATTTCATAACCACAGAAGTCTGCAAGATTGCTACTTCCAGACTTAGAATTGGAGGGACTTGTTTACCACTAAAAAAATCACTCAATACCACATTGATTATTTTCAAGGAGTGATAGTGATTTATAAGGCCAGCTCAACATTAATGATTAAAAGAGATAGCTGGGCCTTGTTGGGTTGGGTTTTTGGGCCTAAGTGGCCAAACCCCTTCTTCTCTATACAGTAGCCGACCCATCTCCGTGGCCTCCATAGCCGGACGATGCCTTCACCCCTTGGTAGGAAATTTGGCCTCCAAAAACTAAGTCTTGGAAACAAGGCGACACAACGGGGTGCCAAACGACCGGGTACCAAGACGGACGGATATCATGGAAACAAGGCGACACAACGGGGTGCCAAACGACTGGGTACCAAGCCGGCAAGGAGCAACGGGGTGC